TAACGCTAATCGCTCTTCCCCCGTGTGGAACCGGGGCAGAATATTTCCACAGCCTCCCATTGCTGGTCGTATGAGGCGACTAAAATGGGCAACCTGTTTGCCGTGGGTTGCGTCCCTGTGTCGGCGGAGGACGGGAGTCTGGTAGTTGAGGGCATTGGTTCCTGGAACTGTGTTCCTTTGCCCAACACACTACTTCGACCCTTACTTCGCCTAGACGGGTGGTAAGATGGGCCCGGTCTTATCAATCGGCTGGTCATGCCAGGCCCTGTGCGTAATATTGTATATGCACACGTGTGTTGTATTTTAATGTATATTTTGGCCTTGGCCGTCCATAACTTGTGTGTATTCTAACTTTTGGATTGAATACATTGCCTAGAGTCTTACGCCAGAAGGCGGTGGCTCATGGGCCAATCTGGTACTTTCGACCTCTGAGTTCTGTATGTCTTCAATTTCTTGTCATGGGCCGGACCAGCCTGGCATTTTATTTGTTAGACAAATGCAGCTATTCATGTTGTTTTTACTGGAGTATAACACCTCTGTATCCCTGATGTTTGCATGTTGGAGATCCGGTGCAGGAAAACATCGCTCTTTGTAGCACTCCATGGTGGGTGGGGAGCAGGGGTGCTGAATCAATTACTTTCATTATGGCACACAATCATTCTGGTTCAAACCGCACTGACAAGAAGAGACGTCTGGAAGCTGAGATTTTCTCATCTGACGACGATGCTTCTATTTCACGAACTTCAAATTCTTGGGCTCGGTTTATCGTAGTGGAATCACATAATCAACTACCTTTGAAAATCAATCCCTTTGCAATATCTAAAGCCATTGAAGGTATCTGTGGTGAGGTGAAGAATGTTTCACGGCTCCGGAGCGGCTCTCTTTTGGTGGAGTGTGCACGGAGACAGCAAAAATGTACTAGCTTTGCTAACACAGAAGTTGTTGTTTCTGAACACAGAACGTTGAATTCGAGTCGAGGGATCATCCGCGACAGAGCTCGTTGCCTGGCTGAAATGTCAGAAGATGACATTTTGGAAGAACTTAAATCACAGAATGTCACATCAGTGAAACGTTTCAATAGAAAAGATGGTGAAAATTTAATTCCAACAAATACTTATTTGTTCTCCTTTTCTCTTTCAACAATTCCACAATCTATTAAGGCAGGCTATTTTAACATCGGAGTGGAGGTGTATGTCCCCAATCCACTCCGGTGTTACAAATGTCAGAAGTTTGGGCACGGCTCCAAATCATGTGATCGTCCGACTGTTTGCCACCGTTGTGGTGGAAATCATGATGGTTCAGGCTGTACAGCAGACCTGAAATGTACAAATTGTAAGGGTCAACATGTAGCGTCATCAAAATCCTGTCCTTTTTGGACACGTGAAAAAGACATTTTGACAATCAAATGTCAAAACAACGTCAGTTACTTTGATGCGAAAAAACTCTATGATAGCCGGACACCTTCATCCAAACAATCTTATGCTGCTGCTGCTGCTGTCTCTCGCCCTTCAACCAGTAGATCTATAGAATGTCAGACGGACTTGACGTGGACACATTCTGAACACCCGCTGCCTCTGACAACATCATGTGACAGTCAAACAACTCATGCTGTCAGCCCAGGTGAAATGTCTTCAGATTCTATCATTGTGACTCAGGTTGTGGCCCCATCTACACCCACTCCTGATATACCAGCTACCAACAAACCATCAACTGAAATGCCCAAAAAACAAAAGAAGAAACAAAACAAGAAAATTTCTACAAAGATCCCTAATATCACTGAAACATCTGTAGATGTTCACAATTACTTTGAGCCTCTTGAGATGGATGTCACCTCATCTTCACACCACAGCAGTGGTGACTCCTCTTCACGTTTACGTGACCGATCTCCGGTAGAACCACCATGAATCATTCGAATCTAATTCAATGGAATTGCCGAGGACTTAGGCACAATTTTAACGAACTGCAATTATTATCAACGGATATTTGTCCATCAGCAATTTCTTTACAAGAAACGTACCTTAAAACAACCGACACATTTGATTTAAGGCAGTATAGTTCGTATCATTCCTTCTCTCCTCCGGGAGATAAAGCTACTGGAGGAGCTTCTATTTTGGTGCGGCGGGGCGTTGTTCACAGTCCTGTTCCGCTTGACACGAATATGCAAGCTGTTGCAGTTAGACTTACACTGCATATTGCCTTCACACTTTGCTCCTTATACATTCCTCCATCTTCAAATCTTCAGCGTAATGATCTCCAAAAGCTGTACGACCAGCTCCCAAAGCCCTGTGTCATCATGGGTGATCTAAATGGGCATAATCCTTTATGGGGAGGTTCTATCATTAATCAAAAGGGTAAAGTCATCGAAGATTTTGTTTCTGATAATGACCTCTGCATCTTTAACGATGACTCGGACACCTACTTACACCCTGCAACTGGTACGTATTCATCATTAGATCTGTCTTTGACGGATTCAGTGTTGTTGAATGAATTCTCATGGTCCGTCCATGATGACCTATGTGGGAGTGACCATTTCCCCACCGTGCTTAAACCCATTCATCCCGTTGATGATCCACCTTCACCTCGATGGAATTTTGTGAAGGCTGATTGGCTGTTATTTCAATCTTTATGCAAAGATAAATTACTACCTACGTTTTTTCAGAATGTTACTGACCCTATTCAGTTGTTCTCAGATCTACTGAATGAAATTGCTGATGAATCAATACCTAAGTCCTCGATCAACCCACGTGTTCGTAAACCGTGGTTTGATGCTAATTGCAAACAAGCTAGGAAATGTCGTAAGAAGGCTGAGAAGTACTTCCGTAAACATCCCACTGTCCATAATTTAAATATTGTAAAAATTTCAAATGCCAAGGCAAGACGTCTATTTAAGCAAAATAAACGTCAATCCTGGCGGACTTATGTCTCAAAAATTAACTCTCGTACCCCTATGTCCAAGGTATGGAACATGATTAAAAAGATCAAAGGCAAGGGATCAAATTCTACAGTTAACCATCTGAAGGATGGCGATACTTTGTTAACTGATAAATCTGCCATTGCCAATAGCATTGGTGAAACTTTATCTCATCATTCTTCTTCATCTAATTACGCTCCTGAATTTCAAAAATATCAGCTTCAACAGGAAAAGAAAAAAGTAAATTTTACATCTGATAATGGTGAAGATTACAATGAGGTATTTTCACTACATGAGCTATATACTGCCTTAGGGCAAGCTCATGATACAGCAGCAGGCGCTGATAATATTCATTATCAGCTACTGAAACACTTGCCCGAATCATGCCTTGAAACTATGTTAAATATATTCGATGATATTTGGACATCTGGGATGTTTCCAGCTTCATGGCATAAAGCCATTGTTATCCCCATTCCCAAACCTGGGCGGGATCATTCTGATCCATCAAATTACCGACCTATCTCTTTAACTAGCTGTGTTTGTAAAACGATGGAACGCATGGTAAATAATCGATTAGTGTGGTACTTGGAAACAAATAATCTTCTTACCAATATACAATGCGGTTTCCGTAAAAACAGAAGTACTATCGATCATTTAGTGCGTTTAGAATCGTTCATTAAAAATTCCATTGTAAATAGACAACATGCTGTATCGATCTTTTTCGATTTAGAAAAAGCATACGATACAACATGGAAACATGGTATTTTAAAAGATCTTCATGATTTTGGATTAAGAGGCCGTTTGCCTCATTTCATATCACAGTTTTTAACAGACAGGCAATTTCAAGTCCGAGTGGGTACAACCCTGTCTGATCATTATAATCAGGATCAGGGTGTCCCACAAGGCAGTATTTTGTCTGTCACTTTATTCAGTATAAAAATTAACAGTTTGTCAAAAGTTTTAAATGATTCAGTTGATGGATCACTTTTTGTGGATGATTTTAATCTATCTTGTCGCGGTAAAAATATGCACACAATTGAAAGGCAATTACAATTATGTCTTAATAAAATCATGAAGTGGTGTCTAGAAAACGGGTTTAAATTTTCCAAATCAAAAACTAATTGCATACATTTCTGCAGAAAATATAAACCGCATAAGGACCCTGAACTATTTCTGAATGGCACTCCTATCAAAGTTGTTAAGGAAGCCAAGTTCTTGGGACTTATTTTTGATCATCACTTAACTTTTCTCCCGCATATTAAATACCTCAAAGCTAAATGCCTGAAGGCACTCGATCTATTAAAAGTTGTTTCTAATTCAAAGTGGGGAGGGGATCAATGTAAAAACAATTAAGGACCTTTTTAATGATGTTAATTCTCGTTTAATATTATGTTTTTTAAAGGAAATAGAGCTTTTTCATAAATTTTGATGTGTTCAATGTATTGTTTTACAAATTGGTAGTGCGAAATTCATAACTTAGATTGTTAGTGGCTGTACCCTTGAGGGGGGTTGAAGTAGCGTAAAATTATTGTCCCCCTAAGAGGGTATGTAAGACCCAAATCATTCGAAGTATTTTTCTGCACACTAGGCTTTTAAACGTAGTATCTTCGTTATTTTAATCTATGGCTTAACTGGTACACTGTCGCCAGTGACTGAAGGGATGATATAAATCCTGCCGGGGTCCATGCAGGAAGCAAAAGTACTGTAAGTCCCCATGGTCCCCAGTATGGTGATCTCCCTTCAGTTGCTGACGATTTCTAGCCCATTTTTAAATTGTGATGTTCATTAATGCTTACGGCTTTTAATATTCTCAACTAGTTTTAAATCAAGTCTGTGATATTCTAGTTATTCTACTGTCCGTCGTTGACAGCTTTTTATTCAGTTTAAATATATGTATCATAAATGTAATTTCTCGTCACGATATGGCTGAAATATTGCCCATGTGACGTTAAATAATAACTCACTCACTCACTATTTAAGGCTTAGCATCTATAATACTTACAGCTAACAATCATGATGTCTCACACTTAAACTCCATATTCAAGATAGTGAAAGTACCTAAAACCCTGGGTAAAGATGATATACTCACGCTGTTGAGTGACATAATGACCAACGTCCAACATTACCACACCATTCCAAATCAACTTCAGTGTGTCCTGCTGTTGTTAGAACCCATGGAGGAAACCTCAGATTTGCGTTTACAATCATAACAATGGGTCTAATACGTGGAAGCAGGAGTAAATAACTTGCCCTAGATGAATTTAGACACTGTCGAATGTCTTGAAACAGACCTGTCTCCGTTCTCGAATAGAGATGGAAACTGTCAAGAATTCGGCGTTTTCAGACATATATTCAATCCACACTTTACAAGTTAATAAGAAGTGAGATCCAAAGAGACCTCGAATCGCTCTTACAGTCAGCCTTCCAGATGCTGTTTCATCCGAAAACTTCTCGAACGATCAAGCCTGCCATGTTCATGTATACAAGGGCGGTAACTCTAACTTCCACTCGCTGCCGCATACAGCACTCGACATTTCACTGGCACTTCAATCATTTGCTGCCACTGACATTACTACAAATACACTTACAACAGTCTATACTGCTGCAAAACACCTGTCAGTTACCGTTGTGACTATCAGTTTATTTGACCCGTGCCTGCTGTGACTTATCCCATGTCGAATTCAAACCAAGTTGCACTTTAAGTTGTGTTATCTAAATGTGTCAAGTAGTTGTTTTGGGAACGTCACTGATACATGCACCATCGCCTGTGTAATTTTTATTGACTTTGGAATTGATCACCTTATGCCTGCATATTTTCTCTCGAATGTGGTTAACGTTAAACGTTAACGATTGTTTCACAAAACCTTAACAACGGTAATGAACCAATGAATTCGGCAATTTGATGTGACAGATTATGTCTGAGCAGCAGTTTTAAGATTGAAGACAAAGAGTCTATTAAAAGTAATAAATTGAAGCTGCATGGAACGGATCTCAGAACTGAAATAGATCATCAGTTGACCGAAAACATATTTAACTAATAAAATAATAATAATAAAAATAAAAAAATATGCAAATGGCAGTAAATGGCTAGAATAATGAAATCGATCGCTACCGGGAACACACTGAATGCTTTGGTTGACAAAAAATTAAATTAATTAAAAGCAAAATGGTGGTATGAAATGACCTGCTTGATATTTTGATATTGAGTACAGCGTGAAACAATATAATATTATTTCGTCAAAAGTAATTAACGGCCATTACACTATTACACACGTACCTTGTACCTCAGACCTCCTGATCAAATATCCCCGTTAGGAATATACCGGAGTGTCACTGCGTAATACCTGCACACTTGTCACGTACTTTGTACTTTGTAGGCGTTATCTCATGGCCAGTGATAACCATGTCTCTCTCAGGTCTTTCATGGACACTATTTACGTTTCGGATTTATGTCACTTTGACACTGAAAACATCAGAAGCCTATGATTGAGGGTTCGAATCCCGGTTCGCCCCGAATAGGTTTCTAGGTTTGTCAGCACCATACCCGTGCTCGTGGGTTTCACCGAAGTGGAAAACGTCTGAGACCTGCATCACTTCCGGCTTTCCTCCCACATTAAGCTGACACGCCGTGATATAACTGGAATACTGTTAAAAGCGGCGTTAAACCCAACTCACTCACTCATTCATATCTCTGGAACAAGCCTTGCTTTTAAATGATTCTCCACACACTGAGTCAGTATTGAAGTGAGTGGGTAGGGTTTTACGCCGCTTTTAGCAATATTCCAGCAAATTCACAGCGGAGGACACCAGAAATGGACTTCACACATTGCACCCATGTGGGCCACCTAACGCTCTAACCACTAGGCTATCCCACCGCGGAGTATTGAAGTAGTTTGCCCATGGTAATCCTAAATGTTCAACATCAGTGATCATATATTGATATGTGGATGGAATCAGAACGATGATCCTTCATTGCGTGCTGCTCACCGGTTATCACGTCCTAAAGAGTATCCGGATATGTATGACTGCAGGTAAAAAGAGAGTGAATGAGTGAGTATGGTTTTACGCCGCTTTAAGCAATATTTCAGCAATATCACGGCGGAAGACAACAGAAATGAGCTTCAAACATTGTACCCATGTGGGGAATCGAACCCGGGTCTTCGGCGTGACGTGCGAAAGCTTTAACCACTAGGCTACCCCACCACCCCCGTTGAGAGGGAAAATTCTCCATAAACACTGAGCTTTCAGACTTACTGTGTAACGCAAATTGTTTCTCGAATTATGTGCTAGAGTTTTAACATTTTAACTGCAACCAACCCCAACCCCGCACCACAACACCCCACCCTTACCCATCACTTTAAAAAAAAGCAGTGCACTCCGTCATTTTCAAGAAAGCTGTATCCCTGCTCAGATAAACAGGGAAGTCGCGAATAAGATAAATAGATAAATAGAAACAAAGAATATTTCTTCTGTAAAAATGATTGACGATACACACAGACCAAAGTTCATTTTCCACTCTTGCCGAACTAGGCTGCAATTATAGAGTTAATTTTGTCTGGACTAACGAGTCTATGCATAGTCCAATCAAAATCGCGTAACGAACTAGACTTCCGGTTCGTGAACAACATGGATTTCAACGTGAAGATGTCGATCGACTGCAGGCTTTGCAAAGCATGTGTACCGCCACTTGGGCTTCGACAGATATTTTACAAGTTCTTTCACGATTTTAATCAAGGTGCTCACGTGATTTGATGCACTTCGCAGGGTGAGACCCATTTTATTACAATATAGATCTTTATTATCGAGCAGATCGTCTTGACTGGGCGCCACCGTTTTGTTTGAAGCAAATGCAAGTGATATGAAATATGGAATCTGATTGGTCAATAGGAGGGACATCGAAGGGACATAACTCGTAATAGCTACTGGTGGCGCTACGATCGAGCCTGGAAATTCCAGCCTTGTTCGGCAAGGGTGAAAACTGGACTTCTATAGACAGTTCAAAGCCCTTGCCTCGGGAAGATGTCAGACAAAAGACAAATTGCACGTGTATGTGTATATTTGAATGGGATTTATTGTTAGTTATGTTGATGATTATCCGCGCTTGAATAAACATGTACTAGTATGCAGCCGCTATATGACTTAACAACTCTCCTTCTGTTAGTAGTTCAAAAACATATGATTTGGGTAAAATACTATCTTTACAGAAAACAAATTATATTTAATGAATTATGAAATCTATTAAAATTAATGATACCTTAACATCCAGAACTCGATGATACTAAACCGTCTCATAAGGTCTAGGTATGCGGGTATCGTTGCTACATAAAGGCCCATTTTCCAGCAAATATTAGTCAAAACTATTTGATATGGATAAAAAAATAGATTGATAAATGTATATGCGCAAACAGAATATTTTACACTGAAACAACAACTGTATGTCTACAGAGGGGAATTTTCTTCAGGTTGGGTTATTTTCTATGATTTTCCATCTTGCAATACGAATACTCTTTTTGAGATTATAGTCATTCAAAAATACGGAATCCATTTTGACAAGAGTACTCTGACATGACGACACGTCAAGTTTACCTGAACATTAAAAGAGCTTGAGAAAAATGTTACGGTTATAGATACTGCTTTCAATTACGACAGCATTACTATCATGATTAAATAAATATGCCTACTAGATTTCTACATACATTTTACAACAGACCAAACATAGATATAGGTGATAAAAATAACACAAATATTGAGATATTCCGTACAGATTATGACACAGATAAACAGGTGGTATAAGGTATATTTCACAGGATGACCTATTGATTCAATATGAGGTCATGTGTTCTAAATCTTGTAATTCCCTTTCATGTCCTTTTCTTTGTCCCCCTCGAAGATCTTCTGCGGTTGCCGGACGAGGTAGAAGTTACCGATATACACCCTCTCATCTCGGATGTTCATCCAGTCGCAGTTGATGGACCGATTGAGGGAGTACCGCGAGGCTGCTATGTAGGCAAGAAGGCCCCTCAGCAAGTCCTTAATCTCGCTGGACAAAACCATGATCTTTTCTGGTGGGAACTCCAGTGATTTGATGCTTCGCGCCATTTCCTCATTGCGCAGACGACCGAAAGGTAGCTTGCCGACCGTCATTGCATACAACACAGCGCCAAGAGACCACATGTCCGCAAATCTGGGATTGAACGGGACTTTGCAGACGACTTCCGGTGCTTGAAATCCCATAGTTCCACACGAATCCTCGCACAGTGCATCGCCGGTGACGAATTTCACAGTGTGACCAAAGTCAGCGAGTTTGATGTTGTTGTCGTTGGTGATGAGGATGTTTTGAGTGCACATGTCCCTGTGGGCGTAGCCTGAAAAGTGAATATATTCCAAGGCGTTCAGGATCTGTCCGAAATACCGTCTGGCCACTGGTTCTGTGATGAATTTGGCGTCCTGGGCCCGTAGAAGCTGTTCCAGGTTCCCGCTTTCACAGAACTCCAGGATGAGTCCCGCCCGACCCTGTATGGTCAGAGTATCGAGGAAGCTGACGACATTCGGATGACTCAGTCGCTGGTGGATCAGCATCTCCTCGGTAATGTCGACTTTCGCACCTCTCTGTTTCCGCTTCCGGCCGGAGTTGAGTTTGATAGCGACCGGCTTGTATTCGCTCTCCTTGCCCAGTTTGGAGGGATGGAGATCTTGCGCGAGTATTACAGAGCCGGATCTTCCTTTGGCGATCACTTGGAGCGGGTTGAAGCCGAGACCCGACAGCTCGGGGATGATATCGTCGTAGTATTTGTTACCTGGAGAAAGGATTAATTGTTTAAATTCAATTTATGCGGACAATGGAAGTAATTTCCTTGCAGGGAACATATTTTTACTTACGATTCCGTTTTATTGGAGCATATTGACAATTTTGTAATGCAACAGATACTAAAATAGCATTTTCATGTATTTATTAAATTTATTTTAACTTACTGATTACGAAGTAACTTTGAGTGAGTGAGTGAGTGATTGAGTACGGTTTTACGCCGCTTTTAGCAATATTCCATCAATATCACGGCGGGGGACACCATAAATGGGCTTCACACATTGTACCCATGTCGGGAATCGAACCCGGGTCTTCGGCGTGACGAGTGAACGCTTTAACCACAAGGCTACCCGACCGCCCCGAAGTAACTTTGATGCTGTATTTTATATTAACTCCCACACTTTATAACATCTTCCCGAGGCCTTTTAATCAAAGCCATGTTTCCTCCCTTGCCACATCAAGCCCGCTTTCCTGTGCTAAATGTGATTGGACAATTGCTAATATCGATAGTCCAATCAGAGAACGTTTCACAAAATCAACATCCACGACTGGTGCACCTTAGATGAAAGTGATTTACCGCTGTCTGTCTTTGTTGACACGAATATGAATTTGTCATCTTTTAAAACCAACAACGATTGCCTATGTTTTTGTGTCAGGGATGAAATCACGAATGTTTTCGTTATCTGATCGACTAGGTCGTCGCCCATATGGTAGCCATCTTTGTGAAGCTATACGAGATAAAAACAGCGATCTGATTGGATATCGCTTTTTCATTACAAGGGGCACAACTCGTGGCGCCAACAAAAGTGGCCTTGATGTGGCAAGGGTAGAAACAAAGCTGTTTGAAATAGGCTAGTGGACACGCTTGCTCGGGATGATGACTTGATCATAGACTTCCGACAAACACAGCGCTACGATTGCTCTGTGGGAGGGGGCCTAGCTACGTACAGTAAACTACGGTTATAACGAACACGCTTATAACGAACTGACGGACATAACGAACCTACGGTTTTTGTCCCGACTATTTGCTGTATTTATGCTGTATATATGCTTTTAACTAACTACGGTTAAAACGAACTAAAATTAGTAGTCCCTTTGAGTTCGTTATAACCGTAGTTTACTGTACGAATGTCCAGGTTTATCTTTATTGAAATGTGAGACCAAAGAACTCATATAAGGAGGTTCGGTGAGCTGGCAGTGTAATGTGTTCCTTCTTCCTAATACTTCCAGATGGGTTCAGTGCTCCGTTTGACCCGTGAAGATCCGGGGTAGAATAGGTCTTCAGCAACCAATGCTTGCCGTAAAAGACGGCTATGCTTGTAAGAGTCGACTAACGGGATCGGGTGGTCAGGCTCGCTGACTTGGTTGATGCATGTCATCGATCCCAATTTCGTGGATCGATGATCATGATGTCAGTCACTGGATTGTCTGATCCAGACTCGATTATTTACAGACCGCCGTCATAAAGCTGGAATATTGCTGAGTGCGGCGTTAAACAACGAACAAACAAACAAACAAACAAACAGTACTCGGTTTACTTGACATCAGAACATTACTGACAGCGATGGTTGGGCAGTGACAATAATAATACTGCGTATGAAATTATCTGAACATGAATATGGACGGGCTTTGAAAACGAGCGGGTAAAGTGATGGTCTTGAATTAATGATAGCTTTGTCGATATAAGACTCCTGCTGTAATATAAAATTAATACAAAGTGTACTTTGCTCCGAATTACCTTCTTTAAAGAACACAATTATCCAGGCAGTTGGAATACTTCAGATTTAGCTGGTCCAAAGACCTATATACATATACGTCTTTGGCTGGTCGACAATGAAATGTGTTATGTTGCCTTGAATATCATCAGTATTTTACTGTATGCAGGTGGGACCGTTCAACAAAACGGCTACCGCGCGTTTGTGTTAAGATACAACAGCTGCTGTGATGACTGATTGCCCGTGGGCCAGGCCAGCAGGGGGTGGGGTGTGTGTGTGTGTGTGTGTGTGTGTGTGGGGGGGGGGGGGGGGGGGGGGGGGGGGAATAAGTTGGATTAATCAGGGGGATATAGTCAACAAATAAGTGAAACTGTTATAGTTTGTTTTCAGTTTAACGCCGCACTCAGTAACATGCCGCCATGTGACGGTCTGTAATTAATCGAGTTTTGACCAGACAACCAGGCCCTGGGGTCTTGAAAATGATCTTAGCTCAAATTTTGTTGAGAACAAATTTTGTCTTAAGGTTTGATATATGGACTTAAGTGATTTTCATGATCCCCGAGCTAGATATTGATATTGTGACCAACGACCCCCTCCGTCGAGGTAGGGTGGCACGCATCAGTCAAGTCGCGGGGCCTGCCAACCCTACCCAGTGAGTCTGTCCCCTTGTACGACAAGCATATGTTGCTGGGGACCGACCTAACCCGGGATCCCCACGGGGGCGGTTGAGATAATCTCATGGGGGTACTGATTGCAACCCCAAGAATAGACTTGGTGTCAGGTGTCGGGTTCAGTTATCCAAATACAAACAATTTTACATACAGTAAACTACGGTTATAACGAACTCAAAGGGACTGCTAATTTTAGTTCGTTATAACCGTAATTCGTTATAAGCATATGTACAGCATAACTACAACAAAAATAGTCGGGACTAAAAAGTTAGTTCGTTATATCCGTCAGTTCGTTATAAGCGTGTTCGTTATAACCGTAGTTTACTGTACAGAGAATGCACCTGTCCCGTGTTCTGGTCACCAGCTTTTCCCTATCCTTACATCCTTACACCCAAAAATTGCTTTAATAGGGAGTGAGTTGTGTTTAACGCCGCCTTTGAACATTATTTGAGATCTATCGGGGCTTAGACGTTTACCACAGCAGGGTATGGTGTTGCTGGATTATGTAAAATGGTTAACATAAGTTGACGTTGACACTCGATGTGACCTCTGTATTTTACTGTGATACATAGTTCCCCAAGGAGAATTGACCAACCCCCACCCCCAACCCCCAACACACACACACACACACACACACACACACCCCTTCCCCGTCTCACACACACGTATTCTGGTATAACACATAAGCTTAGAACATGTATGGGTAAATCAGGGTTTTAAAATAAGGCTTTAGTATTTTAACGTTAAAAAACGTCATTAAACGTTTTAGACACGCATGGCGAATATTCACAAAGTAATCTGAAAAAACAGGTTGGATGTCGCAGCATTTAATGCTGGGGCTTGTCAAGTACGCAAACAAAGGTAACCACTTGATCAAGTAACGCCTTATGGTCGGCTGTGATCGGGGTCCATACGTCGGATTAAGGATAATGTTCTAAAGGTGGCTCTAGCGTCGTTACCAAAAGGTGAGGTGAAATGGGGTTTAACGTCGCGTCCATATATAGCGACGTGCATGCACGTGTGTGTGTGGCTGCTTGTACTAGTCCGGACTGATGCCGATTTATAGTGCTAGCACACTGAGATACCATGCCGCAGTTTAACATGAATACCCCACTCAGACACAGTAAACTGACTCCGAGCCGACCTGTCCTTGTTTTAGACCATTAATGCCGAGCGTCAGACAGGGTAACAACAAGTACCATCTTTTAACGTCTTTTGGTATGACGCGGCCGGGGATCGAGCCCCGGACCTTCCGCTCTCCGGGCGGACGCTCTACCACTAGACCACGGAGGCGGTCGTAGTTACCAAGAAGAACCACCTAAACAAAGGTCTCCTGGTCACATGCATACATTTCTTCCAAATGGATACTGCCTAGGCTGCGTACCTTATTATCATTATTAGTTTGTTTGTTTGTTTGTTTTTCAACGCCGCACTCAGCAGTATTCCAGCTATATGACGGCGGTCTGTAAATAATCGAGTATGGACCAGACAATCCAGTGATTGACATCATGAGCATCGATCCACGCAATTGGGACACGATGACATGCATCAACCAAGTCAGCGAGCCTGACCTCCCGATCCCGTTAGCCGCCTCTTACGACATCTAGTCGTATTTTAGGGCAAACATGGATTGCTGAAGACCTATTCTACCCCGGTTCATCACAGATCTAGTAGTAGTAGTAGTAGTAGTAGTAGTAGTAGTAGTAGTAGTAGTAGTACACATGCATTACACCGTATACCTACCTTCCATATTGGATTAGATCATGTATGATAATTGTTATTATTTCTTCACAACGCAACAGACAAATCGGGAGTTCAATGAATGAAGCGGTTACCTGTACGAATAGGGCGAGCGGGGTATTTACTGAGTGGAAGTGGGTACTTGTGTGTCCAGATATCCCCCAGGTCACAGGTCTGTGTGTGAACTTCCGTCGTCCCCTCATCGATGTCTGTAACAACTGTAACAAACTGATGGCTAACATCGGGACTGCAAACAGAATCTCCAGATGCGGCGTCGGATAGCAGGCACACGCTCTGTGTTTTCGTGGGGATCGGTTCCGTCTTACTGCCGTGGGCCTTACAGTTATCTCCCCCTATGTGAGCTTCCATTTTCCTCTTGCGGCCGCGTGTGATCATTTCATTAGTCTGGAGATATGGCAGCGGCCATTTGAACGTCCATTTTAATTATGCTTCTCTGTGACGCAACGCCCATTATGACGTCATGTTGTTATGACGCTATGGTTTCATTCGCTTGGGCTTCACAAATGACGTCATGTCTGCGCGAGTTCTGAGTACATGCGCACTGGCAGTGTTGAGGCTGCCAACGCTTTTTTGTACGCTGGATTTTTTTTTGGGGGGGGGTCTATTCTCTAGGGTATTCGGGACTTGGCTGTGTGTTACGCGTGACGCAAATATGATCGTATTCGGTACGCAGACTGAAAAATAATTGTGTGCGTAAATGGTACCTTTGTAATAGTTTGTTCGATATTTTTTTCAGTAATTTACCGTAACATCGCGCACTTTTCTTAATGCTTTGGAGAATTTTTGTTCAGTAGTATTTGGGATTCAGGGGAGAGCAATGACACTTGGTGACGAACATTAGATGGTATTTGGGTGAGTGAGTGAGTATGTTTTTACGCCGCTATTAGCAATATTCAAACAATATCACGGCGGGGGGACACCAGAAATGGGCTTCGCACATTGTACCCATATGGGGAATCGAATCCGGGTCTTCGGCGTGACGAGCAAACGTTTTAACCACTAGGCTACCCGACCGCCCATTTATTAACAAGTACATGTAGATGCCACTTAGTACAAATTCAAGGGTTTTCAAGCTATTTTAGTTATTTTCAGGGTTTATAAGGTCGGCACTAAAAATCACACATTGTACCCATATAGGGAATCGAATCCGGGTCTTCGGCGTGACGAGCAAATGCTTTAACCACTAGGTTACCCCGCAGCCCCTATTTTAGGATTTAGGGGAGGAGGGCCTTGCACCCTCAGTGTTTGGACGTTCTTTCTTTGTCCGTCTTATGAACAAGTAACTCTACAACGCTTGTGTCTGACTTGTTTACTAATATAAACATTGAAATGACATCAACTTGTTTTATGAATGGACAAACTGATAACCCACGGATCTAAGTTAATTCTCGTCCGTGTTTAAAGTATTTAGAATTAAAATAATTTGTAATTAGGTCTAATATTTGTTTGTTTGTTTTTTAACGCCGCACTCATCAATATTCCAGCTATATGACGGCGGTCTATACATAATCGAGTCTGTAGATAGCTGCTCGTAATGTAAATCACCAGGTTGTCTGGTAGTTGCTGGTAGGTTGGTTGGTTTGTTGGTTGGTTGATTTACGCCACACTCAGCAATATTCCAGCTATATGACGGCGGTCTGTTAATAATCGAGCAGACAATCCAGTGATTGATATCATGAGCATCGATCCACGCAATTGGGATCGATGACATGCTTCAACCAAGTCAGCGAGCCTGACCATCCGATCCCGTTCGTCGCCTCTTACGACAAGCATACTCGTCTGGACTGCACTATTATGTTAAGAGACAAAATACGTTTTAAAAATAACACAAAAATGGGCATTTCAGTGTTTAGTAACACTTTATTATCCGTACAGAATGTGATCATCCAAAATCCCATGGGTAATAAGTAGGATTTAAATTTCTACCACTAGACCACGGAGGCGGTCCCACGCAATTGGGATACAAGACATGACATCAACCAAGTCACAGAGCCTGACGACGGGCTCCATGTATCGTCTTTTCACAAGCATGGGTTGACCTATATTCTAACAACGAATCCCAACAACTATTATGAGTACTGCCCCTGATCAGTGTCTTATTGAATACTGGTAATCATATATCCACTGTTGTTTGCTATTTTCTTAGTTTTCGACCGGTGAAGATTCGGGGTAGAAGAGGTCTTCAGCAACCCATGCTTGCCGTAAAAGGTGACTATGCTTGTCGTAAAAGGCGACTAACGGGATCGGGTGGTCAGGCTCGCTATCTTGGTGGATGCATGTCATCGATACCAGTTGCGTGGATCGATGCTCATGATATCAGTCACCACCCGATCCCGTTAGTCGCCACTTACTATAAGCATAGTTGCCTTTTACAGCAAGCATGGGTTGCTGAAGACCTATTCTACCCCGGATCTTCTCGGTAGTTCCACATACTGTCAACTGTGATGTAAACTACTCCATTTTTGTGAGGGATATTCTGTGTGCCCAGATGGGGGACAAATCTGACTGGATGTTGGAGATGTAGGTGTACAAAAGGGATGTGATTTGGGCTGAACTTGACGCATGTAAAGCTTCATTTCATAATAAACAAAAGTATATATGTATATACGTTGTTGGCTCCTGACTTTCATAAGAGTGTGACCAAGAACAGAATCCCTATGGGGAGTTGAGTAGTATTGTTCAGACTCACTGACTTGAGTGATCTTAGGACTCATTTTGTGTCGTTTTGGGAGTGGAGTGAAGGGAAGCAACAAAGATTAACTTCTTCCCATTCATTGTCTCAACACAAACATCCACTGTTTAAACTGCAATACCTATTGCGACATTGCGGCTGTCTTCTAAAACTTCACGTGCGTGCATGCTCCAATATTTACTTTTGTGTATTATTACTGAAAATAAAGCTTAAGATGCATGAGTCCTGTGCCAAAATCACATCCTATTCCCACTCCAACATCTCCAGGGGGCACGGGGGGGGGGCCCAGTCGTCTAAGGCGCCGCGATTCGCTGTGCAGAGTTGCGTCCCTTGGGCATACCAGAAACCTGTGATTGTGGGTTCGAATCCCCGTTCGCCCCGATTATGTTTCTAGGTTTGTCAGCACCATTCCGAAGTGGTAAAAGTCTGAGACCTGCATCACTTCAGGCTTTCCTCCCACATTAAGCTGACATGCCTGATATAACTGGAATACTGTTAAAAGTGGCGTTAAACCCAACTCATTCACTCCAACATCTCCAAACATCCAGTCCAATATATCCTCACTTCAGAATATCCCTGTCGAAGGCATATCATCAAGATGAAGGGTGTTCAGCTGATCTGTAACTGAAGCTGAGTCCCACAATACAACACAGAAGACTGACATTGTTACACATGTTTATTACCAGCAGAACACCTGCAGTGTTGCTCATCTCACTGTGATCAAGGACATTCTGTCCTCCACAGCCACATGTCATCAGTGTACATTCTGCACATCATGATCAATATGCCCAGCACACTTTCATGGACTTCAAACATTATTTGGAAAAATACAAATGAAACGAATAGATCCATGCACATGAAAAATCAGACACGTTGAGCACCTTACTGTGATACGAAAATTATGAAAACATGAACTAAAGAATGCATATGTCTTGTCTCAAAATATTCTAACCATTTCCAAAAACAAAAAGAATTCCGATAGAATTTGAACATATGTATGTGATGAGTTTCATATTTCCCACCCACCTTTCAAATACTTCTCCAAATATCAAATGAAGTGCATCTCCGTATGGACATACATATCAGTGTGCCATTCATGCATTATACGTCACTTCAAGGGACTCGTATGACGCTCAGTAAAACTCAATAAATAAAATCCTGTCCTTGCTTCAACCTTGACCCTTTTCGCTGTCGCACTTCTCTGCACTTTGAGCCTTGTCACCTTGACCTTCCTTCCCGTCTTTGGTTGCTTCCTGTTTCTGCCTCTCGAGCGCTCGCCGTGGGACATAGATCTGTCTCTCTGGCCGATCCTGCATCAGCACAAAATTAGTGTCATGGTCACTGATAAAACAGCCCTACTGCCTAGTCAGTGTCATACAGATCAACTCACACAGAAGCACAATCACTGCTTGTTTCATGCGGGCTAAATGTGTTCACGCCGTTAACATTGCAAAATAAATCTAAAAGACACAAAGCACCAGAAAATCACAAGAACAAAAATCCACATTTAACAAATCTTCTGATTTACTTGATATGAAAGAATTTAACAAAATGAATGTTAACACTGCACAAAAGAAAATTAATAGTGATGATAAATTAAGAGAAAAAAACAAATGTAAGTAAATAAATGCTAATAACGACATTAACAAAGGCTAAAAAAAATAAAAGTATTAGTTCTCAGGCAATGACTTTTGAAAATAAAGTGAGGGCGGGCGGTCGCATTTTTTTTTTTTGGCTTGTTCAAACTAGTGTTGAACCAAATAAACAGTTGTGTACCATCAACCTGGGAAAGTGCCTGCCTACATAAACAAGCATACAAACTCCTATTGCCACCATGACCATAACCCGAGATGCGCAGTAAAGCAGTAAAGCGGTGTGCGTGTAAAGGGAAGTAACGTTGTGCTACATTGGATCGCATTGTTTTTAAGTTTTAGGATTTCTTTCTTTTTTGGAAAATGGAAATAAAAACGACACGTGCGGCAGACTTTATGATGATGCAGGCTGTGCCTGAGAACCAAGACTTATTTTTTTTAGCCAAATGAGAACGATATTATTCGATGAATATGTGGTGGCAGGTGGGGACAACAGTGACAGGGTTGGTAGTGTCTGAACAAAGCATCTAAAACCACAGGACAGTGTCGACACTGAGGAACAACAGCTGGACAGACCGGGCAACATACGGCCATCGATGGACATAACCTATATTCATTTGTTTGTTGTTTAAGGCTGCTCTCAGCAATATTCCAGCTGTTTGACCACCGACTGAAAATAATCGAGTCTGAACAGACAATCCAGTGATTGATATCATGAGCAGTTGGGATACGATGACATTCATCAACCAAGTCAGTGAGCCTGAACAACTGACCCCGTCAGTCACCTTTTACAACAAGCATAGTCGCCTTTTACGACAAGCATAGTCGCCTTTTACGGCAAGCATAGGTTGCTGAAGACCTATTCTACCCTGGATCTTCATGGGTCACATAACTTATAAACCTACTACCACATTTGCTTATAACCCCATGAAGATTCGTGGGTAGAATAGGTCTTCAGCAACCCATGCTTGCCGTAAAAGGTGACTTTGCTTGTCGTAAAAGGCGACTGACGGGGTCAGTTGTTCAGGTTCACTGACTTGGTTGATGAATGTCATCGTATCCCAACTGCTGATGATATCAATCACTGGATTGTCTGTTCAGACTCGATTATTTACAGTCTGTGGTCATACAGCTGGAATATTGCTGAGAGCGGCCTTAAACAACAAACAAACGAATATAAGTTATGTCCACCGATAACCGTATGTTGCCCTCAACAAAACAAGGTGTCCAGATTAACAGTGTCCAGATTAACAAGGTTTCAGGGTATCCAGACTAACAGTGTCCAGATTAACAAGGTTTCAGGGTATCCAGAATAACAGTGTCAATGTTAACAAGGTTTCAGGGTATCCAGAATAACAGTGTCAATGTTAACAAGGTTTCAGGGTATCCAGACTAACAGTGTCAAGTTTAACAGGGTTTCAGGGTATCCAGACTAACAGTGTCCAGATTAACAAGTGCTGAACATGCGGGCGACGGCGGCAGGGAGGACCTTGTGCTGCAGCATGCTAACAATGGAACAACAGTCGCATGTACCACAGTGGACATCAGAAGCAAGCCCTCACACTTCCACATCTTCATCATACACACAATGATCAATTCTACTAACATTATAAACTAAAAGCATCTAGACAATTTCAAAATCCTTCTGCTACTTGTCCAACTTTTGCTGCATCAATTGAAAGGGCATGATATAATTTTATTTACGATTTCTAAATTCAGAATAATTGCATTCACCACGAGGAATCTTTTCTTGATTTCTTAATGGAGCATGTACTGATGCTCTACAAGATGCTGAAACTGTAGCTTTCCATAAAAGATAGGTTTGAATTTTGTCACTTCACATTGTCAATACTTCACGGTCTTGTATATACACTACATGTCCCCAGCACACATGAATATATGTGACCGCCTTGAAGTAGTGACCTGTATGTAATCTCAGTAGGTTCATGAAATAAAGTTGTATATAACTCACTGAAGTCAAATATGTGTAAGAAATGTTGTAAGATCTGAGTGAGCCAGACTTGTTTAAAAACACGGACTACACTGTTTGTTTGTTTGCTTGTTTATTTGTTTGTTTGTTGTTTAAAGCTGCACGCAGCAATATTGCAGCAATATGACGGTGGTCTGTAACAAGGTTCATACCGATATGGATCACTAAAATTTCCAGGCCTTTTCAAGGCTTTCAACTGTAATACGATATATTAGTAGCAAAACCTAAAAAGTTGACTATCAACATCACAAATTTTCCAACATGATTTATTTTCACAACACAAAATAATTTAAGTCTGTCATGAATTCTTCATGGTTATGTGCACAAAATCTATCACTGTGATAAATCACACTTCAACTTTTATTAACGAGTGAGTGAGTGAGTGAGTGAGTGACCAATACGGGATACTAGGATGGGCTATCAACTATGTTATCGATCCTGACCATGTGTTGACTTTTATGACTAGAATAGCTGAGAACCAGTTCTAACCACGGATCCCCACAGGGGCGACTGCACTGCAAATTGGTCGTATCTATTCATGGGTGATGCAGAAGTGTATCTTTATAAGACCATGAGGGCTGTAACTGTGTCCACTGTGTGCATGGTTGTCGATAATGACACATAAACACATCTTCATTATAAAGTGAAGGGAACCTACAGGAGGGGTCGTTGTCGGCACAGGTACTACAGAAATGTACCCTAGCCAAAATTAGAATATAGAAACATACCTGGTACCCTTAACGGCCTAAAGTCCATATTCCTCAACCCGAAACGGAAACCGAAACGGAAACCGAAACGGAAACCGAAACGGGTTCATGTTCTAGTTCCGGGGTGCCTGGTTAAGAGTGCATGCGTGTTACTTCTGCACGATCTTTTGCCAAGAGCTCTAACCTTGCTGAACATTACAGCCTTGTCAAAGGCTTCAGAAGATAATCTAAAAATTCCTCCTGTCGAGCGCGTAGTGCCATTTTGAATTTAACTGCAGTTTGGCATACAGGAAGTGGCGAATACCTAAAGACCTGGTTATGTGCATTGCGCCCTGCGGCCCTGCGGCCCTGCGGCCCTGCGGTGAAATGGACTCATCCTAGGGTACGTTTCTGTAGTACCTGGACCCCTTCAGCCTTGAGAAACCAGACCAACATTAATATGTAAAGAGACAAAATCTTTCAGAATTACCATCTTGGCTCCAAACTGTTTCCGTCCGAAGATATAATTACAGATAAAGCATGATATGGAGCTTTGTGAGTTAAATTACTGTATACAACGAATTAATTTACCCTGCGTCGTCTCTTTTTCTCATCACCGTCCCCCAAACTTTCCTGTCCACTTTTTTCACTCTCCTCTCCTCTACTGATCGAAGAGCTCGATCGGTTATCGTCTTTCCGTTTGTCGTCTATTTTTACATCCTTAGGATCCTCGTTACAATTTTCCCCACTCTTACTATCAACCTGTTCCCATTGAAATAATGGACAGAAGAAACAAAACAAGAAATGAACAAAATGCACATTTGAAAAAGCCATGCAGTCTCCAAAACCTACACATAATCGAAAGAAAATCTAGTGAATGAATGATGATAATGATAATAAACACGAACATGTTAAGTAAATATTCACACACCGCACGTCTATATAGGAAACTTGGCCCCATTGCTCAAAGCGATCGTTGCACTTAGATAATCGTTACTCCCATATTTTAACATACACTTACGATGGTCGTAGCACTATGATCGCTTTGTGGAATGGGGGTAAGGATTCAGAAAGTGGGGGTAAGGATTCAGAAATGGGTGATTTGATAAATCAGACAAAATGTTTGACTTCACAGACCATTTGGCCAATGATGCTTGAGTACTAACCCAAAGGTCTACACATTCACAGAGCTACAGATAAGCTATTTGCATCAAATACCCCTCAAAACTATTCAAAACCCAATTACTTTCAATTAACTTACAGAAACGCATGCATTAAATGAAAAACTCAATTGTTTGAAAACAGCATGCGTAAATACCCAATGAAGCTTTTTCAGCATGTGTACAACGGAGCTAATTTCCGAAACACAATTATGAGCTAATTTACTTTCCAAGTCAAGCCCATATTTAGAACCGTAATTTACATCTAAAACATTATTTCATTTTTTTTTAAATCTCAAAATGCTTACTCATTTTTGGGAAAACCAAATAGAGTGATGACTAGATGAGTGAAAAAATATTGGTTACCCAATGAAAATGTAATAACCCAATTGAAATGGAAACCTTCGAGTAAAAACTCATTTGTCCAAAAAGTTATCTGGAGCTCTGCATTAATAAGCTAGATGTCTTAGATTTTAAGATATTTAGGCATGTAGTTGCAGTTAATGTTCAACAGAGTGCCGGAAGAGTATAAATTTCTCAAAATGAGAAATATCTATTCAAATTACTGGGACTTATCCAGGATTTAAAAGTAAGTGCCTCTGACAGGTAAACTGGGAAAACAATATATTTCGTTCAAAACTGGCATGTTTCTTGTCTTTTTAAATTCATATACATGTATTTTAACATTGTAATTTGAGATTGTATTCCATGCAAAAAAATTAATTTTAACTAAGCATCAATGCCACTTATTACTTGTCCTGTTGTCAGTGAAATACAGGTGATCTCTACAAAGCCATGAAATTAGATATTAATTGACATGAATTGGAAAATTTGAAACTCCATTTTGGGAATATTTAATGGCATTTGCTGCAGACTTGAGAACGTATATCTGGCTGAGAGCAGGTCGAGATAAATCCCTGCAAGAGTTACCTCCCTTGACTAGTCAGACAACTCCCTGGAATAGTGATTGTTGTCCATTAGCTTCATCCTGTCAGATGAACTCATAGACAACACAATCGCCATGGAAACAAATCACATGAGGTTATCCAAATTTATCAATTGATTATTATAAATTTATTTCATTTCTGGAAAGTCTCAAAAAGTAGTTTTTATGTATTTTCAAAGGAATTAAACATTTTGTATGATCTAAAAAAATGTAATGTCTCTCACATGTCTAAAGCATTTTGTATCAAAATGGATACCTAACTATTCCTCGCTAGCACATTAACAAATAATATGAGTAAGGGGTTACACTAACACTAACACTAACACTAACACTAACACTACTCTGTACCTCCAAACAAGACAGGTAACTCTTCAAACGCCTTACCTTGTGTCGCTCACGCTCAGGACGAGTTGCCTCCCCTTCCTTCTTGCTGCTGAGGGCCAAAGATCAAAGTGTGTGTGAGTTAATGCTCCTTTGAGCAGTAAATAATCGAGTCTGAACCAGTCAATCCAGTGACTGACATCATGAGCATCGATATATGCAATTGGGATACGATGACATGCATCAACCAAGTCAGTGACCGCCCGATCACATTAGTCGGCTTTTACGACAAGCGCTTTCGCCTCTTAAGACAAGCATGGGTTGTGGGGACCCAGATCTTCACGACCAAAATTACAACATGGCTGCTCGGCTGACCTTGACTCCTGCGATGTCTCTGGTTTCTTCTTCTCCTCCGACCCACTCTTGCCGCCAGACTTCGGCTTCTCCTCCGACCCACTCTTGCCGCCAGACTTCGGCTTCTCCTCTCTCCGCTCATCTTTCTTATCATCCCTGCAAACAGGCAATCACTTTCTACACATGGAAACACACACGCTTAGTCAGATATTGAGTTAATGTTAATTCTCGACAAACTGTGGAAAATTGTCTGACATTTACTGGTTTTTTTACTATTTGTTGCAATGCAGAGTTAATTATTGTTAACTAAAAGTTCAAATGGAATCAGGTAGCAGAGGTGGCCCAGTTGTCTCAGTCGCCACAAATCGCTGTGCAGAGTTGCCTCCCTTGTAAACCTGGTTCACCTGATAATGTTTCTAGGAGTGTATGCTTCATACTTGGCTCATGGGTTTCATGAAAGTGGGAAAAATCTAAGACCTGCATCACTTCTGGCTTTCCTCCAAAATCAAGCTACTACCATCTCCTCATTGCGGAGCTTTACTACCAGCTGAAATTCCCAGGCAAGGTGAGTTAGATATTTCACATACCGTATTCAACGTAATAAGCTCCCAGGGCGCTCTCAAAATTAGAAATAGGGGGCTCTTATTGGAATATTATTTTGGTGAAAAAAACAGAGTTGAAAGTTCGTAAATTTCATGGTTATGCTGACAGCCTGAAATGTTTATATACGACAGATATATTTTTCCAGGATTTAATTGCCTGTAATTAAGGGTGCATATAACACACGAGTGCGTATTATACACGAATAAATAAGTCTTGTGTACATTGATCAATCGAAAGGGGTGCTAATTGAGATTGTTCACTAGTCAATATATTAGAAAATATCACAGTGGACGCTTATTAGGGCAGGGCGCTTATTACGTCAAATACGGTAGTCATGTCAGGCATAGAACTGGAATACTAAACTCACCCACACACATTGAATCATATGGATGCTTGATGTCTAAATAGGCTATTTCCAGATGTAAGCACATTTTTCATATTTGTTAAAAAGTTTAAGAATACTTTTCAAATATCCATACAGACTTCACCATGCCTGTCAAAAGGGACATAAACCTTAAACTGACATAGGTGTTTACAATGTGTGACCTAGCTGATGGTGTGTCATGGTGATGTGGATCGATGCTCATGCCATCGATCACCAGTTTGTATGGCCAAAAAAGTGACTGACTGCAGTTTAAGTTATTCACTCACAACTCACACCCTTACTTTTGTGAACTGTCTTGTTTTCGCTTATTGTCAGTGTTGGAACCACTTGATCTTGGTCGGTCATCGTAGCGGTCACTTTTCTTTCTGTCGTCATTGTTACCACGTGGCGGTCTGTCATCACGGTCATAGTACCCATCCTGTTTCCTGCCGTAGCCACCAGACTTTGGACGATCATCTCTGCAAAAAAGTGAGTGAGTGAGTGAGTGAGTGAGTGAGTTAGTGAGTGAGTGAGTGAGTGAGTTTATAGCATTTCAATAACGGCTTACATCTGTCATTTAACATACATAATTCATAGACAAGATTAACAGTTTGGAACAGAGAGTTGATATTTCTCAGGAGGAATTATAAAACATTTTTTACTGATACTTCTGTGCCATAACCCTTGATGTTGTAACATATGAACAGCTTCATTCATCTATCTTCTGAGACAAGAAGGAGATATATACCTCATCCTGTCGCGATCCCTGTCACGATCCCTGTCTCTATCCCGGTCATTCCTCGACCGGAGTCGGTCCGGCGGACGGTCATCTCGATAAGATCTTGACTTGTCCCCTCGATCCTCTCTATTGGGTCGGGACTTCTCGTACTTGTCATATCTATCCCCCGACTTGTCGCCATACTTGTCCTCCTTCCCCTGCCTGCCCTTGTCTCCCCCCCGACCTGTGTCCCTACCGGACTTCGGTCTTTCATCTCTTTTCTCATTCTTGGCTTTTTCTCTTTCTCGGTTTTCTTTTGAGAAGCGTAGGTTTTCCCTGCCTGTTGGCTTCTCGTCCTTTGGTTTGACTGGCTCCTTGTCCTTCTCCCTCTCAGGGTTCTTCAGCAGCTGCAACACGACAGGCATGGCATATGTTTTCTAAGTGATACACAGAAAGAAGAGAATTTATGGATGTCAACTACCTGCCCCAGCACCCACCTTCACAGGTTACTGAACCACAACCACTACCTGCCCCAGCACCCACCTACACAGGCTTCTGAACCACCTTCACTACCTCCCCCAGCACCCAGCTTCACGGGCTTCTGAACCACCTTCACTACCTTCCCCCAGCACCCACCTACACAGGCTTCTGAACCACCACCACTACCTGCCCCAGCATCCACCTATACGTGCTTCTGAACCACCTTCACTACCTCCCCCAGCACCCCACCTACACAGGCTTCTGAACCACCTTCACTACCTCCCCCAGCATCCACCTTCACAGGCTTCTGAACCAGCTTCACTACCTCCCCCAGCACCCACCTATACGGGCTTCTGAACCACCTTCACTACCTCCCCCAGCACCCACCTTCACAGGCTTCTGAACCACCTTCACTACCTCCCCCAGCACCCACCTATACGGGCTTCTGAACCACCTTCACTACCTCCCCCAGCACCCCACCTACACAGGCTTCTGAACCACCTTCACTACCTCCCCCAGCACCCACCTATACGGGCTTCTGAACCACCTTCACTACCTCCCCCAGCACCCACCTTCACAGGCTTCTGAACCACCTTCACTACCTCCCCCCAGCACCCACCTACACAGGCTTCTGAACCACCTTCACTACCTCCCCCAGCACCCCACCTACACAGGCTTCTGAACAACCTTCACTACCTCCCCCAGCACCCACCTAGACGGGCTTCTGAACCACCTTCACTACCTCCCCCAGCACCCACCTATACGGGTTTCTGAACCACCTTCACTACCTCCCCCAGCACCCACCTATACGGGCTTCTGAACCACCTTCACTACCTCCCCCAGCACCCCACCTACACAGGCTTCTGAACCACCTTCACTACCTCCCCCAGCACCCACCTTCAAAGGCTTCTGAACCACCTTCACTACCTCCCCCAGCACCCCACCTACACAGGCTTCTGAACCACCTTCACTACCTCCCCCAGCACCCACCTTCAAAGGCTTCTGAACCACCTTCACTACCTCCCCGAGCACCCACCTTCACAGGCTTCTGAACCACCTTCACTACCTTCCCCAGCACCCACCTTCACAGGCTTCTGAACCACCTTCACTACCTCCCCCAGCACCCACCTACACAGGCTTCTGAACCACCTTCACTACCTCCCCCAGCACCCACCTTCACAGGCTTCTGAACCACCTTCACTACCTTCCCCCAGCACCCACCTTCACGGGCTTCTGAACCACCTTCACTACCTTCCCCCAGCACCCACCTTCACAGGCTTCTGAACCACCTTCACTACCTCCCCCAGCACCCCACCTACACAGGTTTCTGAACCACCTTCACTACCTCCCCCAGCACCCACCTATACGGGCTTCTGAACCACCTTCACTACCTCCCCCAGCACCCCACCTACACAGGCTTCTGAACCACCTTCACTACCTCCCCCAGCACCCACCTTCACAGGCTTCTGAACCACCTTCACTACCTCCCCGAGCACCCACCTTCACAGGCTTCTGAACCACCTTCACTACCTCCCCGAGCACCCACCTACACAGGCTTCTGAACCACCTTCACTACCTCCCCCAGAACCCACCTATACGGGATTCTGAACCACCTTCACTACCTGCCCCAGCACCCACCTTCACGGGCTGGTCTTCTTTCTTCGAGTCCTTTTCCTTGTCCTTGTCTTTATCCTTGTCCTTCCCATCCTTCTCTCGCATCTTCTCCTTCTCTCGCATCAGTTTCTCCTTCTCCCTCCTCTTCCTCTTCTCATCCTCTTTCACCCGCCTCCGCTCCAGTTCACGCCTCTTCCTCTCCTCACGCATTTTCTACAGCAGAATAAAGCTGTGTATCACACATGTTGACATTATCTCAGTAATGATAACCCTACAGGTAGAATTCCCTCCTTGTAAACTAAACTGCCTCTGTGGTGTAGTGGAAAGAACATCTGCCCGGAGAAAGGTCGGGGTTTGTCCTCCCGACGTGTCATACAAAACAAGGTTCATACAGATATGGAATACTAAAATTAAAGGCCTTTTCAAGGCTTTTCAACTGTCATTTTCAAGGCTGTTATAGTTGCGTTATACTTCCTTAATACCCTGTATGTCCCACTACCCTCATCTTTACCTGGATGGCCACTTCCTTAATACCCTGTACGTCCCACTACCCTCATCTTTACCTGGATGGCCACTTCCTTGATACCCTGTACGTCCCACTACCCTCATCTTTACCAGGATGGCCACTTCCTTAATACCCTGTACGTCCCACTACCCTCATCTTTACCTGGATGGCCACTTCCTTAATACCCTGTACGTCCCACTACCCTCATCTTTACCTGGATGGCCACTTTCTTCTCCTCTCTCCTCCTCTTCAGGTACTCAATCAGTGGTGTTGTTGTTTTAGGACACCCATGGTTTGCTACAAACAGAGCAATGTGTCTTACAAAATCTGTTAGCTTCTTTCATCATAAGAACATTTCTTCGAATGTATGTACTGATGTATTGTGTTGTCCAATACTTCAGTCAATGAGTGGGTGGAAAATGGGTCCTGTCACAACACTGATCAAACCTGGACCAGACAAACCATAGTAGAGCCTGCAGCTAGATGAGTGAGTGAGTTGGGTTTAACGCCGCTTTTAACAGTATTCCAGTCATATCACGGCGTGTCAGCTTAATGTGGGAGGAAAGCCCGAAGTGATGCAAGTCTCAGACGTTTACCACTTCGGTGAAACCCACAAGCACGGGTATGGTGCTGACAAACCTAGAAACATAATCAGGGCGAACCGGGATTCAAACCCACAATCATAGGTTTCTGGCGTGCCCAAGGGACACAACTCTGCACAGTGAATAGCGGTGCCTTACACGACTGGGACACCTGTGCACCCCTGCAGCTAGATGAAAGTAGAAGACGAAACTCAGATGGGTATAGTAGTGGACTGGTAGGTAAGTGAACCACTTGCACAAACTGAGCTTAGTGTGACTGTATGAGAGCCTGGATTTAAGATCGTAATCATCAACAGTGGAGGTATATTTATCATCCAAAACTGGCTCCGACAGGAGATATCGCTTAGGTGAGATCAAGCGATATCTATACTGTAGATATCGCTGCAATGAAATTGCATCACAATGCTTTGCAGACCATTGTGACGTCATTGGTCACAGTGTGGTCACAATCAAATGACAACACTAATGGCTCTGCTACTGAAGCTGTTAGCAGTACTTTTTACACTGAAGATACTACTTAATACTGTCTACAAACTGAAAATATCATTAATACATTCCACAAGGTGCACCACGGGCGACAGCACATATACAAAGGGAAACCACTCCTATCTAGAGTATGATCTATGATTAGCTGCCCTTGAGTTAACAAAGAGGTCATGACCATTACAAACAACTTTCAGACAACTATGTACCTATGAAGATCCGGGGTAGAATAGGTCTTCAGCAACCCATACTTGCCGTTAATGGCGACTATGCTTGTCCTAAGAGGCGACTAACGGGATCGGGTGGTCGGGCTCGCTGACTAAGTTGATGCATGTCATTGATCCCAATTGCGTGGATCGATGCTCATGATATCAGTCACTGGATTGTCTGGTCCAGATTCGATTATTTACAGACCGTCGTCATATAGCTGGAATATTGCTAAGTGCGGCGATAGACAACAAACAAACAGACAAGTATGTTCTTATCCTTCCCCTGATTAGTGAAACGGTATGCTGCTTCACACTTCTTTCAGTATAGAGTCGATGGGAATGACATTTTTAGCTATCAACTCAATAATTATGGCGTTCACTATCGCGATTAACAATGTTTGGCGTGATATCTATGATGCGTTTTTCGTGTTGTTGAAGTGTTGATTCGAATCACACAGTATAACGACATGAAACAGCCATGTTTGAAAGTGAAGCAAATTGCCTAATGTACAACAGACCCTGTCTTGCATTCCATTTTATCAATTGGACTCAGGGACAACAAAGATCTTAGCTACTTAAGATTGCTCTGAACCAGCTGTAAGCTTCAACTGCAGCTAACAATGATCTTGGCCTACAATCGCGTTGTGCAAGAGGATGGCGATTGTAGCGGAAGCCTAAGATCTCGATCTTAAGGATTTACAATAATTGTAGTGCAAAGATTGTTTTGTCAAAGTGCGACACTCACCTTTCATCTCCCTCTCCCTCTGTTCTATCTCCTCCAGGTAAGAGTCGATGGTGGCTGCAGGTTCAGATTCTGGGTTCTGCAGATTTTCCAGAAATTTCTGGTAGTCCGAGTCTGAAGTCAACAAGAGTGAGATTAATCAGGGTATCGGTACAGACATACTTCTCAAACTTCCTTACACGAAGCTCTTGCGTACCTTCAGGCCAAGTTTGCTTGTTTGTTTGTTGTTTAATGCCACACTCAGCAATATTCCAGCTATATGACGGCAATCTATAAATAATCGAGTCTGGACCAGACAATCCAGTGATTGATGTCATGTGCATCGATCCAAGCAATTGGGATACAATGACATACATCAACCAAGTCAGAGAGCCTCTCCACCCGATCCTGTTAGTCGCTTCTTGCGACAAGTATAGTCGCCTTTTATGGCAAGCATGGGTTGCTGAAGACCTATTCTACCCCGAATCTTCACGGGTCCCTTCAGGCTAAGATATATACATGTCTGAAGATATATTTCTTGTATTATGCAACACCAACCTTGTTCTATGGTCCCCTTCTTAGTGTCTGGCTTTTTCACCTTCTTCTTTGGAACTTTCTGGAAGGGAGAGAACTCCACAATGGCTGGGTACTCATTCCCTGAAAAGACATTCATGTTTTTATATATAACTCTGCGGCATTATTCCAGGAATTAACATCTGGTATTAGAGGTGTCATTGGTTGGAAATTTGACTCAAAAGTATCACAACATAATGATACAGTGACTACCTGACTAACACTAAACACTAAAGTAATTATTCTGAATGTCTACAGATATCAATTACCCATATGGGCCTGTGATTAATCAATTTCATGCTAAATATGAAGTATGACAATGTCTCCCCTTTGTGGGTGGGGGTGGAGTAGAGATGTCATAAGCATCTTACTCCTTTTAATATTCCCCAAGGGAACCAGACAGTTTCAAATGGTATTTGTCAACATATGACATTGAACACATCACTAAAGCAAGGAGTATGACAAGCGGACAGCCTACCCTTGCTGTCAATGAAGATGTAGCCATCAAATTTATCTCTGAAGGTATACATGTCCTCAGCATTTTGGAAATTGATGTAGGCTCTGGTGAAGGCATACTGTCCCAAGCTGAAACACAACAAGAAGCAGGATAAGACTTCCATTATTTCTTTATTCTCAAGGGGTGGTGGGGTAGCCTAGTGGTTGAAGCGTTGGCTCATCACACCAAAGACCCAGGTTCAATTCCCCACATGGGTACAATGTGTGAAGCCCGTTTTACAGTGTCCCCAGCCGTGATATTACAGGAATATTGCTTAAAGTGGCGTAAAACCATACTCACTCACTCTTTATTCTCAAATTTTTATGTTTCAATTTTTCACAGAATAATTCTTACAAAGGTTCAAATCTCACCTTAACCATGTTAATTTGAAACAGCAAATGTATAACAGAAGGGTTTTCTATGCTAATCTTTAGTCAACAACTTTTTGTATTTTCTTGTGTATTGCACATTTGAGTGTAATGAACATCCCCCCATTCTTAGGTACAAGTTTCGGGGGAAATTGCTATTCTGCATATACCATGTATACTGTGCAGTAAGAAAATACCTGGTATCTTTTCAGGTGAACGAACAGAAGATAACAAACTTGGTATATGAAAATGGGAAACTTGTGATAAAACATCACCATGCATGATGACATTTGTTTGTTTGTTGTTTAACGTCGCACTCAGCAATATTCCAGCTATATGACGGTGGTCTGTAAATAATCACTTCTGGACCAGACAATCCAGTGATTGACATCTTGAGCATCAATCCACACAATTGGGATCGATGACATGCATCAACCAAGTCAGTGAGCCTGCCCACCCGATTTCGTTAGTCACCTCTTACGACAAGCATAGTCGCCTTTTACGGCAAGCATGGGTTGCTGAAGACCTATTCTACCCTGCATCTTCACGGGTCGCTTGATGAAAAATACCCAGTATCAAAACTGAAAAGAGTTTTAACATAATGATTGGAAGAAATTGTAATTGAAACTAATATTTCACCAGGAATAATACATTTAAGGAATAAAGTTTGCTCAACCCTCAATTACACTGTCATAAGGTATAGTTTTGCAATGAACTTTTAAATTTAAAGCAAGAGAATGCACAGTGATTTGAACAGCATCATGCAGAATGATGTCAGCTAAATGCAGGATAAAATACAGTGATCAGTCTCTACACAGCTGTATTTTGGGGGCAAAATGTGAGCACAAAACACAGGAAAATATGGTCGATATTGTCGCCATATTTTTGTAGCCAAGTGGTGAGCAGTAGATCAATTATGATTGTAAATCATACAATTAGGTAACAGTGGCAAACAATATGGTCGCCACTTAGAGGGCTGGAAATATGATGTCATCAATTGTTGGATAAGATCACTACATTCCAAACTGATGACATAATTTTCTTTCATAGCTGTTCGAGTAAATGATCATGATAATAAGAGAGCTCCATCAAAAGAAAAATACATTGTTGTATTAACTTTGATGCACATTGTGAGTAGGATCTGGACGTTAGATCCCCTATTTGTCAGCCTACCTCATGTCAGCCTTGACATAGTAGAAGAAGTCATACTTGGGGAGAGGTGACACCTGCTCAAGGAAGACCTCCGGTGTCAGTGAAGGAGGGAGGCGCCGAATCACAACCTAAAATGCATTCACAGACATTATCAATAATATTTTGAGTAAAAAAAGGTGATGTATTCTGTCACCTATCTGAAATCATAACACCTCATAGCAGCTATAATCAAAGAACAGAAAATCTCTGTTGCAAAAACCCACATGAAATCAGACTTCTCTGAACACCTCAACTTTATTCACACAATTTTCAGACACTTTAAAAGTTATATTTAATTGCTGGATACCATGGAGAGTGACCGGCAAAGTACATGTCGTTAGAATCTGCTGACAACCCAATTATATCATAATAAATATATATATATCTCAAGAAAAATTAATTAGTATAAAAAAAATAATATTGGTGGCTCTTTCGATTAGGGTTAGTTCTGGTAGGGTAAGGGTTGGTAACCCCTTACTCTATCCTTTGCCCTTGGATCCTTGAATGATAATAATGCTGAACATATTCTATACCACCTCTTATGTGGCCCCAAATCTGCACTCATGCTCCCTGACTGTCAACGGCAAAAACAAACAACTGTTAAACTGAACTAACCAGCTGGACTAAATGTAGTAATCATGGTAATGACAACACAACATAATACAACCCATTAATTCTTGTATTAACGACGGGCTTAGATTGATGTTTTCTTTTTGTTTGAATGTGTAATGTTGACTAGAACGTTTCAAATTATACAGTTCTTCTAGTTCTGTTCCCAAATCAATGTTTCATTTTCAAATTAGACAGCTATATTTTCTGTATCCTTCTAATATACCTTTGTAGGAGGTGACTCTCTATCCTTGCCTCTTCTCTCATCACTACTTCTTTTTTCTGACAATTTTGATGATTTAGTCTCAGACCTGTCGTGTGTCATTGTATCAACAGTTTATTATCTACTTTCTGGTAAATGAAGATTTCCACCATTTTAACCGGATGTTGTCAGTTAGACTGAATGAGTACAGCAGTAAAGGCTTGAGAATTTCGTTTTCATAAATTACAGTAGATGTAACATTTGTTCTAGTAATACAGTGTGATAAGAATATTTTTGTGTGATAATGAATTTATTAAACCTCTTTAAAACGGTTCATAATAATCACCAATTAAATTCGAGAATACTGATTTACTGCTTACCTAGTGTGATAGATGTCCGAAAGGACATGGAACTCAAGTTACTGTAAAATACATCATTGGAAGCAGCGTAGAACGTTACGTGTGATTTCCAATTATTTGGATATTATTTGTTGTGGATTACCTGTAACAATAAAGTCGAATTTATATCAATATCAACAAAGTTACATACTTTTTATGAAGTAAATATCCCAACTCACCCTGTTTACTAACGTAGTTCAGATATTTCTCCTTTCGGGTGTGCCCTTCACTACTGGGAAAATCGAAATGTGGTACGAAATACTGCCGAGTGCTGCTCTCGTTATGAGCTGCATAACTGCACCAACGTACATAAACTGGGTCATAAGTAAACTGAGTTACAACGGAAAGGTATGCGTGTTCACCGTTAATTACGTTTTGACAGGGCATAAACGTTTTCCATTGATGTCAATGTCAAAGTCATTTCTGTGTTCAATCTAGGCTAGTGATAGCCTACTGTGAATATGACGCGGAACAGTAAATATCCCCACAAGAGAGTACACCCCATAACTTTCTGTTAACTGGAGGGTCAGGCTTTCTTATTTGCTTGATGCATCATTGCATGTCATCGTATCACAATTGCGTAGATCAATGTTCATCATGATCATGATGTCAATCACAGGATTGTCTAGTTCAGACTCCACTATTTCCAGGCTGACATCATGTAGCAGGAATATTGCTGAGTGCGGCGTTAAGCAACAAACAATCAAACAACCTCTGAGTGGAATAGTTTAGAGCTTTGCTTATTTCTCTTTTGTCAGAGTTGTCAAAGAAACTGGGACGCAGGCCTCTACATGGACTACAACACATATCTCAGGGACAAGAGGATAACAGGAAGTGAATATGTGCCACGGGTGCGTTCAAGAAATTTGAAGTGTTCAGGGATTTATCTGGGCATTCTCAGAGGCCACAAGTATCAGCTGACATGGCTAAAGGGTTTTAAAAAGTCACAAATTTTAAGTAAAATTTCCATGTTCAGGTTGTGATACTTGAAAGTAATTTTTCAGCTATACAAGTTTGACTTTTATTTCACTGATATGTGGATAGTTAAAAGCAAAAGCTTTTAATCATGTTAATACTTAGTTCTTCAATATTTCAATGAATGCAATATCAAAATACCTGTTAATATCATCAGATCATGACCAAAAACAATTCCAAATGTTTATTGGGAATATGATATGCTTGCTACCTCAGTAGGGGGCACGGGTGGCCCAGTCGTCTAAGGCGCTGCAATTCGCTGTGCAGAGTTGCGTCCCTTTGGCACGCCAGAATTCTATGATTGTGGGTTCGAATCCCGGTTCGCCCCGGTTATGTTTCTAGGTTTGTCAGCACCATACCCGTGCTCGTGGGGTTCACCAAAGTTGTAAACGTCTGAGACCTGCACCACTTCGGGCTTTCCTCCCACATTTAGCTGACACGACGTAATATCACTGGAATACTGTTAAAAGCGGCGTTAAACCCAACTCACTCACTCACTTTACGCTGCTTTTAGCAATTTTCCAGCAATATCTTGAACGGGGACAGCAGGAATAGGCTTCACACATGTACCCATGTCGGGAATCGAAACATGGTCTCAGGGATGACGAGCGAACACTTTAACCACTAGGCTACCTGACCGCCCCTAACCACGATGAACCCGTACTGATCATGCTGGTTCCATGTGTTTGTTGTTGCAGGGGCTGGAGTCTATACCTGACGAGAAGAGTAACTGATGGCCGACTGCTGCAGTGTTGAGGTCATCAACTAGTGAACATTGGACTGTCCAACCTGCTGATTAGGTTCAGGGAGGACTTTGTAACATATTTCTGCATAGAGTAGACGAGTAAATGATGTGTTGTATCAAATATTTTTTGTCTTCTTTTTATCTTTGGAAATCAACTCGCAATTGTAGTTACATGATTTGTTTGTTTTTTGTTTAACGCTGCACTCAGCAATATTCCAGCTATATGACAGCGGTCTGTAAATAGTTGATCGTTAGTCACCTCTTATGATGCAGAGGATGATAAAAAAAAGAGAACAGGTATGTTTGTGCGGCATTGTGGAGCTGGGTCCCAAACACATATCAGTTTTCAAAGATGTGGAGGGGGGCACGGGTGGCCCAGTCGTCTAAAGTGCAGCAATTCGCTGTGCAGAGTTGCGTCCCTTGGGCACGCCAGAAACCTATGATTGTGGGTTGAATCCCGGTTCGCCCCGATTGTTTCTAGGTTTGTCAGCATCATACCCGTGCTCGTGGGTTTCACCAAACTGGTTAACGTCTAAGACCTGCATCACTTTGGGCTTTCCTCCCACATTAAGCTGACACGCCGCAATATAACTTGAATACTGTAAAAAGCGGCGTTAAACCCAACTCACTCACTCACTCACTCAAAGATGTGGTGGTGTTATGTAATCCTCAATAAAAGGTAAGGACCACCTGTTTTGTTATATTAGTGAGGTGAGGTGAATTGGGGTTTCACGTCGTGTCCCAGATTATTCCACTTATATACTGACAAACATGCATGTACGCGTGCGGGCGTGCCATTGTATTAGTCTAGACTGATGCCGATTTTATAGTGCTAGCCACTGAGATACCATGCCCTATCTTAACATGAATACCCCACTCAGACACAGTATACTGACTGAGCCAACCAGCCCTTGTTTTAACCCCTTAATGCTGAGCGCCAGACAGGGTAACAACAAGTACCATCTTTTGAAGTCTAGGTGTGACTCAGCCGGGGATCAAATCCCGGTCCTTCCTGCCGCTCTCCAGCCGGACCACAGAGGCGGTCAGTTCACATTAGTATAATGAATCTGACATATTAACTGTAGTGTACTACTCACCATTTGCTAAGGTCCACATCTTTGACTGAAGACAACTTTTTTGGCCCATTAGGTAATGCTAAGTAGTATAATGGGAACGAATCAGGTGGTCATTGACCTTTTTTTTATTACTGTAGTTTAAGGGCGACATTGGCCAACATAAGGCTTCTGTCTCTATTTGTATGGTTTGCGCCCAACACATTATCTTAATTTAATAAGAATCACAAAGTATTGCCGTATTTGACGTAATAAGCGCCCACAGCAATATTTGCTAATATATTCGTTAGTGAACAATCTCAATTAGCACCCCCTTCCGATCAATGTACACAAGACTTATTTATTCATGTATAATACGCACTGGTGAGTTATATGCACCCTTAATTATGGGCAATTAAATCCTGGAAAAATATATATGTCGTATATATACATTTCAGGTTGTCAGCATAAACCACGAAATTTACAAACTTTCAACTGGTTTTTTTCACCAAAATAATATTCCAATAAGAGCCCCCTATTTCTAATTTTGAGAGCGCCCTGGGTGCTTATTACGTCGAATACGGTATATTGCAAAAAAAGAGCACAAAATCATTGCAGACCAGTCTGACCAGGACCAATGGTGTCTTTCTAGAAAACTTGATCCAGGTCTATAAGAACAAGCTAGATCTCACAATTATAAACTGACTGAAGTTATTCTCCCACTACTCTCAAATGATCCTCGGCCTCGTCTGTGAATTTGTTTATTATAAATATTAGTTACGTGGAGTGGAATGTCCGAATAACTCTCCATTCTTTAGTAATAATGGAGCAGGGGCTGAGGCCCTGTTATTTCCTCAAGGAATGAAGAGTTACGAGGATGTTTTCCTGCTTAAAACCCATCCCTACCTTTACACTTGGACAAGACATTCTCTTGTGCAAAATACTTGAAAAATAAAACAGACTGTATTTGTACTGTGTGCGTCGCCCTTGCGTGATGCAGAAGGAATACGTTTTCTGCTGCTGTTGCACGTGCACCAAGCTTATGTTTACAATACATTGTACACCGCTCTTCATAATTTCCTAGGGTCCTAAACTAGTATTGTGTCAATTGTTTGCACGTTGTAAAAGCATGCTGATGGGGATTTTTAGGAAATGTGAGTGAGTGAGTTGGGTTTAACGCCACTTTTAACAGTATTCCAGTGATATTACGTCGTGTCAGCTTAATGTGGGAGGAAAGCCCGAAGTGACGCAGGTCTCAGACGTTTACCACTTCGGTGATACCCACGGGCACGGGTATGGTGCTGACCAACCTAGAAACATAATCGGGGCGAACCGGGATTCGAACCCACAATCATAGGTTTCTGGCATGCCCAAGGGATGCAACTCTGTACAGCAAATTGCAGCGCCTTAGACGACTGGGCCACCCGTGCCCCCTTTAGGAAATGTAAAGTCCTGAAAAAGTGTATGTGTTTTCCCAAATATTTTTCTTGTCAACGGTTAACCTAACAGCTTTAATTATAAACATTGTTGTAGGTACCCTGCTGTAACAGATGATTATGTACACATTTGTTTAAGAGTTAAAAGACTATGCAAATATTTGAAAATATTAGTTCATTTCACACCATCGATAATTAGACGTCAAATCAAACGATGCTGGGTTCGAACCCCGCTGGCGACACGTATTTTCCTACAAAATTTAAAATCATTCCCTTGTCTAAGGATGCAAGTTAGTTCTGTCTATTCCAACTGTAAATTAATTGAATATTGGTTCAAGATAATGTACAATTGACAAACAACTGTCCACTCCTGAAAAAATATGGAACGTTCAAACATTAGAATGATGTCACAGATGTGTTTTAAAAGACAGTAACTGGTTGATCAAGATAGTAATGTTATAGGTGAGGTGAAATAGGGTTTACGTTGCATTCAAGATTTCTCTCCTAAAGCGATGTGCATGCATGTGTGTGTGTCTGCTTGTACATATCAAGGCTAACGCCATCTTCCCGAGGCAAGAGAGTTAACGGACTATAAAAGTCCAGTTTCCACCCTTGCCGAACTAGGCAGGAATTATGGAGTTACAGTTTGGCTGGACCAACGTGTCTATGCATAGTCCAATCAAAATCGCACACCGAAATTGAAATCCGGTTCATAAACTGTCATGCACATTTCGATCGATTGCAGGATGTGCAAATCATGTGCACTGCCAACTTGTCAGCAGATATTTTCCAAATCTTTTCATGTTTTTAATCAAGGTGCTCACGTGATTTGATGCATTTCGCGATGCAAGACCCGTTTTATCACAGTATAGATCTTGATTATATGTATACTGACTCCAAGCCAACCAGTCATTTTGTGTGAAGCAAACGCAAGTGATACAAGCGGTGGAATCTGATTCCATAGGAGAGGCTTAGAAGGGACATAACTGGTAATAGCCACTGGTGGCGCTACGATCAAGTCCAGTAATTACAGCCTAGTTCGGCAAGGGTGGAAACTGGACTTTTTAAGTCAGTTAACTCTCTTGCCTCGGGAAGATGGGCTAACGCTGGTTTCATAGTGAGATACCATTTTGCAGTTTAACATGGATACTGTATACTGACTCCAAGCCGCCCAGTCCTTGTTTTATCCTGTTAATGCCGAGCGCCAGGCAGTGTAACATGTAGTACCTCCTTTTGGCATGACGCGTCCAGGGGTCGAACCATAGACTTTCCACTCTCCAGGCAGATGTTCTTTCCACTAGACCACTGAGTTCTGTTGAAGGCCATCACATTGTTATTAATGGAGTTTCTTAAAGGCAACATAAACCACCAGCAGCCACCAACTTGACGAGGCCTTCATAGAAAACAACAGGAAGCAATATAAGGGAACATTATTTATTTATAAATAATGCAGTGGGACTGTACAAGTCTCATGTTGACAAGTTGTGCTGCTTGTCCGTACACAACTTACAGGGAAAAAAAATATTTTTAAAAAAATTAGAAAAAAATGGACAAGATCATCACAGGGTTTGGGTTGAGCTTCTATGTTCATATTAAAATAATCCCCCAAAATGTTCATGTCCTATAACTTGTCAGTGCTCGTCTATTACATTGCAGCACATGCTATAATTCTTGTTGAAACATCCCTTCTTCTGCTATACTATGCAACAAAATAACCTGTTCTTGAAATGTAACTGAAATGCGAACGCCCGAACTAATCAGAATAACAATTAAATCAAACTGATCTAAAATAGGAGCCATCCTTGAATATCCAGTGGGCTATATTGCCATTCTGTTATAAATACTCTGGACCCATTTGCCACCAAACCTCCTTCTGAAGTGACATCACCATCTGCGTATCAGTAATTTAGCACAGTGTTTCACTAATGACATACATACAGAAGCCTTTTGGGGCAATTTGTTTATTTATTTTTTTCTTGAAATTTCAAGCGACAAACTTATTTGAAAATTCAAGATTATTATCTTGAAATTTCAAGATAAGATTCAAATTTTAAGATCATAACTTGAAATTTCAAGAAAAAAACCAATGGCCCTGAAAGGCTTCTGTAGCTACATGTCTGAGGGTTACTTTTCAGCGTTGTGCCACTTGGATTGGGCTAAATACAAAGCTTTGGTAGCAAATGGGTCCTGGGTATAATACACTGAAGAAGATCTTGTAAGATCGAAGATGCAAAGTGCATAGGTCTTCAGTTATAACAACCAAGATATCTTTGATACAAGTCTGATGGTGAGAAGAACACTGCATCATGTGAGTATTTTGTCATATCACGGTGTTAGCTGTTGTACGGATGAAGAAAGAATCTCAGGAGTTTACCACTTTGGTGGAATCTACCAGCAAGGGTATGGTGCTGACAAACCAAGGATCGTGTACGGAATGGATTCAAACCCACAAAACACGGATCCTGAAAGGGGATGCAACTCTGCTCACTGAACTGCAATACGAAGACCACTGGCTACCTTAACCCCAATGCTCCCTTAAGCAATATCATCTTTGTATTCTTATGTTATTGGCTTTTTTAAATTTTTATTATTTTGAAAATTATTCCCCCTAAGTCATTTTGTTTCGTCTTTCCATTTTCACCTCCAAAACCCAGAACCCTGTGTAGATTCAGCCTTGTGAACGGAAGGATTTTTGTGCCTAAGACAACAAAATGTTTTGAAAAAGTTGAACTGACTATCATTCTTACACACAATCTACACATCTCTCACACACAGCACTTATATATGATGTGCCAAATCTTCCATCCATCACTAAACATTCTCATTTCATACTACATCAAATATTTACACAGAATCAGGGTGGGGTAAATATGCAGAGTTACCTGCCCTTGTCTTCACACAGGATTGTAGAACTCGAGTCATTGATCAAGCCATGTCCATATAATTGTACCATATTTACATTACATCAAGCTGGAGTAAACATACCAGACCAACAGTTCCAACCGAGAATTACAAACTATTTCTGGATTCAAGGTACATCCATTACAATTTTTTTCAAAAATTTATGTGACAGACTTACTCATTATGAAGTAAAGATAGTCTTTGAATCCATGTCTTAATGAATTATTAATCCAGCAGCAAGTGAAGATGAAATGATCTTAGTGACGAAGTGAACTGACCTTCTAAGGGACTCACCATTTACTATTTTGTAGGCTGGGGATTTGGGGAGAGATTATTTCGATTGCTTCAAAACACAATTTTCCATATCAGTATATCCAGTCTGTCCAATGTACAATTTGTTTTTAGGAACAAAATATGAAGAAATCAAATCTCAAGCCCTTGAGAATAGCAAATGGTCAGCTCCTTAAACCCTTAATGGCTATGACCTTGACTCCACATAATTCCATCCCTCTGTCAAATCTTTAAGGACAAGAGCAGATAATCCAGAAGAAACACACACTATAAAATGTGACAGGATCAGAAACATGTGGTCATAGCGTCAACACAACTGTCCAAGGAAGCTGCTGAACCCACGAACCCGTCTCCATTCACAGGACTTCAGGTATCTGTCTAAGAACTAGAATATAAACATTGATTCTTGTTAATGATGACAATGAACGGTGATGAGTTTTTTCTTGTCACACAAACATGTTGACGGATAATTGTTCATCAGGGAGGAAAAATATAGAGAGATATGTTTAAGCAGGGCAGCTCTCACTGCACAAAATATAATCATTTCTCTCAGCTGAACATGACGTACAGAACCCGTGGTGTTCTGTACAAGCAATGCATCGACAGATTTATTTGAGATGAAAGCATTGTTTAAGTCATCAAGATGGGCTAAAACTAGTGAACTAATGTTATATGGAAATGGACAATTTCTTAGAAGCAGCCTGCAAATGTCGAAACTTGTAATGCTTTTTTTCATCACAGTTTTTTAAATACAGACTCTCGCACCCTTCACGGTCACTCTTCACATGAAAATAAACAGTCACAGAAATCCTGTCTGTTTCAAATCCAAAAATACACATTTGCAGTAGTACAAAGCATTTTTAAGTTATTTACAGCTTCATAATCTTCACCCATACTTGTAAATATTTCAAACCAAAGTACACAAAACATAATAGTAAACAGAAGTCTGCCTCACGTACACGGGATAGTTCACGCATTCCCGTCCCGGTTATCTCCCTTGGCAAATCACAGTCATGCCTCGTGGTCGGATGGTAGACCCAGTTGGACATAGATCATCTCCAGAAAGGTGTAACATATATATGCAGGGTAAAGCTTGCAGTTTGTATTGTATATTTATACCAATGCCACACCTCATACTGAAATAGAAGTACTTTGAATAATGATTTCACCATACTGGTGAATAATGGGCGATTTTGACAAACGTCAGGATGTCTATTCCTCTGTCCTCCACAACACTTGATATGGTCTACAAACAGTAACCTGCATATAAATTCGAAGTACTGTCTGAAATGATCTACATAAACACACTCAGTATTCATTCATAGTTGTCTGTGGGGATGAAGCCCCTAGCACAAGACTCGGTAGCACTGATGAAGGTCAGTGGAACTGCCCCACAGCTGGAGGTATTAGGCCATATAGTGGTAGTTCGTGGGGTTATCCTTGTCTCTCTCCATGTAGTCACGGTCAATAAGGCTCTCGATTCTTTTCTTCAGGTCAGGTGACTGAAACATTCATCAGGATTATCATATTTAAGGCGTTACAAAATTAAAAGAATTGGTTCTCAGGCAATGGCTTTTAAAAATATAGTGCAGGCGGGCAGTGGATTTTTTGTTGTTCAAAACTCCTATTTCCGCCATGACCATAACACGAGATGAGTGAGTGAGTGAGTATTGTTTTACGCCGCTTTTAGCAATATTCCAGCAATATCACGGCAGGGGACACCAGGAATGGGCTTCACACATTGTACCCATGTCGGGAATCGAACCCGGGTCTTCGGCGTGACGAGCGAACGCTTTAACCACTAAGCTACCCTACCGCCCTAACACGAGATGAGCAGTAAAGGGAATTAACTCTGGCTATTTTGGATCACGTTGTTTTTAGGTATTATGATTTTAATTATTTTTTTTAATATGGAAATCAAAACGGCAGGCTTTATGATAATGCCAGCGGTGGCTGAGAGCCAAGACTATTATTTTTTTTTAGCCTAAGCATCAACAAAAAGTGAAGGAGTGGACAAGAATTGTTTTTTGTGTTTTGGGCAAAACTCCATTGTTTCATGGCAGGGGAGACCACATTTTACAGCATCTATGTGAGGTGAGGTGAAAAAGAGTTTGACATAGCATTCAAGTTTATTGCACTTATATAGCAACATAACTTATATAGCGCCTCACAGGCAGCTTGGGTTGTATACTCCCCAGGGAGCTGAGAATGAAAATCAAGTGCTCACTGATCCATTGACCGGGGTAATATTAGTGTAGCGCTATGAGCATCCACTCGGTGAATGGCATCTGGTGCATTATAAATGCACTTATTACTATTATTATTATATGTGTGGCTGCTTGTACTAGTCAAGACAAAAGCTGGTTTTACAGTGCAAGCCTAATTAGATACTATGACAAAATGGATACCCCATGTAGACACTGTATACTGACGCCGAGCCGACCAGTCCTTGTTTCAGACCCTAAATGGATACCCTATGTAGACACTGTATATTGACTCCAAGCCGACCAGTACTTGTTTTAGCCCCTAAACGGATACCCCACGTAGACACTGTATACTGACTCCAAGCCGACAAGTCCTTGTTTTAGCCCCTAAATGGATACCCTATGTAGACACTGTATATTGACTCCAAGCCGACAAGTCCTTGTTTTAGCCCTAAATGGATACCCCACGTAGACACTGTATATTGACTCCAAGCCGACCAGTCCTTGTTTTAGCCCCTAAATGGATACCCCATGTAGACACTGTATATTGACTCCAAGCCGACCAGTCCTTGTTTTAGCCCCTAAATGGATACCCTATGTAGACACTGTATATTGACTCCAAGCTGACAAGTCCTTGTTTTAGCCCCTAAATGGATACCCCACGTAGACACTGTATATTGACTCCAAGCCGACCAGTCCTTGTTTTAGCCCCTAAATGGATACCCCACGTAGACACTGTATACTGACTCCAAGCTGACCAGTCCTTGTTTTATACCCCTAATGGATACCCCATGTAGACACTGTATACTGACTCCAAGCTGACCAGTCCTTGTTTTATACCCCTAATGGATACCCCATGTAGACACTGTATACTGACTCCAAGCCGACCAGTCCTTGTTTTAGCCCCTTAATTGAAAACTACACAAGACAGCAACAGAGAGTCCACAAAGAAATTGCTAAAAAAAAGGACTACAAAACAACAGTTTCCAACAATTTCAAAATCTTAGCGTAAATATTATGCAAGACAGTCTGACCATCCTTATCATAAAAAGATCTTCATCTTCTATTCTATGTCTATCATACGTTTACCACTTTGGTAAAATCCACAGACATGGGTATGGCGCTAACAAACCCGGAAACATAATCAGGCCAAATGGGTTTGAATCCATGATGGTTAGTTTTCGCGAACACCTAAGAGACACAACACTGCACAGCGGCAACGCTACACCTCAAACAACTGGACCCCCTGTTCCCCCTGGCTAACCCACGTAATTGCCGTGGATGACTGTGTTATATATCTCGCTCACCTTGACTGGGAATTTGAGCTGGTTGTAGAGCTCCGCAATGAGGAGGTTATGACTGAGAGTCTTGCGTGTCTTCATGATGCGGACAATGGCAGCGTCTACTTGGTACTGTCGGTCCTGGAACACTCGTTCTGTTGTGCTGGTGTTTTCCTCTTGCTAGTAACATAGGAAAACAAATAGTGATGAACTTGGAGTGAATGTTGCTCAACGTTGTAGTATCCTTGCGGGGTTTTACAAATGTGCGACAAATGTCGAGACAGGACTCAGAAAAAGAAATATACTGTGTCCCAAAGGATGCACAAAAATATTCATTTTTCCTACAGAGCATCAAGAGCAGTCACAATCTCATTAAAATCAGATCTTAGTTCTTGCTACAGCTAAATAAAGATCTGAGGACATCCCATTACGGGTCACGTCAGACCGATCTTGCGCGAACTTTGACCGACCAATGGAATGACCAATCAGAAGGCAGCTTTCTCGTGCTTTACGGCACTAATTTCAAATTGGTGACTACGCTTCGAAACATATTTTGACAAATTCTCGAATACGAATTTGAAACCTGAACAAAAATAACATTCTGGAATGGCTAATAGATGGTCTACATTGTATGGATTCAGTTGTTAAGCCCGTAACTATCATTTGTAGTTAAAGTTTTCGAGGTGGCATGATTAGATATCACATTCCGACTGTCACTTTCATAATCTGGTAAGCGATGCTCTGATTGGTCGGATGAAAGGTCGTTTTGACGTGACCCCTAATGGGATGTCCTCAGATCTTTGTTTAGCGGTAGTGAGAACTGAGGTCTGATTTTAATGAAGTTGGAGCAGTCATGGGTGTCTGTGATTCACCCATCAATCATGACCACTGTCCACATGATCGTAGACTCATTCCAGGGTTTAAAGTAATTATCAAAATGTACACTGCACCATTTCATTACTTTACAGGACCCTCTAAAATAATTATTGGTTGTCCCCCATGATCCCCACTTTGTAAGACAAAATAAAACCTTGCCATCGTGATAAGTAACATTCAAACAATAGCATATCAGCCTCTTAAAATAAAATCTGGACCAGCCAATCCAGTGACTGTGTTTGTTTCTTTTTTGTTGTTGAATATTCCAGCTATATGAAGGCAGCCTGGAAAAAATCAAGTTTGGACTAGACAATCCTGTGATTGATATTGTGAGTAACGAATCACTGCATCGGGTTCAATGACAAGCAATCAACCAAGTCATGTAGTCTGACCACCCGATCCATTGGTCACATCTTACTACCAGCATAGGCTCTAGGGACCAATTATAACCCTGAATCCCCACAGCGAATCCAGCCATTGAATACATGAACAAACTGTAAATCATTACTCATAGTGTACAAAACTTCATCTTCCCGAGGCAAGAGAGTTAACTGACTATAAAAGTCCAGTTTCCACCCTTGCCGAACTAGGCTGGTATTATGGAGTTACTCTTTGCCTGGAGTAACGAGTCTATGCATACTCCAATCAAAATCGTGCACCGAAATCAAAATCTGGTTCGTAAATTGACGTGCAGATTTCGGTAGATTGCAGGATTTGCAAAGCATGTGCACTTCCAACTTGTTGTCAGCAGATATTTTCCAAATCTTTTCATGTTTTTAATCAAGGTGCTCACGTGATTTGATGCATATTGCGATGTAAGACCAGTTTTATCACAATATAGATCTTGATTATCGATCAGATCGTCCTGGCTAGGCGCCACCATTTTGTGTGAAGCAAACACAAGTGATACGTGAGGTGGAATCTGATTGGTCCATAGGAGAGGCCAAGAAGGGACATAACTGGTAATACCCACTGGTGGCGCTACGATCGAGCCCAGTAATTCCAGCCTAGTTCGGCAAGGGTGGAAACTGGACTTTTAAAGTCAGTTGCCTCGGGAAGATGACAAACTTAGACAGGGTTCTGGCCCCCTTGATGTTTGCTTCTATACTAATATTGAACCATGTCACAACTGCAATTGTGGGCAAGAAGTAAGCCAGTCAGCAATACTCCAGCTTTCTCATGGCACTGTAAATAATTACGTGTGTGCAGGCAAACAAGTGATTGATAGCATGAGCAACAATCAATACCATCAATGTGAGACAACTGAATCAGCCAGCTCACAAACTGCAACCACCCATCCTTAAGGGATGGCTTTTCAGCGTTAGAAATTGGCACTAGTCCTGTAGTCCTTGCCAAACTGCCCAATAGTTAAGGTATCATAAGGACTAGTAGAAATTTGCCATTTTTAGGGGTTTTGCTATATGTTATCATTATAAGGACTAGTGGACTGAAACTGTTAGTTTCTAACGCTGCTTTTCCTACGAAGCATGGGTTTCTGGGGACCTATTTGGAGACAGTTGGTTGGTTGGTTTGTTGTTTAACGCCACACTTAGCAATATTCCAGCAATATGACGGCGGTCTGTAAATAATCAAGTCTGGACCAGACAATCCAGTGATTAATATCATGAGCATCGATCCACGCAATTGGGATCGATGACATGCATCAACCAAGTCAGCGAGTCTGACCACCCGATCCCGTTAGTCGCCTTTTACGACAAGCACAGTCACCTTTCACGGCAAGCATGGGTTGCTGAAGACCTATTCTACCCTAGAATCTTCACGGGTCTAGTTGGATACAGAATCCCAAGAGTGTATGTCACAGGCTCACTAACTTGGATGATGCATGTCATTGCATCACAATAATCGATGCTCGTGATGTCAATCACTGGATGGTCTTGTCCAGATTATTTACAGACTGCCGTCATAAAGCTGGAATGCTGCTGAGTGTGGCGTTTAACAACAAACAAACTTCCAGCTACATGATTCACGGCTACTACAAACCGTTTCCTTCATCTGTATCTGGTTAATCTTGATTCTGTACAACTTGTGTTTGAAGTCATTGCAGAAAGAAAACTTGTCATCATCTTCCACTTCCTTCCCCTGAAAACCAACAAGAAATGTTACCATGGAAACAGGATAATACAAGCAACATCTATCTTAAGACCACTGGTATGAAATCAGAAAGATGCTATCATCACAATAGTGTAAGGATTTGCAAAAGTACGGAAATGATTTCTAGCTTTTTCAATAGCCACACATCAACACAGCAACCCTAATATACTTGCTAACTGAATACCTACTGCTTGACATGGTTACTATCAAACAGTGGAAACTGATTTTGACAGCACTTGTGACTCCTAGAAAGTGCAGGAATTTACACAGGAGTGAGTGAGTGAGGTTTAACGCTGCTTTGAACAGACGTTTATCACTTTGAAATCCATGAGTACAGGTATGGTGCTGAGAAACCTAGAAACCTAATCAGACGTGAACCAGGATTCAAACCCATAGCGTGGTTTTACGCGGCTTTTGGCAATATTCTAGCAATATCACGGCCGGGGACACCAGAAATGGGCTTCACACATTGTACCCATGCCGGGAATCAAACCCGGATCTTCGGCGTGACAAGTGAATGCTTTAACCACTAGGCTACCTGACCGCCCCTCCAAACTAAGTGCCCTTAGTAGGCAAATTGGGAAAAAATGTGGTATTATTCACAACTGGATTTTTCTAATGTTCTTATTTTCGTAAATTCTGATTGATAAAAGTTAATTTTTACTGTCATTTACAGCAGCCTTGGCTCGAATCGCAGCCTCTGAGCAGGTCTAGATAATTTACAGAAATCATCAAGAAATGTCAGAAAGATTTGAGACAAAACTGTCAGAAAAATCTGATCCTCTAATCACAACGGTCCTTACTTTCATTAAACCTTACCTTTGGGGCCTTGATGAGAACTCTAGCCTTGCCACAAGCCAGAGACTGCAGAGTGCGACGCAACTCACTGTCCGCTGTAAGAAGTCATTGTGTTAATTAGTTATCATTGTCTGGACTCAGTTGCACAGTACTCATCTGGTTTCAAAGAGAGGAAGTCCACAAAAAGACTAGATCACACTGAAGGTAAATGCTTAATGTACATATCACCTTGAGGGTAAATAAGGCTCACACCACATTCAGCAATATTCCAGCAATGCATCACCATGTGTGTCTGCTGTTAAACAACACAGTTAGCAATATTCAAGCTATACGACAGCAGCCTGTAAATAATACCCCTGAAGTCTGGATCAGACAATTCAGTGACCGATATTGTGAGCAATGATCCACGCCATCGGGGTACGGAGGTATACAAACAACTAAGTCATCAAGCCTGATCCCCGATCCATTTGGTTGCATCTTACGGCCAAGATAAGTTCCTGGGGACCAATTCTAACCTGGAATCACTGGGTGTGAGGAATAGAACCAGTGTCTTTCGTATTGCAACTTAATGCAGAGAGTATCCATGTATTGCGATTCATACCACAAAAAATTGCATGGGTTCTTTCATCTGTAATTCGCTAAGGAACCTTCTGAAAACTTGCACTTAACTGCATTTTCAGTAGATGATGTACACATATTTGCATCATTAGATTCATGGTATCCCCTGCTCATTTCACAAAAGAGTCACAGTGGTCACACAGTGGTCACACAGTGGTGTTTATTTATGTCCAGATCAACATAATGGACTTCCTCTGCATATTGTTTACAACTTTGTAGTCATCCGCTATTTTGTTGGATGTTGCTATGGTCAGAACACATTCGTAATAGACACAATAGTTTTGCTTTTTCGATCACAGGAATCAGTTGCTAATTTCTGAATTTCATAATTTTAATTTGACTTGTCACTTTTGTAAACTTTACCAACAAGATGAAAATATGCATGACTCTGAAAAATGCAATATACCAGTATTTTCTAAGCAAACAGTGATACGTATTCATCAGTATTTCAAATCATGTTATACCTATAACACCTCTTACCTCTAAACTTTAGGTTGATCGAAACATCTAGGCTGCCTAACACTGTCTCTCATTGCAAACTGATAAACGCATTCCTAATACCCTATTCGATATAATAAGCGCCCAGGACGCTCTCAAAATTAGAAATAGGGGCCTCTTATTAGAGTACTATTTTGGTGAACAAAAAAAAGTTGAAAGATCGGAAATTTCATGGTTTATGCTGACAGTCTGAAATGTTTATATGTGACAGATACATTTTCCAGAATTTAATTGCCTGTAATTAAGGGTGCATATAACACACGAGTGCGTATTATACGCGAATAAATAAGTCTTGTGTACATTGAGCAATCGGAAGGGGTGCTAATTGGGATTGTTCACTTGCCAATACATTAGCAAATATCGCCGTGGGCGCTTATTACGTCGAATACGGTAATTGCAATATTTGTGAGCAGGTATCACAACTTTATCTTACAAACAATAGTTTAGTTAGAAGTTGTCATCAATATTATTGTTTGTAATCAACTTTGAGAATGCCAACTGAAGATGAAGAACGAGTGTTATGATCGTTACGTACTGATAGCTGTGGCTGTCTTGATTTCGCTGTATGTGTAGTCATCTCCTTCATTGAAGAGTAGAAGACACAGAGACTGGAAGAGGGATACCTGGAGCTCTTTCTTCACCTGCAATACAACGTGGAGGTCGGGGGTTCAACACTGCTTCTCAAACTAACAGGTCAACAATGAGTTAGTATGACTGTACATAACTTTTAGAAATATTCCAGCAATACCCAGCAATACTCAGCAACATTATAGTAACATTAAAGTAATATTAGAAGCAATACTCCGGCAATATTCCAGCTACCCTACAACTCCTCGGTCACCAGTTGGTTGGGTTGTTGTTTAACGCCGCACTCAGCAATATTCCAGCTGTATGATGGCGGTCTGTAAATGATCATGTCTGGACCAGACAATCCAGTGATTGATATCATGAGCATCGATCCACGCAATTGGGATCGATGACATGCATCAACCAAGTCAGCGAGCCTGACCACCTGATCCCGTTAGTCGCCTTTTACGACAAGCATAGTCGCCTTTTACGACAAGCATGGGTTGCTGAAGACCTATTCTACCCCGGAATCTTCACGGGGTTCGGTCACCAGTAATAGGTAGGGCTGATACTGAATTCATCTAATCACTGTGTTCAAATATTCCCCAGTTGAATTGCGTTCAAGATTATTGCACTATATAGGGACATGCAAGTATGTGTGTGTGTGAATGCTTGTACTAGTTCAGACTTATGCCCGTTTTATGGTGCTAGCCCAATGAGATACCATGCCGCAGTTTAACATGAACACCCCACTCAGACACAGCACACTGACTCTGAGCCAACCATTCCTCGTCTTATCCCAATAATGTCAAGCACCAGGCAGGGTAACAAGTACCATCGTCTTTTGGTATGACTCAGTCAGGGATCGAACCTTCCACTCTCCAGGCAGACCCACTATCCACTAGACCACAGAGGCGGTGAGGATGACAAGGAGTCTAACACTTGTTATGTAAAATCAGTCCAACAAACACACCTAAAAATCTCAAAGATTGCCCCGAGCCATGAGTGAGTGAGTGAGTTTGGTTTTATGCCGCTTTTAGCAATATTCCAGCAATATCACGGCGGGGGACACCAGAAATGGGCTTCACACATTGTAACCATGTCGGGATTCGAACCCGGGTCTTCGGCGTGACGAGCGAAGGCTTAAACCACTAGGCTACCCGACCGCCCCCCCCAAGCCATGAAATACTTACCCCAGCAAATGTAGCCTTGAGAACACAATGCCCTAGGGTGGGCTGCCACTGCAGTTTACGACCACTGTGCTTGCCGAGGTAAAATGTTTTGAACACTTCTTGGAACTGAATCATCTGTAAAGGAAAGAACATATTGCTACTTCTTTCTGAGCCATATAAATAATCAAAGAATACTGTATCCAGTCGCAATGAAAGATGTCAATTTGTCACACAGTGATTACAGAAGTGGAAGTCCTCAAAGTTAAAAAGATAAGATCACCATGACAAAGTAGACACAATTTATGGAGAACAACTTTATCCATAAATTGTGTCTACTTTGTAATCCGTAAACTTCTAAGTAATGCCTATCAAACAAGATCTACCCTCATTATTCAAAACGATTGCAAGAGAGCATATAAAAAAAGTGACAAAACCATTTTCATCAGAGGTCGTAATACAGTGAACTACGTTTATAATGAACAAGCTTATAACAAACTGACGGATGTAACATACTGTATTTTGATCCCGGGCATTTGCTATATATATGTGTATATATGCTTTAATGAACTACAGTTATAACGAACTCAAATAAGTGGTCCCTTTGAGTTCGTTATAACCATAGTTTACTGTACATTGTACGTTACCGAATATATAGTGTGTTGAATAACTATCAAATAGTGATCATCCTGGCCTACTAGTGGCGCCCATCCCAAACACATGCAAAGATAAGTCAATTGTTCACCTGAACAAATATGGGAATATATGGTACAAGTCAAAATAGGGCAAAAGGTTGCTGGCCTTAAATGCCGATCAAACAACTTTTGATTGAGTGAGTGAGTATGGCTTTACTCTGCTTTTAGCAATATTCCAGCAATATCACGGAGGGGGACACCAGAATGGGCTTCACACATTGTACAAAGTCGGGAAATCAAAGATTTTCACAGAAATGAATTTGGTTCTCTGCCAAGATTGCAAAAATTCAAGTAAATGAAGCAGAACAGATTTCCTGTGATTGCGGTGGGATGGAAGTGTGTAACAGTAGGATAGGATTACCAACTTCCTGCAGGAACTAAATACAGGGATGTGAGCTGGTTTTCCCCCAAAAGGGGAAATGTCTAGGGGGGTCTGGGGGCATGAACAACAATCACATGAACAACTGTAAAACATATAATTCACTTACAGGCTAAAAGACAACTTTATCTTAAAAACAAGCCATCATCTGAGTATTTACAATTTCTGTGTTATACCCCATGTTATAGTGCAATTATTCGTGATAGAAAACGTATGAAGTCCGAAAACCTATGATGCTGAAAGCTCTGATCGAAAACAGGACAATTCGCAACGGTTGTCTGGTTTTCGATAACCTTTTTCAGAGTGTTTTTTTTTAATCTTTGATTTAATTTTACGCGAAAGATGATTTTTTCTGAGGACTAGTGTTTTAAAAAACACAATTTTCCGCATTTCCGCGGAGATCTCACATCCCTGTAAATGGAGTAACAGGAAGGCTGATTTCAACAGTTACAGAGACCTCTATAGATATGTCATGTCGCTATCTCTCACCTCGGAGGGAAGGTGCACCTCCATGGGCTGATATGTGGGCCAGTGCCCCATGGTGAGGATGTTAACCGTCAGATCGATTCCCCCGGGGGCGTCCTGGTTCTGCATGTACTGCAAACAGACACAAACACATTCAAGTTTTAGTTCTATCACAAACACTAAAACAGCACCTACCAGTAGACTTGCAATTTAAGCCACAACACCTGGGCCCACTTGCACAAAGCGATCTTAGCGCTAACATGATCATAACTCCCATACTTTAACATTGGCTTACAATAGTCTTAGCGCTAAGATCGCTTTGTGCAAGTGGGCCCAGGTTATATCGAAGGTTGGTAATAGTCTTTGAGAAACTTACTGTTAGAATATGGGCAATAAATAAAGCAATCCGTTCAAAAATCTTTAAAAACAACAACCCAAAAATGACTAACATAATTTTCAGTTGATTTTATTGCTATTATATGGAATATTGTTCGCCAAGTTTACCAGACTCAAAAGAATTTTATGAAATGGTACTGCTGCCTTCAACATGGAACACAGTAGGTCACATTGTGTGGTCAATATATATGAGCATAGGAAAATGGACAATTTAGCCAACCATTGTCCAGACCCTAAACACAGCAAGAATATCTGTAGTACAAGCATTATAAAGTAATTTAGTATTCAATTAGTTAACAAACAAATAACGAGGGGAGTTGTTTATCGTACAAATCATATGACGTCATCAAAACATAATATGCTTTGTTCTTCAATGTTCTTTGCGATTTATCGCTTAGCTATCTGTTATATATCTCTGTAATATGCATTTCATAAAAAAAGATTTATACTCTTCAACTTTTAAAAGATAAGCGTGCCCAGCCCAAATCCCATCCTATTCATATGCCAACATCTCCAAACAACCTCTCCGATTTAACCCCACCTGGACACTCAGAATAACCCCAACAAATGTGGAGCGGTATATGCAAACAGCATAATATTGCAAGAAAAAGTCAAATTGAATTATACCTCCTCGTTATTATAATATGATTATCCTCATAAGTTGTCTGTTACTAAAAGACAATGAAACATATGTGAACTATTTTCGGACAAATTTCCCAATATAAATAGAGAATTCATCACTTGTGTTTTTTAATATGGGAAATATCAACCGAGTCTTAGTTAATCGGTATTTGCCGAGCCTTTGGCGAGGCAAATACCGATTAACGGGACGAGGTTGATATTTCCCTTATTAAAAAACACAAGTGATGAATTCTATTTATCATTTTCACATTTTTGCTTCCCAATTAAGGAATATTTGCATTAAACATTAACATCAGCAACTTGTCGAAATCTTACGTATAGATCGTGCGTAGTGATACATGTTTTCCATAGCCGTGTAAACCAAAATAAACAACCTCTTAACTCCTTTATGACATATTCTTTCGCTGAGAAAAAAAGTTCCTCGGATTATTTTAAACAAAATACTTGAACAGACTTTTGCAGAATAATTGAAATAATGTCTCCAACATCAAAGGTATCCATGTTGTTTGTAAACACCTACTCACGTGCATCGGCGAAAAAAGTCCCACTTCCGGTTATCTAATTTGCATATCTAATTTGCATACTTATGTCATTGGGGTATGACATACACGTTTTTATGTCATAAGCTTATGTCATGGATAAATGCTTTAGTTAAATGATAAAGTGTAGTATCCATTAGGAAGGTTAATTGAGACTCCTACTTGTTTAAAGGCAAGTGTCAATTCTTTTGACAGCTCCATGTCTTTAAACATTCCCTCCAGCTTCCCAGTGAAGGCTGCACCACACTCTGCTCAACAGAAACAATGATGCATCACACAATGATCACAATGATGCATCACACACCTGCAGTCCCATCAGCTCAGCGGCTAGAGTAACATCCATGGTGCTAGTTTGTTGTGTAGCATCTCAGCAAACACTAGTTTAAGCTACATCAGCACATCCTGCAATCTCATTAAAATCAGATCTTAGTTCTCGCTACCACTAAACAAAGTTCTGAGGACATCCCATTACGGTCACGCCAGACAGACCTTGCGCGAACTTTGACCGACCAATGGAATGACCAATCAGAAGACAGCTTTCTCGTGCTTTACGGCACTAGTTTCAAATTGGCGACAACGCAACATATTTTGACAAATTCTCGATTAAAATTTTGAAACCTGAACTAAAGAACATTCTGGAATGGCTAATAGATGGTCTAGATTGTATAGATACAGTCGTTAAACCCGTAACTATCGTTCGGAATTCCCCGTGTTAAAGTTCTCGTGGTTGCATCATTAGAAATCACATTCCAACTGTCACTTATAGATCTGGTAAGCGACGCTCTGATTGGTCAGATGAAAGGTCGTTCTAACGTGACCCCTAATGGGATGTCCTCAGATCTTTGTTTAGTGGTAGTGAGAACTAAGGTCTGATTTCAATCAGATTGCACATCCTGTAAATAATTGAATCTGGACCACAGAAACCAGTGATTGATATAAGGAGCAATGTCCACCTTATTGGGGTATGATCATGATGATGGCATGATGATGGCATGATGAATCAATTCACCAAACTGGTTGACTCATGCCATTGTGCTCTCTGTTCTTTTGTTTCTTGTTTGTTTAATGCTGCACTCAATATATTAGTAAAATATGAAAGGTGTCTGTAAATAATCAATTCTGGACCAGACAATCCATTGACTGACATCATTAACATTGATTTATGCAATTGGGATACGATGAAATGCATCAACCAAGTCAGCAAGTCGAGTCTGACCTCCTGATTCCGTTAGTCACCTCTTACGACAAGCATGGGTTGCTGAAGACCTATTCTAACCCAGGTCTTTACAGGGGAGTTGCTCTTTGCAAGCATAAGGTACTGGGGACGTATTCTAACCCGGACTCCCGACACATCAGCAGGACTAGGATGAGATGGGAATGTATTCTAATTTTGAAAGGAATTTGGATATATCTTTTCTTCATGTGACTTTAAGACAACACACACATAGTCACATCTCATAAAGCACAAATCGAAACATATGATGAAGATAACATAGTATCTGTACACCAAATAATGCTTTCGTTTAAGTTCAACGCTGTATGGACGAGACAATCCAGTGATGGATACATGAGAAACATCCCACGCCGTCAGTGAACGATGAGACGTTATCAACCAAATCACAGCCTGACCACCTGATCTATTTAGTGACAACAGGTATACTAATACTCTTGGCAGCTGGCGACCTATTCGAACCCACACTCCCCAATGGGTTATCCCGATAATTAAAATAATCACAATAAAAATCTTAAAAAAAAACACCATGTTCATCAAACTGGTTTGATAAAGACCTCACAAAGATGATGCTTCTATAACATGCAACATATGATTTATCAATATTTCCCAACAGACAACCATGACATAAGTTGTAATGTGTACCTTGTTTAAGTTTTGACAACATGGACTTCTCCGCATCAACTGATGCACTTTTCCCAACAAGAAGACGCTTTGCAAGATCCTTCTTGTAGAAAGCTTCAAACACATCCTTCCCTGAAAACATGTTTCATCATGTCAAGTCAATGCTTTCTTTGCATTTTCTCTCTACAACATGAATGTTTTGTTTGTTTGTTTGTTTGTTGTTTAACACCGCACTCAGCAATATTCCAGCTATGAGGCTGCGGTCTGTAAATAATGCAGTCTGGACTATACAATCCAGTGATTAACATCATGTGAATCGATCTATGCAACAGGGATACAATGACATACATCAACCATGTCAGCAAGTCTGAGCATCCGATCCCGTTAGTTGCCTCTTACAACAAGCATGGGTTGCTGAAGACCACTTCTAACCCAGACCTTCACAAGGGTTCTCCACTATGAGTGAGTGAGTGAGTATGGTTTTACGCTGCTTTTAGCAATATTCCAGCAATATCACGGCGGTGGGCACCAGAAATGGGCTTCACACATTGTACCCATGTCGGGAATCGAACCCGGGTCTTCGGCGCGACGAGCAAACGCTTTAACCACTAGGCTCCCCGTTCTCGAGTATGAGGTATCTCATTCAAATACCAGCATGCATAGCAGACAGAGAGTGATACAGCATTGTAAGAAACTGTGTGTGTGTTCGATGGTCCATGCTGGGTTATACACTAGGGCTGCAACGAATACACTATGTGGTGAATACGATTCATATCATGAATATAGGATAACGAATACGAATATTTATTTACGAATGTAATAACAAGTCAAGAGTTGATGTATTATTTATGATATTCAGTGAAACAACAACAAATTCAATTATTTAACATGGTTTGTTAATTATTTATTTATTATGCATTTATATACTGCACTAGTACTAGTATCTGCTGAAATGAGACAATGACCAGTAACCACAATATGCCAAATTAAATATAAAAGAGTGTTGTCTTTGAAGAAATCTATGCATATGATATGTTCTTATGGTTATTTTAAGGGTCAGGGTATGTAAATGCACATGACTGCATATTCATAAATATTTGATTCTAGTCACTATGAATAACGAATTCAATTCATGAATGGATACGGTTCGATTCACTGAGTACGCGAGTGAATCGTAACAGCCCTATTATACACACGTTCATACATGATTAGTCCAGCTGAACTGAATCAATATACAGAACGACAAAGAAAACTGCTCTGCTGACAAGGGTAACAGCTCACCATGAATGAACCTAAAGAGCACCATGATCTTGTCTAGAAGTCTCTCCAACTCTTCCTCTGTTGCCTCCTGGGGGAAAAATATCAGAATCAAAATCTGTTTGTTGTTTAATGCTGCAATCAGCAATATTCCACCTACTTGACGGCAGCCTGTAAATAATCAAGTGTGGACCTGACAATCCAATGATCAATATTGCAAGCAACGATCCACTCCATTGGGGTACGATGCAATCAAGCAAGTGACCGGCCTGACAATCCTATTCTTTAACTTGTCACCTACAACCAGCATTGGTTGCTGGGGGCCAATTCTAACACAGAGTTCCCATGGGATCAAAATCGGTACTCACAAAAGACCATATCACTTTCAATAATACTGGATAATTAGAAGATAATTTCTTACTTCAGCTTATAGTTATAGGACTTAGGGTAAAGGGACAAACCTTGTTTCCTGCTCGTAACTTGGAGTCCACATATTTTGCTGAAATGAAAAGTTATATGTAAATTAAGATGTAAGAGGTGAGGTGGAATTGGGATTTTACGCTGTGTCCAGGTTTATTGTACTTAAATAGCTACGTGCATGCACGTATGTGTAGGGCTGCTTGTACTAGTCCAGACTGATGCCGATTTAAAGTGCTAGCCCAGTGAGATACCATGCCGCAGTTTAACATGAATACCCCACTCAGACATAGTATACTAACTCCGAGCCGACCAGTCCTTGTTTTAGCCCCTTAATGCCAAGCGCCAGACAGGGTAACAACAAGTACCATCTTTTAATGTCTTTTGGTACGATGTGGCTTGGGATCGAAACCCGGACCTTCCACTCTCCGGGCGGACTCTCTACCACCAGACCACGGAGGAGGTCTTAGATGTAATACAGAAGGTGAAGGTAGTGAAAGTTTAACTCTGCAGTCAGCAGCTACAGAAGTGGCACATGATAATCTGGCCCAGGCAAATCAGTGATGCATGAACAACAACGATGCAGCTGAATCAGCCATGTCATACAGCAGGAAGATCATCATGATTCTGTTGACAAGGGTCCTTAATCCCCACAGAGTATTTTGTTTTGTTTTGTTTATGCCCCACTCAGCAATATTTCAGCTCTATGATTGCGGTCTGTAAATATTCAAATCAGGACAGGCAATCCATTGATTGACATCAGGAGCATCAGGGATAAACACGGCCAATAGTCGTTCGTTCGTTCGTTCGTTCTTTCGTGAGTGATTTGGTTTAACGCCGCTTTTAACAGTATTCCAGTCATATCGCGGCGTATCAGCTTAATGTGGGAGGAAAGCCGAAGTGATGCAGGTCTCAGACGTTTACCACTTTGGTAAACCCCACAAGCACAGGTATGGTGCTGACAAACCTAGAAACATAATCGGGGCGAACGGGGATTCGAACCCACAATCATAGGTTTCTGGCATGCCCAAAGAACACAACTCTGCACAGCCAATCACGGCGCCTTAGACGACTGGGCCACCAATCTATGCAATTGGGATATGATGACATGCAGCAACCAGACTACCTGTTCCTGTTAGTTGCCTCTTATGACAAGCATGAGCTGCTGAAGACCTATTCTAACTTAGACACCAGAGAAACCAAGCATAAAATCTTGGGTTTGAAAAACACAAAGACTTAATTTAGAATGTGTCATATAAAAGCCTCCTTGATTACACATAACAAATAGAGGCAACCTATTCGCTCAGGTGTTACTCACCTATAAGTTCGGCCGGCTTGTTCTGTCTTTGGTTGATAAAGTTTTCAAAACTATCCTTCATTGCATTGATAAATTTGTCATTACGACCAAAACATGTGCTGATTATGTTGTCGATTTTATCCTTGAAATCTGAAAGAAAATAATAATAACAATCATCATAATGGTAATGTATAGACAAACAAAGAAAACCTGTTGACTACTTCATCAGCACAGTTGACTACTTCATCAGCACAGTTGACTACTTCATCAGCACATACTTTTCTTTTGGTTCATGCTGGTAATACAGTGCTATTGACCTAGTTCGAGATTGGTTTGGTTGGTTTATTGTTTAACGCCGCACTCAGCAATATTCCAGCTGTATGATGGCGGTCTGTAAATAATCGAGTCTGGACCAGACAATCCAGTGATTAATATCATGAGCATCGATCCACGCAATTGGGATTGATGACATGCATCAACCAAGTCAGCGAGTCTGACCATCTGATCCCGTTAATCGCCTTTTACGACAAGCATAGTCACCTTTTACGGCAAGCATGGGTTGCTGAAGACCTATTCTACCCCGGAATCTTCAAGAGGGGAACTAACTGGAAAATACAGCCGCTTGCAGTAACCTGACTGCTGATCCTTACCTACACTGTAACCTAATTATGAAAACTCAATGATGATGTTTTCTGCTAGCAAAATGGATATTTCTTGAAAAGCACACTTTGAAATATTTGTCATTACTGTAAGTGCCCAAGAGGTAGGATGACATCATATCTACATGATGTGAACTCGGGCGTGGCATCACACAACATTGGAAACACAAGGTGAGGTGAAATGGGGTTTAACGTCGCGTCCAAGATTATTGCACTTATATAGCGACGTGCATGCACGTGTATGTGTGTGTGTGGCTGCTTGTACTAGTCCGGACTGATGCCGATTTATAGTGCTAGCACATTGAGATACCATGCCGCAGTTTAACATGAATAGCCCACTCAGACACAGTATACTGACTCCGAGCCGACCAGTCCTTGTTTTAGCCCCTTAATGCCGAGCGCCAGACAGGGTAACAACAAGTACCATCTTTTAACGTCTTTTGGTATGACGTGGCTGGGGATATAACCCCGGACCTTCCGCTCTCAGGGCAGACGCTCTACCATTAGACCACGGAGGCGGTCTGGAAACACAAACATCAAGCACCAACTTGACAAGGTAAAAACTGCAGCTGAGTGTCCCCCACCTAACAAACACTGCACCATGTCCTTGTCTTTGTCTGAATCATTCTCCTGGTTCACAACTATTACCCGGCCAGTATTCTGAAAGGAGAGCAAGAACGTTAATACACCATGAATATACAAAAATAGACCTCATAGGAGTCAATACCTGCTTTTATGGGGGGAAAGCAGTATTGACGGAGGATGAGGTTGGGATCCATACAAAACAGGTTTTGACCCCATATAAAGTCTACATTTGTTTTATCATATCATAAAGAGACAGAAGCAGATTCAAGATATCAATAGTATATTAGCTAACATAAGGAGTTTTCAACAAACAGAGACATCTGATTGGCTTAGGTTTGGGGAATGCCACTTCTGGGTTTATCCCATTCTATTTTTAGTAACTCAATACATCAAATTATTAGACCTTACATAGAGTCAATATGTGTTTCTGTCCAATGATATTTGACAACTTCTCGGCAGTAATCTTTGCATAAACATAATTACTGTATTCGGCTTTATAAGGGCCCCTCTCTAATAAGCCCCCACTGCGGTATTTGCTAAGCATGCACATAGTATTATTTGTAAGAGGCATATCTCTCAAGGGTAAAATACGTACACAGATCCTTTTCTGCCTTCGCCAAAAAAAGCATTTTACCATCTTTCAATTCTTTTTTTTAACCAAGATTGCATTCTCATAAGCGCCCCCTTTTCTGATTTTGAGAGCGCTCTGGGCGCTTATTATGCCGAATACGGTATTAATTTTATCAAGGTCGCCATCTAATCTCTACTTCGTCACTTCCCCTGACTCCAGCATCATGACTTCTGGATGGTTCATACATATTGCCCAGTCAGACAACACACAACCACACAGCAGTCTTGGGTACGCTTCCATATATTTAATTCTAATCAAGGATACCTCCCAGTAAGCTTTCTTGCTCAAAAGTTATTGCTGCCTTTGCACAAAGGCTGTTGAAGAAAATGTTTAGTGTCTAGTGTTCCATGACTGAATTGTCCTTAATGTTGCTTATTAAACCTAATATCCATAAGGATTTACAACAGGATGTTCTTGTTTGTTTGTTTGATTGTTGTTAAACACCGCATTCTGCAATATTACAGCTATATGATGGCGGTGGTCTGTAAATAATCGAGTCTGGACCTGACAATCCAGTGATTGACATCATGAGCATCAATTGGGATGCGATGACATGCATCAACCTAGTCAGTGAGCCTGACCATCCGATCCCATTAGTCGCCTCTTACAACAAGTATAGTCGCCTTTTGCGGCAAGATGGGTTGCTGAAGACCTATTCTACCCCGGATCTTCCCAGGTCAACTTCAGGATGTAACCTGACCTTGATGTAGAGTCCGAAGGACAGGAAGAGTTGTCGCAGACCGTCCCGGACCCTGTTGAACAGCTGGAACAGGAGGGTCATGTCCGGAATCCTGTTGGCGTCCAGAAGCTGGTCTAAGCCTGAAGGGAAACACAGCCAATGTCACAAAATCACAGGTAATCAAAGTTAAAATGACGAAACTTGCAATCTACTGATAATGATACTTGCTTGCTAACAGTTACTAACACGATAGCCACAATTATAATATTGAGTGAGTAACCAGAGTAAGAAGTTCATCCTCTATCTTGTCATCAATAACAGATCCACATCCTCTATCTTGTCATCAATAACAGATCCACATCCTCACTGCCACTTAAAGATGCTACTGATATTCACTATGTCAAATATGGCCTGTATTACCACCTCATATCAGAAACATAAACTTGAGTGAATTCATCTCACGAAATCCATGCCATCTTAAACTTACCAAGTCATTTAGTTTCATTGCAAATATTAGGGCGGTCAGATAGCCTAGTGGTTAAAGCATTCGCCCGGTTCTTGATATTGCTGGAATATTGCTAAAAGCGGCGTAAAACTATACTCAGTCAGTCAGTCATTGCAAATATTAGAAATAATTATTTACATTTATTGAAGAAAACAGCACTCCATTAACGAACAAAATGGTTCCCTGGCCTATATTTCTGCCATTCAGGCCATCATTTTCACAGGCATTCTCACGAGTACTGGCATCAGTATGTGCCTCTGGGCTACAGTTCTAGGGTCTGTTCCACAAAGGGATCAGAGCACTAAGATGATACTTAACATAGACTTACAACTGTTGTAGCTCTACGTTCACTTTGTTGGACGGAGCCCTGATATTGTCAAACTGTGCACAGAATGCTGGGGACTACATCTAAGCTGGCATCCCCACATCTTCCCGAGGCAAGGGAGTTAACTGACTTTAAAAGTCCAGTTTCCACCCTTGCCGAACTAGGCTGGAATTACTGAGCTCGATCGTAGCGCCACCAATGGCTATTACCAGTTATGTCCCTTCTAAGCCTCTCCTATGGACCAATCAGATTCCACCTCTCGTATCACTTGCGTTTGCTTCACACAAAATGGTGCCGCCCGGTCAAAACGATCCGACTGATAATCAAGATCTATATTGTGATAAAACTGGTCTTACATCGCGATATGCATCAAATCATGTGAGCACCTTGATTAAAAACATGAATAGATTTAGAAAAAATCTGCTGACAACGAATTGGCAATGCACATGCTTTGCAAATCCTGCAATTGATCGAAATCTGCATGACAGTTTACGAACCAGATTTTGATTTCGGTGCACGATTTTGATTGGACTATGCATAGACTCGTTAGTCCAGACAAAACGTAACTCCATAATACCAGCCTAGTTCGGCAAAGGTGGAAACTGGACTTTTATAGTCAGTTAACTCTCTTGCCTCGGGAAGATGGCATCCCCAGGGGACAATGTACTTACCTTTCTGCAGTATCTGGTGTAAATGCTGTTCCAGCAGCTGTCTTTCCACACACATCACCAAGGCTTTCCTGCAACAGTACAATCATAAAGGTGACTGTTGGGTTAGTTTAACTATTATGATTGTACTGCAATACTACCCTACATTATTGCAATACTTGTCAACTTGTCAACTTTTACAACAGTATTTGATAGAGTTAAACCAAGTTTAAGGCTGGGTATTTATATTAATCAATGTTATGAAAATCGCAAAGTCAGCCATTTTCACCTGTTGCGATTTACATCAAAAGGATGTAAATCTAATCTGCAGTTGTAATCCTTGCTAATCAACACACGGCAGGCTTGAAATTTGACTGTTTTCTTACACATAGTTGAAGTTTTAATCTGACTACTTGACAATTGAAACTAGGGACTGTTATGCATACTATCAACACTACCAGTGGAGTTTAAATATTCCTATTGCCATAGTACCATCATGGGGCAAACAATTGCATCACATAGTTATTTCGTTAATCTCCTAATAGTTATTGACATATCAAACTGCTTCCTCAGCAATACTATTTGTAAACTATCCAGGGGGAGGCCTCAGGTATTTTTAAAATAAAAAGATGTGCTGACAGATTTTGTCAAATTTAGACCCATGAAGATCCGGTTAGAATAGGTCTTCAGCAACCCATGCTTGTCCTAAAAGGCGACTATGCTTGTCGTAAGAGGCGACTAACGGGATCGGGCGGTCAGGCTCGCTGACTTGGTTGATGCATACCATCGTATCCCAATTGCGTGGATCGATACTCATTATGTCAATCACTGGATTATCTGGTCCAGACTTGATTATTTACAGACCGTCGTCGTATAGCTGGAGATTTTTACTGATGCAGCATAAATAATACACTAATGTTTATTTGGGATCATGTTGATCATATTAAGAGATTTTGTATAATATATGTTGAAATGTGAATTTAAGGAGCCAAATAGTTCTTTGTGAACTAATAGGACCACCATTTTGGGCTGATGCAGCTGAATCATGAGATAGAAGTGCATGAAATGTTCAGGGATGATTGATACAGATAGTGGAGATCAATGTCACACTGACCTAGCCAGGTTGTAATTGAGCATGTCTCCCAGTTATCATTGCAAACTAATATCCACTACTGGATGAACCCATGACACACAGGTGAGTCACCTGTTACAGCACGCACGGGGCAGGAGGGAACAGAGATGTATCTGGGTGAACCCATGACACACAGGTGAGTCTCCTGTTACAGCAAGCACGGACAGGAGGGAACAGAGATGTATCTGGGTGAACCCATGACACACAGGTGAGTCTCCTGTTACAGCAAGCACGGACAGGAGGGAACAGAGATGTATCTGGGTGAACCCATGACACACAGGTGAGTCTCCTGTTACAGCAAGCACGGACAGGAGGGAACAGAGATGTATCTGGGTGAACCCATGACACACAGGTGAGTCTCCTGTTACAGCAAGCACAGGGCAGGAGGGAACAAAGATGTATCTGGATGAACCCTTGACTCACAGGTGAGTCATCTGTTACAGCAAGCACGGACAGGAGGGAACAGAGATGTATCTGGGTGAACCCATGACACACAGGTGAGTCACCTGTTACAGCAAACACGGACAGGAGGGAACAGAGATGTATCTGGGTGAACCCATGACACACAGGTGAGTCACCTGTTACAGCAAGCACGGGGCAGGAGGGAACAGAGATGTATCTGGGTGAACCCATGACACACAGGTGAGTTTCCTGTTACAGCAAGCAAGGGGCAGGAGGGAACAGAGATGTATCTGGGTGAACCCATGACACACAGGTGAGTCACCTGTTACAGCAAGCACGGGGCAGGAGGGAACAGAGATGTATCTGGGTGAACCCATGACACACAGGTGAGTTTCCTGTTACAGCAAGCAAGGGGCAGGAGGGAACAGAGATGTGTCTGGCATCTAACTGGATAGGAAGGGTCAGCCTGACCTTATTATCTCCACACTTGATATCAGTGCTTAACACTAACACTGGTCCGAGTCTAGTATATTTTATCAATGACCAGTACAATTAAACAAATGGTGGTCCAGTGTCATTTTGGGAAAGAACAAAGTAATTTAAGCATGTACGACTTTGGAAGATCGAGTCTGGGCCACCCATCCCTAATCAGTAATTGATTCTTACAAACCAGTTGGCTTTCAACTGAAAATCATATGAGTTAAGTCAATGTATACAGTTAAAAAACATTAATTTGATAATTTGTGAGTGAGTGAGTGAGTGAGTTGGGTTTAACGCCGCTTTTAACAGTGTTCCAGTTATATCGCGGGGTGTCAGCTTAATGTGGGAGGAAAGCCCGAAGTGATGCAGGTCTCAGACGTTTACCACTTCAGTGAAACCCACGAGCACGGGTATGGTGCTGACAAACCTAGAAACATAATCGGGGTGAACCGGGATTTGAACCCACAATCATAGGTTTCTGGCGTGCCCAAGGGATGCAACTCTGCACAGCGAATCGCGTCGCCTTAGACGACTGGGCCACCCGTGCCCCCCGTACAATTTGTGACCAGTACTCATTCACATATACATCAACCAACTATTGACAATATCCAGGAACAATGGCTAATTAATACCACATGCTGAGTCTTACTTTGTTGACTGGTCCAAGTAGTGGAGGAGTCTTTCATTTTCCTCATTGAGACGTTTGTCCACATGGGCAAGGTATTCAGGCACCTGTAGACACACCATACACCATCAACTACTTCAAATATTCCTCAACAGACAAATTCAGCATTCAAATTTCTCTAAAGACTAGTCAGAGGACTAGTCGAAACCATATTTCACCGGTCTTGTTTGCAGCTAGTCTGCATGAACAATGTTTACACTGTTTACATTTTCTGTCAGTTTTATTCAGTTCCTATTTGTAGCAAAATTGGAGCATAAAGAACTGGTTCAGACTTATCCTCAAATGCTACTAGTCAAAGAGGACTACCATCAGTGGACATCTTCAGCACAATTTAGTAGTCTCGGGCTAGTAGGCCAGCGGGCTAGCGCAAATTTCAAAGGCTGCAAATGTGCAAAGTATTCTTAATGCGATTGGGTGCATGTATCACATGATTGTTACTTATTGGAGAAGCATTAGAAATTAAATGAGGTTGGCGATATGTACCTATCTTGTGGAAAATCACATTTTGTGCAGAATTTTGCATTTATCTGCATCAGAATATTAACATGTGAGTCAAAAGCTGGTTTTAAATGTGTAAATGGATATTTATGTCGTTTTGGAGTGAAGTTGACATGTATTATTGCTTACTGCAAATGCATGTCTGTATGTTTACACTAGTGATTTCAAGATTCACTTCAATAAGCAACTCCAGCCGTGGATAACTTTGTCATAAAAATGCCTGCCACAGGTCAAACAGGTACAAAACTATGAAATTCACTTAGCTTAAAAATTTGCACAATTGTGCACAGATTTATCAAAAATTGGTTGCAGAATTTACAAAAACTGACCTCAAATTTTTTGGCCACGGAATAAAGCAGGGACTGCTTCCTAGTCTAAGCCTAACCACCCAATCCCATTAGTCGCCTTTTACGACAAGCATAGTCGCCTCTTACGGCAAGCATGGGTTGTTGAAGAACTATTCTCTACCTGGATCTTCACGGGTCTATGTCAAGCACGGGTACAAGTACATGTTCTGTCACAGAGTCCCTAGTGCACATCAACATGAGTGAGTGAGTGAGTTGGGTTTAACGCCGCTTTTAACAGTATTCCAGTTATATCGCGGCGTGTCAGCTTAATGTGGGAGGAAAGACCGAAGTGATGCAGGTCTTAGACGTTTACCACTTCGGTGAAACCCACGAGCACAGGTATGGTGCTGACAAACCTAGAAACATAATCGGGGCGAACCGGGATTCGAACCCACAATCATAGGTTTCTGGCGTGCCCAAGGGACGCAACTATGCACAACGAATTGTGGCGCCTTAGACGACTGGGCCACCCGTGCCCCCGCGGATCAACATGACGATGTTCACAAAAAAGAGCAGTTTGAATGTAATGCCATGATTTTCATAAACTAGAAAGCTGTAGGAAGATGTGTGGTAGAGGTGCTTACATCTCTCTCCTGCATCAGCTGCTGTCCCTCTGCTGCGTACAGCTGTTCTGTGGCATCCAGGAATTTCTTTTCAAAGGAATCATGGTAGATCTGCAAGTCACGAGTTTAGATAAGTCAGAATGTGGGTTTGAAGCTTCTTGGAATAGCAGTGCTGGGGAAATTTACTACCTGGGTACCCCACCCTAGCCGGGAGTCTGCTGTAGGTCTCAAGAATTGGGCACAAAATGTTTGAATGGAAACTGTTTAACTGAAACCCTGGTAAAAACTATTTAGATACATGTGTAATACGATCTGATCATGCGTACACTAAAGTTGACGGAAGCTTTATCGTTTCCCAAACATAGAAAAGTCAGAAGGAATGTGTGCATAGTAAGAAATGTGAACATTAGTGACTTGTAGTGTAACCATGGAGTTTTATTGTCATTAAACAATGTATCACGTGACTTTCCACGGGTCCGAGTAGTCCTGTGGGTACCCGGGTCCTACTCAGGACCCACCCGACCCAAGTACCCGAGTTACCCGTCCCAGCCCTAGTTGAACTTAACCATGAAAGTCAAAGGGTCTTTGCCCTCTTGTTAAAAGTCAAATATTAAGGGGATCCTAGTTTTACTTAGTACTATAGAAGGCCTCCAGGACCTTCCTTTATTGTTGAACACATTAACAGTTTGATCAGTATTTCTGTTGTATCACACAGTGTCATCTAGATGTGAAAGGATGCATGTAGTAGACATCTGGACAAAATTCTTCAACTATCTTGGCATGTGTGATGACCTGGAATTACCCATCTTCCCGAGGCAAGGGAGTTAACTGAGGCTAAAAGTCCAGTTTCCACCCTTGCCGGACTAGGCTGGAATTTCTGGGCTCGATCATAGCATTGGGCATGGTATCTTAGTGGCTATCACTTTAAAATTGGCATCAGTCCGGACTAGTACAAGCAGCCAGACACACACGTGTAAGTGCAATAATCTTGGATGCGATGTTAAACCCCATTTCCCCCACCACAATATAACACCATAATTCCAGCCTAGTTCAGCAAGGGTTGAAACTCGACTAATATATTCAGTTAACTCCCTTGCCTCGGAAAGATGGGAATTAACATGAGACAGCATGTTATTTATACACATCAGCTTATACCAATAATCTGGTAGTATGACCATTACATACCTGTAAATCAGACAACATCCTGAGGAGACTTTTCAGCAACTGTCGGTTAACTGCCTCGCCATTGCGTTCCCTCTCGATCAGCTTCAACAAGCCATCAACAGTCCGTGCCTCCACCGTCTTGTGACTGATTATGTTGGCGCGGAAGAGATCAAGACCCATATCCCTGGAATCACACATGCATGGTTAATACTTGACCCTCGATGAAAGACTTTTACACAACTCTATCTATTCATTCAAATACAATCGAAATCATTTTACACTCACCAAATTGAAAGAATTGCAGAATTCTGAAGTACATATGTCCTATCCAGGAACAGGAATATACTGCGAATCATTATCTGAAAAGATAATAGAGAATAGGATCCCTGAAACTTTCAAGATTGCATGTTTGTTTGTTGTTTAACGCTGCACTCAGCAATATTCCAGCTATATGGCGGCGGTCTGTAATTAATCGAGTCTGGACAAGACAATCCAGTGATTGACATCATTAGCATCGATCCACGCAATTGGGATACAATGACATGCACCAACCAAGTCCAAGTCAGCAAGCCCGACCACCTGATCCTGTTAGTCGCCTCTTACAACAAGCATAGTCGCCTCTTACAACAAGCATAGTCGCCTTTTGCGGCAAGCATGGGTTGCTGAAGACCTATTCTACCCTGGAATCAGTAATACATGGACATGGCAATCATTTACTCAATAGCATCATTTATTACTATTTTGTTACTATTCAGTTACAACAGTCTTCATCAACTTACCATTTGTCGACAATGGTTTTGCCAGCAATTGTCTATCAGCTTAAGAAACTGTTCATAATCCAATGTGTCTGTACACCGCATTAAGGAAACATTGCTACCATCTCAGATACAAGTACTGATGTTCATGCTGATGGTCATTCATCATTATTTCAGAGAGGTATGTGGGTGGGTGGGTGGGTGAGTTGGGGTTAACGCTGCTTTTAACAATATTCCAGTCATATCACGGCGTGTCAGCTTAATGTGGGAGGAAAGCCCGAAGTGATGCAGGTCTCAGACGTTTACCACTTCGGTGAAACCCACGAGCACGGGTATGGTGCTGACAAACCTAGAAACATAATCGTGGCGAGCCGGGATTCGAACCCACAATTATAGGTTTCTGGCATGCCCAAGGAACGCAACTCTGCACAGCGAATTGCGGCGCCTTAGACGACTGGGCCACCCGTGCCCCCAGAGGTATGTGGGACTAAATTAGATGAAGTATGAATAAGTTAGGTTAATGACAACACTTATCTCAACCAATCACATAAACATCTTTTTCAGATCAAATTTACATTCTACCAACACAATAATGCTTGATTCTGATCGGTCAAAAAAAAGACCAAGGTCAGGTGCCGTATTCGACGTAATAACCGCCCAGGGCGCTCTCAAAATTAGAAATAGGAGGCTCTTATTACAATTTTTGTGAAAAAAAAACAGAGTTGAAAGATCCTAAATTTTGTGATTTATGCTGACAGCCTGCAATGTTTATATACAAGAGATATATTTTTCCAGAATTTAATTGCCCATAAATAAGGTTGCATATAACACACGAATAAATAAGTCTTGTGTACATTGATCAATCGGAAGGGGTGCTAATTGGGATTGTTCACTAGCCAATATATTAACAAATATCGCTGTGGGCGCTTATTAGAGCGGGCGCTTATTACGTCGAATACAGTATCTTATTCCATTTGATACCTCAAAATTAACATGCCTTTTCATACAAAACAGCAGGATTCAGCTATACTTCAGTATATTTCCATTGGCAATGGTAAAAGTCTTGTTCCAAGTTAAAATAAGAGGTATCTAATCTACAGTTCGATTACCCAAAATTTCAAAAACAGTAAGTTTTATCTTTTTAAAAACATTCTTTAAAAAACATCTCTGTCAAATTCTTAAATGACATAAGATCCAGTACCCATAACAAGTTCAAGGACCCAAAGACCCCCACTTTAGGTCAAACCCTTATAAAGGATATCCCAAGAACTGGTTCAGGTTGGCTTTGACGTGATCTTCACAGATGTGTTTGAGTTGGTCATACAGGCTAGCTGACATCTTGTAGGAGCACATATTCTCCACAGCCTGATACAGCTCCTCCAGGCTGTAACGGATAGAGCAGCTCTTGTGGATAGCATCTACAGCCTCACCCAACTTCTTCCAAGTCTCCTGCTGAAAGTTCTCTGGCATCTTTGGTTTTTCTGCAAAAAAATATTAATTCTTAATTGGAGACTTAAGACAGGATTTCACAAGGTTTAATAGCTGGAAAGTGATTGTGGTCTCATACTATTAGTATTATCTTGAGTATAGTACAAAATTTGGAAGTCATGACAGCATTTGAGAAACCTTAACATTATTGTTGCAGAGGATAAATAAAATATATAAGCACACAATCTTTGGCCTACAAAAGACAACTTACTACTAAAAATAACAGATACCCTGTGAGTGAGTGAGTGAGTTGGAGTTAATACTGCTTTTAACAGTATTCCAGTTATATCACAGCGTGTCAGCTTAATGTGGGAGGAAAGCCCGAAGTGATGCAGGTCTCGGACGTTTACTACTTCGGTGAAACCCACGAGCACAGGTATGGTGCTGACAAACCTAGAAACATAATCGGGGGAACAGAGATTCGAACCCACAATCATAGGTTTCTGGCATGCCCAAGGGACGCAACTCTGCACAGCGAATCGTGGCGCCTTAGACAACTGGGCCACCCCTGCACCCACAGATACACTGATAGTCCAGACGGTACCCTGTGAATCCAGACACCCACCCACCAACCATTGTGACATCATCAGTTACCTTTACATCACAATCAAATGACATCACTAATCTCTCTGCCACTGATGCTGGTTACTGGTACTTTCTATGCTAAAGACACTGCTTATTACTATTTACAAACTGAAAAAGCTGGCAGCATGATTTTTTAAGAATTTCATCAACGTCTTTTAGTATCAAACATATCAACATGAGTTGATAAAAGTTTAAACCTCTGAGACTTGGTGCAGAGTATTAAACATATATCAACATGTGTTAACACATTTGATATAAAAAGAAACAAGAGTGAGATTCTCGATATATCCTGCTACATCAGGGATTTATCTTCGATTCCAAACTAAGTACCCTTGACAGACAAATTGGGGGAAAAAAAGGTAATTTTGTTCAAATTTGGGGATTTTTCTAAAAAGTACTTCTTTTCATATATATATTAACATCAATGAAAAAATGTATTTTAACACTAAAAAGGACAGCTTCTTCATGTCTAATGGTTCTGTTATCAGTGAAATGCAAGTTGCCTCTGCAAAGCAACAACATGACTTGGCAAATTTAAAATTCGAATTTGGGAATTGTTACCAATAGTGAATACAGTGTTCCCTCGCTATTGCGCTCTTCAGTATAGCGCTAACTCAGTTATTGCACATGGTAAAGCCCCCTACAACTCCACCTCGGATGGCCTATAACGCCCATCAATTATTGGGTCCCCAAAGGTAGCATTGTAGCAAGGATCACTGTATTTGCTGAAAATTGAGGCCGAAGGTCAGCCTCTCAGCAGGTCTAGATAAAACCCTGTACCTAGTGGTCCTGACAGCAATCCTTATAAGCATGGTTCTTTATAATGTATTCACCGACTCAAAATGTATTTGGTCAAAGGACTTAACTTTCACTGTATAATCAACACAATCTCACCACATCACCAGGGATGGAAATTAGAAACAGCTTGCTAGTCTACATGGTCTAAATGTTTCACTAATAAATGTAATAGGTATTCAAACAGCTGTTTGAACAGTGTTTTTATTATCCCCAGTTGTGCTAGTAGACTTTCTAGGTTAATTTGATCCCTGATCAATATTGATGCACATGCCTTCATTTTTTACAACATGGGGATTCCTCCATATGGGAAACTGTGCGCTGTATATATCATTGTATAGCTTTCATTTCACAGTTTTAGAGTGAAAGAGTCTTGTTTCTTGCCCATTCCACTCACATCAAAGTGGGAGCCACGAAAACGACTTCACACATTGGCAAATAATGTTGATTCTTTTGTTTATGAATTGGCCATAATGTCCAATTTCCAAGTCATCAAATAACCTACTGTTACAGAATAAACAGCATCAACAAAAGGCTCAAAATACATCCTCTCAAATGAGTGAGACAACTGCTTCCACTAAAGATACTACAAACATAACTGCCTTATTCAGGGTTCCAGATAATATTCTGAGCCTCTGAGTATTTACTTACACGTTCATCATTCTTTGGGTACGACAGTAAACTACAGTTACAGTGTTAGAAATTGGCACTAGTCCTGTAGTCCTTACCAAACTCCCAAATAGTAAAGGTATCCTAAGGACTAGTAGAAATTGACCCATTTTAAGGGTTTTGCTATATGTTATCATTATAAGGACTAGTCGACAAAAACTGTTAGTTTCTAACCCTGCAGTTATAACCACCTCTAAGGGACCACTAATTCTAGTTTGTTATAACCGTAGTTCGTTATAAACATAGATACAGCAAATGGCCGGGACCCCAAAACCAGTTTGTTATATCCGCCAGTTCTTTATAAGGGTGTGTGTTATAAACATAGTTTACTGTCATAGATTTCATTGGGTATTCAGTATATTTTCACTCCCCTGGGTCCGATCTAATGGGTGTTTACAGTCATTTCATAAATAATTCTCCTCAAAATGCTGTTTCACATGGCTTCTAATTTGTATCTGTTGTGTACTGCTCAAAGTGTGTAACATGTTACATAAACTCATAACAGTGACATAGAGGTCTAGCTCACAATACGTGTGATGCCTTAATTTGATCAGTAAATAGAAAAATGCATGTACACTAGCTGAAAAGGATACACTGGGTAATCAAGCGTGTCGTTATACTATTTTGACATTTTTCATGTGCATTTGTCCTCAAGCAACTCAAAATTACTTGAGTATTGGTGATTTCTTTTGCGTATTTGAGTAAGCTTATCTGGAGCTCTGGTGATTCAAGACATTCAGGAATCTATTCTTGGTAAAGACAGTTTATTCCATCAGTGTAAATGTCATATTGTAAGTCCCTTTATCAGTGAAATCTGATTGTACGAATGCAAACTATTGTGATAATGGTCATGAAATAAATGTATATTCTGTTCTAAAATTCACAATAACTATGGTTACTAAATAGTTACTAAACAGGGATTTACCGGAAGGAGATCTTGTGTTACATGAATAAAAATTAGGAATGGATGCAAAACAGAGCCAATGCGAGTCTCACAAGTATGGATGTTGGAATGATTGAAACAAATTAATATGACGCAAATATGATTTATCTGATATTTCAGTTCTATAACAAAAAGTTAATGTCTGGAAGTCCTTACCAGATTTAATGCACTTTATCACCAAATTTTGATTCAAACAAAGAAATCCCCACACATAATAGGAAATTCGTAGCCACTCTCACCTTGTTCAGTTGTTGACACAATTTACGGTGAATTTGTAGATAACCCTGGAGTAAATTCATAGACACATTTATATAATGGTGTTGGTATTTTTTGTTCTCAGATAGTAGTCAGGAAAGTATATCCAAACTGAGACACACAATTGGTGAGTGGAATACGGGAATACTGTACTATTATTGTCAGCGTTAGAAATTGGCACTAGTCCTGTAGTCCTTGCCAAACTGCCCAATAGTTAAGGTATCCTAAGGCCGAGTAGATATTTGCCATTTTTAAGGATTTTGCTATATGTTATGATTATAAGGACTAGTGGACTAAACCTGTTAGTTTCTATTGCTGATTGCTATTACTATTTTGTTTTCAGGTAATAATAAGGTAAATAAGTCCAAGCTGAGACGGACAATTGGTGAGCTGAGTATGGAATTATATCTTATTAGATTTGAAATACATTTGCCACGTAATAATTCAATATTTATATGTAATAAATCATAATTCAGTTCTATTCCTCTATTGGTTTTGGTTTTTCTACAAAATTCACCGTGAATATTGTCTACAAGTTTGGAGTGGCTACCAATTCTCCATGGCTACGAATTGGTTTGGTTACAAACTCGCCCACAGCCTCCCTACTAAGCATGAAGCATCAGACATACTTTTTATTTTGTTTGCTGTTGTTACATTAGTCACCCTGGGAGAACAATTCTAATGCCTTGGACACCAAATATTTATTACCGAGGGTTCTCAGGATTTGCAAAATATAGACCAATGTTAATGCTTAAACTATACATGGGAACCCAACTAAAATTACACATAAATAATCAGAGAAGGATAGATGTCGGATATATGAAATTGCTTCCTCGTTCTCCTGTGTTCATAATGACATCTTACTCCTTTCCATCAGAAGCACAATCACTGTAACAAATCATGAACAGGACCTAAATATGATTAATGCAATGCCAGTTTCTATCACAAACCCACATCAAAGCTAAAACCATAAGTGGGCTGTCAGCTCAAGAACATGGATACATAGCCTATATGACTGACAGCAGAGAACACGTTACACTGGCCACACTAATCTGTATCAAAACATGTTCAAAAACTACAAAGAATAATTATCAATTTCCCTGCTGATTTGATAGATAATTTACTATCAAATCATTTATGATTTCATGATTTGAGTATCTATGCTTTCATAACAAATGATTAGTCACTCCTGTCTCAACTTTCTGATTGGAAAATGTTTTGTTTTGATTGGTGATGCCAACCTTTGAAATTCTTGATGACCAACTTCTTTGCAGCCCCTGGTTTATTATTAGCAAGCGGAGATGCGTGTCTAGCGATCCCATTACTGGGGCTTGTGAGGGCTGAGAAGTTCGGTCTTCTTTGCGAATCCGTCATTGTTGATTGCGAACTGTCCTCTAATTTCTTGTTTGGAGGAGAGTTATTTTCGTGACTAACTCGGCGTCGTTTATGATTGGAAGCGTCTTCACCCTTGTTTTGATCTGTAAGAGCACGCTTGCTTGCGCTTGAGAGAGGCATGCATTACGCTTTAGGCCAGAAACTGGCCTGAAATTCCCCAAGAAAGAAAGTTTGTTATTATTTGGAGACGAAGAATAAGATTTCCCAGCTGAACTAGACAAATATGGCGGAAATTCTCGTGTGAGTTCTCGCGAAGGGGAGGTAACTCTATCTTGTGATCACTTGCTTCTCTATTTTTAACTCACCTGTGGCTGGTTAATCCGTGCCTTGACACAACAATAAGTTGCCATGATTCAAAATATGCAAAAATAGCTATTTTTTGTTGAAAAAAATCGTAGTTACCAAACCACAGTGTTTTCTTTTTAAATATACCTTTTTTAACAAGGTTTTCAAGTCTACAAGTATGGAGTAGATCTAGTTGATGTTACAAACATCACATCTACATATATCTGGCACACCTTGGCAACTGTAACGGAACAGATTATAAATATGTGCGACTTTGTTTAAAATGAATAGAGCGAGACAAACGACTACATTTTACAAAAGTGAAGTCGATAACTTTATAACTTTATAATACGTAGAAATCTAGCTTTTTTTCATAAAATGTTTAATTGGGGTGCAGACTAAAACGGCCCCTCGGCAAAACGTCACCGATTTCTCTGGCGAAAACGGCACCGCATTTGGCGAAAAAGGCTACTTTGTGTCGGGCGATCACGGCACATCTATTTTTTAATAACGATAAGAACGATTTATGTCACATGGTACAGCATGTTGATTTTTTCTTACATTCTTCTCGCATGCAACACATTGAAAGTCATTGCGAATAATTGTGATACAGTTTAAGCTTGACATTAAGTTAATTTGACTAAAGGTACTTAAAACTTCAAAGGGGGCGGTCGGGTAGCCAAGCGGTTAAAGCGTTCGCTCGTCACGCCGAAGACCCGGGTTCGATTCCCGACATGGGTACAATGTGTGAAGCCCATTTCTTGTGTCCCCCGCCGTGATATTGCTGGAATATTGCTAAAAGCGGCGTAAATCATACTCACTCACTCACTAAAACTTCAAAGCATATAGGGGGCACGGGTGGCCCAGTCGTCTAAGGCGCCACAATTCGCTGTGCAGAGTTGCGTCCCTTGGGCACGCCAGAAACCTATGATTGTGGGTTCGAATCCCGGTTCACCCCGATTATGTTTCTAGGTTTGTCAGCACCATACCCGTGCTCGTGGGGTTTCACCGAAGTAGTAAACGTCTGAGACCTGTATCACTTCGGGCTTTCCTCCCACATTAAGCTGACACGCCGCGATATGACTGGAATACTGTTAAAATCGGCGTTAACCCCAACTCACTCACACTCAAAGCATATAATATTCCACAATAAGTTAGTCGCGCCTCCCAATCAGAGTCGGCGTGTAAATTGAAATGTTAGCTTGTTTTAACATTTCATAATTATTTGTGTTTGTAAGTGACGATGTGAGTTTAATTCCATTTATTTTACTTCAAAGCATGTTATGTTTTCACAATAAGTTGAGTTGCGTACAGGCTAAGTTTGAAAATAGTTGGAGTAGAGGCTTATTTCTAATGTAAGTTTTCACAATTATAAGGTGCCGCTTTCGCCAGGAAATAGTAGCCGTTTTCGCTTGAGGCGAGGTGACGTTTTCGCCAATCGGTGCCGTTTTCGCCCAGTGACGTTTTGCTGAGGTGGCGTTATAGCTATAACCCGTTTTATTGTCCTGCATAACTAAATAGAAAGAATTACCTTAAACTGCCCTGGTGTCAGAAATGACCCCAGGTAACTTGATAATGCCCTCATATTGCTTGACGACGGGCCATTATGACGCCCGTTGTTAGGTGACGCCATAGGGATAGGGATAGGTGACGTCACGTTCAATAGTGACATCATCTGGTTTGTCCTATGACGTTACCATATTTGTAAAACTGGGTCAGTGACATTCGTGTTGATTGCAGTAAATGTTTCTAAACCGATATTGTTGTTTCTTTTTATTTGATAACACATTCTATGCATTTTAGCTATAATAACGGTAACGCTATTTTTCGGGGCATTATCCTTTGCAGAAGCCTGAGGTCTTCCCATAACTGCCCGTCGAAGAAGGGCAGTTGAAAAGATCGAGCTCTCCTGCAAATGGTAATGCCCTGAAAAATAGCGTTACCGTTATTATAGCTAAAATGGATAGAATTATAATTCTTACACACCTGTGGGTGAGAAACCCATGTGAGATAACTGGTATCAAACCACTCTCCTACCCAGAGTTCCATGCGACCGGCCGCCAGCTAGCATAGTACCTCTGCCACAGGCCAGCGCCATGTGACGATTCGTCACATCTTTCACAGTCCATTCAAGATATTGCATATGCTTTTCATCCGTTTCATGTTTGACAAGTCTACACATTTTCATAAACAAATGTCAAAGAATGGTTAACTTTCATTGAGAAAGTATGCAAATACGCAAAAATCTACTTGTTTTTGCGTAGTTATCCTATGTTTACATTGGTTGTACGGCTCCACGTGCTGTCATCGAAGCGCAACGGAGAGCTAGCGACACGGTCACTGTGATGCATAAATACATATTGTCATGCAACTCACTGTCGCAGTTGTAGTAGCATATCTATATAGTTATGCAAAACAATATGTAAAGCGCCCCCAAATACTTACATTAGTCCGTTCTATACTGATTTCTGAAAAAGCGCGTTTGTTTACAAACAAGAGAAAAGTCCGGTCACGTGATATGCAAATTAGCCTGTGGCAGTGGTGTTATGCTGAGTCACCACTGCGACGGAGTGTGTGAGATCGAATTCCAGGCCCGTGACTGGCTACTCCATGGTGATGACATGAGGTCAGATGATGACGGACTACTTTCTTTAGTGAAAGTCATTATTAAGTTGCTCGTGCTTCAGTCGAATGTTCACCAACGTCTGGATTGAACAACAGGACCGTGTAGATCTAATTAATAATAAAAATAAACAAACTCGTCCTCGTCTGCGAGTTTGTTTGTTATTATTATCAGTTACATTATCTGTTGTTATGTCAACGTTATCGTTTTTCAGAGTGTAAACCAACCCCCTGGATGCCACAGCGACAGATATGTCTCCCCTCTTCAACCCTCACTTCGAAGTCGAATAAGATTAAAAAAAACATCACGAAAACTAAATACACTTCACAGTTTTGAATCAACGCTTCTGTTTATCATTTCTACTGTCATTTTAGGCAAAGCAGAATTACTGAAAGTGACTTATGAAAATTGGGTACATTGTAAATCTCGCCAAATCACAATTAACGGCGTTATTTACTGTGTTTAAAAATCTAAACATCGGATATTTACTCGAATAATTAAAGTAGAAAAATAGCATATTAGTGATCACGGGTATCAAATCTAATAACAATTCTGCAACGTCGCTGATAAGCCTAGAATCGTTTAGAATGTTTTGGAAAATACGCATACACGAACGCCGAAGTGTACGTTCCTCCATATTGGATTGTGTTTACAAAATGCCGGTTATGAGACGCCTATAGATGAGTTGCAGATCCGCAATGACTCAGCATTAACCATAGTAACCCACGCGCAGAACAGGAACTTCCGAGCATGCGTACTTCGCTGTGCGGCAAAAACACACGGAAGTGCCCTACGTTTTTTCCGCCACAAATCAACGTCACACCAGCGATTCTATTGTATCATTTCTTCGTACCAAATGCCTGCCAGTTGCTGCGCTATCGGCTGCAGTAATCGTGGGGGTGGGGAAAATCACCATAAATTCTTTCGAATTCCGAAAGAGGAAGATGTTCGTAAGAAATGGATTTTTGCCATTCGCCGCAAAGACTGGACACCAACCGAATATTCCCGCATTTGCAACGAGCATTTTCAGAAAGGTATGGCAATATATATATTTTTTATCTTTTGACTTGATGGTACATTCTTTTCGTCATCTAAAAGGTAGATATTTTCATAAAATGAAGGTCTGGTAACAAAACTCATTTTGTCATGACCTAGATCATATGACACATTGGCGTTCAAAGTGACGTGAAGGGAAGTAACTCCAAAGTTGGTATCTCATGAACATCTTTGCTAGCTGGGCCCGTGGCTACGGTAGAGTGTTAGGAACTGAAGAAGATTATGTATAATTGTAGTTAACTTATGTTTGTTATGACGCAGCTTTAATTACATTTAATCAATTCTTTTATTACACTAACAACAATGACATACTGTTTTTGGTTGCCTAATAGATCAAGGTTGGGTAGATATCTAAATGGATTTTTATATTGATCTACCTGGTATTTTAGAATTAAATGTACGTTTGTCTTAAGACTTTCTTATAAATTGTGCATTTTCTTTTACTTGCAAAGGTCGTCCCTCAAAGGATCCAAATGATGCGGACTATGTGCCAAGTCTGTTTTCCTTCAAAACAGAGAATGCTGCTACCACAAAACAGAGAATAAACAGGCAGAACCGTTTGAAAGAGAGGCAAGAGAACGCTCAGCGCAGTGTAGCTGCATCAGCTCTTCTGTCTATTGCTAGTGTAAGTGTTCACTGATGTATTACTTTCATGGAATACCATATACCTTTTAGTTTAGTGTAAGTAAAATTATACTTTACATACTATAGTAATCTTCCAGGGTGAGGCCTTGTGCTTTTAGCTCCTAAATTTGAAAAAAACCACCACATTTTCAAATATAATGGGACATTGTAACATTGTGCTGTACGGGCCAGTGTGGTTGTACCTCTAGTTATTTGAAATTTTCACATAAGGGCCCCATGTCAGAAAATTCCTAGAGTGAACCCTGATCTTCTCACAGTTACTTGTTTTCTTGAACATGTTGAAGATAATTTTGTACTGTTTAAATTAAAAATACACATATTATGTAAAAAAAAATACAATTGTAAATTATGTTGTTTTTGTCAACTACAAATATTTGATTGTAAAAGACAGTATGTGTATCACAAAAGAGTTTGATAATGTGCATAATTACAAAGCATGTCTGTGCTAAGTTGTAAAGACTTATATTGTTTCTGCAGATTGATGATGATAACAGCCCTGTCAGTGTGAGTGTCCAGACTGATCCAATGATGACAGCTCGATCTTGCTATCCTGCATCATCGCAGACTAACATACAGAACCGCGAGATCGAAGACCTGCTTTCCTGGAAAGAATATGCCTTGCATCTTGAGATGACCAACCGTGTCCAGGAGAAGTACATCAGCACATTGGAAAAGCAAGTTGACCTCACACAGACCCTAGTTCAGTCCTTACAAGTTGACATATGTAAATTGAAGAAAACTGTATCAGAGCTTAAAGTGGAAAATACCAGAGTATGCTGCATGAAGAACATTAAAAAAACTAATGACAAACAGTTGTCATTTTATACAGGTCTACAGAATGTTAGTGTATTTATGGACATTTGCAGCGAAACTTCTCATCATGTCAATAGGAAGAAGAACAAGCTTTCTGATGAGGATGAACTCCTCCTAACTCTGATGAAATTGAGGAAGAATTTATGCATGCAGGACTTGGCATACAGGTTTGGTATATCTAAGTCATCGGCTACGAGGATCTTTCACGCATGGCTTGATGTACTGTACATCCACCTTGGAAGACTAGTGTTGTGGCCTGATACTATTGAAATGCACCTACCCAAGTGTTTCCGCAACAAGATTTTCAGAAGAGTAAGATGCATCATTGACTGTACAGAAATCTTCATCGAGAGAGCCAGTAACAACAAAGCCAGATCCCAGACTTACTCAAGGTACAAGCAGCACAACACAGTGAAGTTCCTTATTGGTATCAGTCCATCAGGAGCCATCATCTTTCTGTCCCCTGTATGGGGTGGACGAGCCAGTGACAAGATCATAACTCTCACAAGTGGCATCATTGACAAGTTTGTGCCAGGTACACATGAATCAATGGTATTTGTAAAATAATTTGGATATATATTTCCTGATATAGTTTTATTCGCGAGGAAATTGGTATTTTATCAATGAAGCATTGAATCAGGGTTGCATATAGATAGTTTTAGCTAGAGACATTTTTATTAAGATTTCATAAAATAATTAGTGCAAATGTTCCAAGGAATCTTGAATATATTTTGATTACATTCTTGGCATAGTACATTTTGAAAATATGATGTGTATTTGTGCATGTATAAATGTAGGCAGTAATTATTATATAACTAGAAGTTGTATACATTTCTACAGGTGATGTTGTTCTGGCTGACAGGGGCTTTTTCATCGACACTGAATTAGCAACTCGAGGGGCACAGCTTATGGTACCAGCGTACACAAAAGGCAAGAACCAGCTGTCAAGACAAGAAGTTGAAACATCCAGAGTATATTCCAATGTGCGGATACATGTAGAGCGAGTGATTAACCGTTTGAAAGACTGGGGTGTGATGAAAGGTCCTCTCCCTATCACTCTTGTCAAGAAAGCGAACACTTCAACAGAGACCACTGTTGGAAAGATGGTTCAAGTATGCGCAGCTCTTGTGAACCTGTGTCCTCCAATACTAGAATAGTGGTCTACATAGTATACATGTATATAACATAAGTATTGGTAATGAAGTTGTGCTGAGTAGTGGATCAATTTCAGTTGACATGATAAACATAATTGATCCTAGTACTATTGCTATGTTCTATATCCTTGTTCTGCTAAGTTAGTTTTGAACAAGTAGATGTTAAATTACCGGTACATCGTAAACACTTTTTGATACAAAAAAAAGGAACTGTTGATGTTATCAACATTTATTAATGTACAGATATATTCAGCTTTTTGTCTTAATATTTCATTTATCATGACAGGTGAATTATATACGCATTGAAGCACATGTAACACGTGTGGCGTCTCCTTGGGCAAGTGACTTTGTTTGAAATGTGCCTCTCTTCACCTAGCAGTGAATGGTTACCCGTTAGGATGAGATGACAATGTGGTTGTTAACCTTCTATCGCCTAAAAGGCAGCTTGGGTTGTATACTGTAAACAGGGAATTTTTTGCGACCGTTTTATTATTGCGAGTTTTGCGAACGAGACTCAATCGCAAAAATTAAAAAAGCAAAAATAAGTATAAATAATACATACATACTTTATTCATTGCAACACGTCATCAAACGTTGAAATCTTCAACCAGAACCACAAGTTACTCAATAAGTTAAAAACACAAATGAATGCAGAATGGTCACACAATACATCACAAATGACAGTGTTAACAGACCAATTAGTGTCACTGTTACCTCACAGTAATCAATTATCAACACATCAACTCGCAAAAATATCTCGTCGCAGTATTGTCTTTGGTGTGGTATTCGGAATATTTTAACGGCGAAGAAATAAAGCTGTTTACAGTAATCCCCAGGGAGCTGAGAATGATTCTTGAGTGCACATTGACCCAGTGACCAGGGTAATAGCGCTTTGAGCATGCCCCTGAGTGGGGTGGAAACATGTGCAATATAAATAGCATATTATTATTATAATTATTTATCACATATAAACAAACTAAGAAATTAGGTGTTTATATTTGCTGCATATCACTCTTTCCACACAAGTGCTACAACTTAAGTGCTTCCAAACATAATTATTGATGTGTGATGTGTAACAATAAGTTCATGAACAACTGAACATGATGTAGACAAATGGGAAAAAAATTAATTGATGAACTTTGAGATTTAATTTAGTGTACTTTGGCTTTGTAGGGTACTATAAATGGACAGTAACATTAAAAATGCATTTATGTACATTTGTTTGTTTGTTGTTTAACTCTGCAATCAGTAATATTTTAGCTATATGACAGCTGTCTGTAAATAATTGAGTCTGGACCAGACAATCCAGTGATTGACATCATGAGCATCGATCCACACAATTGGGATATGATGACACAGTTCAAACAAATCAGCGAGCCTGACCACCCGATCCCGTTTGTCGCCTCTTACCACAAGCATTGATGTACATACATTGCATTGTATTATTCATACATTATGCAGCGACGCCTTTCTCTGGATACTGGGTGAGCATGGTTCATCTTATGGTCATGTGCTCTAGTCAGTAGTTCAGGTAAAACAATTCTCAAAAAGTAGAAATCTAATTTCACTTTCAGTGAGTTCCAAAATGTAGTGTCTTTTATGACACGTTCAATATGGATACCCTTTCTGGACCAGACAACAAAGTCACAATAATTCATATCACAGACATGTAACTGGCCTTGCACCTGATGATAATAATTGTGGCTGGTTTGAAGCGAGTTTATACAAACAGGATCATATTTTACATGAGGTTTTAGATAGAACTGATTATCACAAATTTCACAAGGATGCTGGTCTCTGTATTTAAAGAGACACTTAACCTCCACAAGACCCTTACCACAACAGTCACATGTCACATATGAGTCAGGTGTAGCACCTAAGTGGGGGAAATCTGGGTTGATGACAAAACCGGATTTCTGTAAGACAAGGTTGGTATGACCAGACATCATAATAGTTTTATATTGATCAAGAGCGTCATTTTCGTGGTCCAAACCCCACCCACAGGGAGCATACACTCTAGCTTGGTCATGTTTATTACTGTCAGAGTCAGTAGTTTGGTCATATTGCATTGTCTTTTTCAATAATGAAACCTGACTGGGTTTACACTGACAATGATAAATACTCCCAAAATTAGAGGCAGTTAAACGTCCTATTCTGTACTCAAACCAGGTAGCTGATCCACTCTGACAGATGGTTTCTTTCTCCAACACTGTAGCTTCCTGCTGTGTTATTTTTAACTCATCAGAAAAAACATTCTCACATTTACATTTCAACTCTGCCTCAGTCAAATGTTTATATTTCTCATCAAATAAAAGTGATAGTGGAGAAGGAAGTTGGGCATGTTCTTCTTGGGACCAGTCGGTAATAACAGGGTTAGTAATAGTAAATATGGCTGCGGAGGGTACACTTTTTCTCAACTTTACTAAAAGACTAGAACTATCTGCAAATTTAACTGGTTGTCTCTGGGCCAGAGGTGGTGCCAAGTGCACCTTCTTGACTTTGGAGAAGTTTATGTCTGCAACCATAGCTGGTTCAACCTGAAAAAAATATTCACATACAGTTGCTGAAAGGAATTTCACATTTAAGTTAAAAAATCACATTACACAGTTATAAAATACTGACATGTTTTCAAACTTGTCTGTCTTGAGGAAAAATACAAATCAGCCTGATATTTAAACCACCAACACACACTTGCAAATATTCTAAATTATGTTTTATAAGGCTTAAAAAAAGAAAAAAGAATTGGCTCTCAGGCAATGGTTTTTGAAAATATAGTGTGGGTGGGCGGTGTCTTTTTTGTTGTTGTTATTGTACAAACTAGTATATGACCAATAAACAGTTGTGTAATCAATAATACAATTGTGTACAATCAACCAGGGAAATGGCCTCCCTACATAATTGTATTCCTTGATGAGTAAAATACTGGAATACAGTTGGATTTCTTAAATAAAAAATTTGAAATAAACACGAAACATACAGCGAACTTTATGAAAATGCGGGCGGTGCCTGAGAACCAACACTATTATTTTTTTTAGACTAAGTCAGTAATGTAATTCAACAATGAAAAAGTTTTCAACCTCCATAACCAATTTGTTTAAAACGTTATAAAGGAATATGGGACAAACTGTGGTTTAAAATCAACACCAATATATTGTTCTTTCAATTTTCATATTTTGCATTTTACCTTCTTTGTGAATGTCTGATTCCAGGAACAGGGCATGGACGTACAGGAAACTTTGTTGTACTCAAATCGTACACAGGCCTCCACTTTAAATAGGATACCAGCAACATGTGAACAGACTTCACCCAATCTGAATTTGAACAAACATTTAACTAAACTTTGAACAATTAATTTACAAATTTTTTCTGAAATATATGAAATTGAGTACAATGGGATTTATTTACCACAACAGATGATCATATTTGAAAGAAAACCTATTTACAGAAATATTTATTAAATAAATAAATCTAATACCCTGCCATGCATGTATAGTGTGCACACTCCACCCTGCCACTCTTATCCAGACCAACCCAGGCTTCATGGGGCTTCTCTGTCACAGCTTGGGATCTGTGAACCTTGGCCTGAAAAATCAATCAACATTTAAAAAAATTATATATTGCTGTCACAGACATTCATGCGATTGGTTGATTATAATATTTGATATTCAGTGGTTTCTAAATAAGATCTTTTTTTTTGTTTACACACAAACTATGGATTAAGAGTACACTGACCATGGAAAACACATACTATGGCGCCGCATAGAATTATATGCCACGATATATAGGCCTTATATAATGCATGTTCAGATAAAAATATTAACATTGATGACTTACCTTAATTATGCACTTGGTCTGTGAAGAGTTGTACCTGATGAGACACGTATGAACCCATCCACTTTCAAACAAAGTATAGGCCTCTAGTGAACGAAAACATCGCAAACTCTTTCTGGTAAAAGGACCAGGCGAATCTATTAGATACGTGTACAGGTCGCCATACTGCAAGTTTGGCCACTGTGAAACGTCGTCAATCCAGTACTTATTAATGATATATGGTTCCCAATCTAGCGAAAATCCAAGTAAATTAAGTTTTTCTTCGTAACGAAGCTTGTCTACTGCACAAAGATGTTTGTAGTAGGTACTCATGATAAATGTGTAAACACGGAACGTAAATACGGCAGCGCGAAGTTTGACAGCTCTGACCTTGACAGCGCGGTTCACTTCCGTGGTCTTTTGCCGCACGCACGATGCGCATGCGCGACCGGAGACGGAACAGCAAGTCTGCTGCAACTCATCTATTAGATCACGTATATTTCAAACTCAGAAGCCGTAAAGCTTTCCGTCCTGTGTGACGCCATGACTGACGCTAAATCACGCACGACGACGGTACTAGTTATCTGCATTTCTGACTAATTCCCATTGTCACATTGGAAAACATGGTAAACAAATAACAGTACGCAGATTGTCAGAATGTTTCTGATTACTTACGTGACACATTTATGTATATACGATCCCTCAATCAACGAAAATCCTCCTCTGGAAATCCCGCATACGGTTGTCAGTGAACACGCCATTTTGTAAAAGTCGGTCACCGGTAGTGATGTCATACGGAAGTAAACATTGTTGTACGTATTTGGTAATTTCTTTGAGGTGTACACTTTTTACTCGGCACCCAGAGTGTTCTTTGTTTTTGTCTAGTTTGCATTACCATCGCCTTGATAATCTACAGATATGGCGGAAACCTTTTTGTGTAGGGTCACATTATTTATGAGCAGTAAGCAGTACATAGGATGACGTCACTTATGACAGTGGTGTTATGTATTAATGCGCTACTGCAATCATGAGAATAGACAAAATGCATCGGTTCGATGCCAAAAAGGTGCGATTTTAGGGTGTGTAAGAAACAGATTACTGCACTCGTGCCTGTCAGACACCACTGATCTCACAACTCGTTATTACAAAGCGTATGTAACTCGCTTTCGCTCGTTAGATACGTTTTGAAACAACTCGTTGTAAGATCAATGGTATCTGACAGACACTCCTGTAGTAATCTCTACTTAAACCACTCGTATGTTATCAAAAATGAGCGGGCCACTTAACTTAACTGTAACTTGATAATACCCCCATATTTCTTGTTGTTGTGTGACGTCATAGGATAGGGATAGGTGACGTCTCTTTCAATAGTGACGTCATCTGGTTTGTTCTATGACGTTTCCATGTTTGTAAAAGTGGGTCAGTGACATTCGTGTTGATTGCAGTAAATGTTTGAAAACCGATATTGTTGTTTCTTTTTATTTGATAACAAATTCCATCCATTTTGGCTATAATAAAGGTAACGCTATTTTTCGGGGCATTACCATTTGCAGAAGAGCTCGATCTTTTCAACTGCCCTCCTTCGTCGGGCAGTTAATGGAAAACCTCGGGCTTCTGCAAATGATAATGCCCCGAAAAATAGCGTTACCCTTATGATATACTCTCCGCGTCATGCTTCAACTCCAGGGAAACTGGGCACGAAAGTCCGATGTCTACATTGATGTAGGTTCTATAGACGTTGTTCCTCATGTGTTGTCCCTTTCTCCTTAAACTCTAATGGATGGCACCAACGATGCTGATTGTTTTTGGGACAGAAGCGTCTAGTCCTCCATTTCTTTACCGTGTTTTATTCATTGAATGACTTCTAAATGGAGACCATCCACGACTTGTAAATGGAGATCATTCTTGACGTACTTGTAAACGAAGATCATCCATGACGTGAAAATGGAGATCATTCATGACGTACTTGTAAATGAAGAACATTTATGACGTAATTATGAATGATGTCCATTTACAAGTACGTCATGAATGATGTTCATTTACAAGTACGTCATGAATGATCTCCATTTTCACGCCATGTACTTGTAAATGAAGATCATTCATGACTTGTAAATGGAGGTCATTCACAATTTGTAAATGAAGATCATTCATGACGTAATTGTAACTGAATATCATTCATGGCTTGTTAATGGAGATCACCTATGACTTGAAAATGGAGATAGTTCTTGACTTGTAAATGGAAATAACCCATGACTTCTAAATGGAGATGTGCCACGTATCAGATACCGGAGTATGTATTCCAAGTTTGTGTTTTCCCCAGCGCCTATTATATACTGTCGTCTAGTGGAGGTAATACGGTATTATGAGTATGTTGTTATACCGCTTTACGAAATAAGTGTCACGATGTATTCGTTAAATCAGTTGTAGATAATGATGATTATGATGATTCTTAAGTTCACGGACTTGTAGAATTGTAGACTTCTCGGATACGTGAAGATCCGGTTTAAAATAGGTCTTCAGCAACCCATGCTTGTCGTAGGAGGCGATAACGGGATCGGGTGGTCAGGCTCGCTGACTTGGTTGATGCAATTCATCGCACCCCAGTTGCGTAGATCGATGCTGATGTCAATCACCTGTCTGTCAAGACACGATTATTTACAGACCGCCGTCATAAAGCTGGAATATTGCAGAGTACGGCGTTAAACAACAAATAAAGAAATAAAATATCGGAGATTTTACGAGAGCTTCTAGTACAGCCGATGTTGTGCTCGGAATTTTAGAAAACCCGTGTTCTGCACGATCTGCAGTGTTGAAAACTGTGTCAAGGTCATAGAGTGACATATATTTTCGTTTATCTATAATTGATTCTTATATCTATAGCAAACTGCCGGGCAAACGAAAGGATACACTTTTGGTTGATGGCATCCGTTGTAATATTTTAATTGTATTTAAGATAAGATAAGATAAGATAAGATAAGATAAGGTAAGATAATACTTTATTACCCGATTTTGAGATTTGGTTTACATTTTAGATACATACATGAAAAAATAAATACATATACCAGTTAAAATGACATGTAACAAGAATGAGTTTACTATAGCACTACGCATTGAATAGGTAGAGTGAGTGAGTGAGTTGGGTTTAACGCCGCTTTTAACAGTATTCCAGTCATATCACGGCGTGTCAGCTTAATGTGGGAGGAAAGCCCGAAGTGATGCAGGTCTCAGACGTTTACCACTTCGATGAAACCAACGAGCACGGGTATAGTCTGACAAACCTAGAAACATAATCGGGGCGAACCGGGATTCGAACCCACAATCATAGGTTTCTGGCGTGCCCAAGGGACGCAACTCTGCACAGCGAATTGCGGCGCCTTAGACGACTGGGCCACCCGTGCCCCCAGAGGTATGTGGGACTTAACTAGATGAAGTATGAATAAGTTAGGTTAATGACAACACTTATCTCAACCAATCACATAAACATCTTTTTCAGATCACATTTACATTCTACCAACACAATAATGCTTGATTCGGATCGGTCAAAAAAAGACCAAGGTCAGGTGCCGTATTCGACGTACTGGTGCCACCCGTGCCCCCTTGAATAGGTAGAATGAAGCAATGGAAATATATAAAGCAACTTATGAATTAAAGTGTATGACTACTTGAAATAGGTGTCTTATTCAACAGAAACAAGATTTTAAAACTAATACTAAGGATGATAACGCGGTGAACACTGATGTGGATACAAGACGTAGGAAATGTCCGGAGCTGTAGGTAGAATTTGTACCTCGACAGACACTTCATGTTTTGTTAACTCGAAATCTTTGGTATCGTCGAAACGTGTCGCGTTATCCGTTGTTTGAGATAGGCAGTGTCGAGATGCGTGATGCACGTATTAAGATCCGGCGTAGACTATATCTTCAGCAACCCATGCTTGTCGTAAGAGGCGACTATGCTCGTCGTAAGAGGCGACTAACGGGATCGGGTGGTCAGGCTCGCTGACTTGGTTAATGCATGTCATCGTATCCCAATTACGTAGATCGATGCTCATGATGTCAATCACTGGATTCTTTGGTCCCGACTGGATTATTTACAGACTGCCGTCATGTAGCTGGAATATTGCTGAGTGCGGCGTTCAACAACAAGCAACAACACATACTACGAGTGTTGCTTACTAGTGACTGTTCGACTGTTAGGCGTATCTCAGGTTGTGCGAGTTCTACTTGGATCTGGGGTGGTCGGGTAGCCTAGTGGTTAAAGTGTTCGCTCGTCAAGCCGAAGACCCGGGTTCTTATTCTGACGTGGGAACAATGTGTGAAGCCCATTTCTGGTGTCCACCGCCGTGATATTGCTGGAATATTGCTAAAAGCGGCGTAAAACCATACTCACTCACTCTACTAAAAGTCTTGTATCTGCCTAATGCTTAAACTTGGTTTATAACTTAGTGTTATAAACTCCTTAGACGTCAGTTTAGTTTACCTTAGTCAACAAGACGCCTTAATGCAATGGGTATGCCTGTTATTGGTTTTCTCAACGTCACTCTATACAATTTAATACATCACTCTATACAATTTAATACGAGTCGGTTTGTCTTTGGGCGAGGCGTTACTCCAGCACAGGCAGTGTAATCGTTAGCCCTGTACTGTGACACTGGAATATTGCTGAGTTCGTCCTTAAGCAACAAACAAACATTACAATGATCACAGTATTGTGTATATATAATATTGTATTTATTTATTTATTTTATTATTTTTATTATTATTTCACAATGGATACACTTGTATTTTAATGTGTCTCATAAGCCTAATAGGCTGGATGTACAAGCTTTTGTTCTGACATCGTACTATGCCAAATGTTTTTACCATGACGGCTTGTGCGTGTGACACAAAAATAAACATTTCTCTCTCTCTCTCTCTCTCTCAACATATTTTCTATTTTCAAACTTCATCAATTAGTGCTGTTGGATTCAATGTTCTGTACCTTCCTGCTCGGTCAGGCATGAAGTACATTCCATGAAATTGCTAAACATACCTTTTATTATAAACACAAAACAAATCATGTTCAGTTAGTGAAATATACCTCGATATGTATACATAGTTATATAAGCTGGCGTAACATGTTCCCTGAAATACCCTTGTGGTCCGTTTACCCTAATCGGGATAACTAAAGTACTGTCGGAAATGCTAGCAAAATGCTTGTCTGGCTTTATTTGATAAATACGAAGCATAGGGCAATAAAAAAACTCAAATCTAACTAATTTATCCTAAATGACTCTTTGATTGGCCTAAAAAGGTTCTTTACAACTAAAATGAAGATAAACTTAAATTAAAATTTTAGTGTGTTGTCAAGCATACAGAAACGGCATAGCCTGAGGTCCTAACACCTGTCCCGAGGTGATGACCTCACACCGCCCCGTGCATTCTCACAGGTGCAAATGTCACCCGAGTTGGGGGTGGTCTCAAAATATTGCTGTTATTGTACTTTATTGAGTGAGTGAGTGAGTGAGTGAGTTGGGTTTAACGCCACTTTTAACAGTATTCCAGTTATATCGCGGCGTGTCAGCTTGGAACAGTTGTAGAACAACAAATACTTCTTGATTAAAAAAAACAACCTTCCAATACTGATCCCGTTTCATAGCTTTAACTATTCTATCATTTCCCAAGCAAATGAAGTACTGCAGTACATATCTTAAGTGCTCCCCGCGTCAACGCATATCTCAATAAAGTACGTCGTCTAAGGCGCCGCGATTCGCTGTGCAGAGTCGCGTCCCTTGGGCACGCCAGAAACCTATGATTGTGGGTTCGAATCCCGGTTCGCCCCGATTATGTTTCTAGGTTTGTCAGCACCATACCCGTGCTCGTGGGTTTCACCGAAGTGGTAAACGTCTGAGACCTGCATCACTTCGGGCTTTCCTCCCACTTTAAGCTGACACGCCGTGATATAACTGGAATACTGTTAAAAGCGGCGTTAAACCCAACTCACTCACTCACTGTATCAAAATCCCATCTCGTGAAGAGGAATAATTCACGTACAGCTCGGGGAACATTAATTGTGTCTTTACTTTCCTCGCGAATTCTACACCTAGTCTAGGGTACCTTCTGCTCATAAAGCTTGTACACTGCACGCCTAACCTACCCTTTGCCACCGGTTTTGGTTTTGAGACGACCCCTGCCTTCTTTATTATGTTTAACATACGGTAGACTTGTAGGAAAGAAAGAATACCCTACTCAGACACAGTATACTGACTCCGAGCCGACCAGTCCTTGTGCCCCTTATTCCCGAGCGCCAGACAGGGTAGCAACAAGTACCATCTTTTAACGTCTTTTGGTATGACGCGGCCGGGGATCGAACCCCGGACTTTCCGCTCTCCGGGCGGACCCTCTACCACAAGACCACGGAGGCGGTATTCGTATTTAGAACGGAGTCGAATGCGCATATTTCTACAGTCCCTCAAGGGACTAAACTCTGCACTTGTAGTTTTCTTTCGAATTCTTCTTCTATAAAATTGTAAATGGGACTCATTGTGACTGAAATACTTCAAACCACAGCTAGGTAGATCGGTAGTTACTCCATGTTTCAATAGCAACAGTCTGTAAAAAACATTCTATCTTGTTTTAACGGACAAAAGGCAGTTTTTTAACATTTTCGACAGTACTTTCCTTGTTATTCCGCACAAAGTAGTGTCACGTGGTTTCAAGATTTATTTATATACACCACGTAACCCCATCACCCGTGAATACATACGGCAGCTTTGAAGTGTAATCGCTCGTTTTAGCCAACGAATCAAGCTACGGCCTGGTTTCAGCGAGAGGGAAACCAACCCATGCTTAGACCAATCAGCGCTCAGATAACACCGCACAAACGGCAATGTTGCACGTGCAACATGTGCACATTTTGCGGCCACTGCTCCACACACAGTTTGAATATCGGTAGGATTCGCACACCGGATTTTCTGGTCCATCGATTTCTTAATTGTCTGGCTTGTTTACAAACCGCCGTCGCATCGCAGGGTCAAGCAATAAATATTAACTTTTAAATAGCGAGTGCAACCGGTAGGGCAGGACGTGCTTACCCTTTTCGGGAACACCTGGTGTCATCACTGATTTTTAGTGGTCCGTTCATATAATTTTCACAGCTATTTTGCCCTTTACGACAAATGGAATCTGCTTCGGCGGAAAATCAAGATTAGTCTTGCGTTAAAGCTTTACAGTCATCAATTGACTAAAATATACACGCGTCACTATAACACCGCCTATTTGTATTCACAGGTGATGACGGGTTGTAGTGCATACACACCCGTGAAGTTTGGACGATGTCCTGTCGTAGCCGATGAATCCACCCGAGATCTCGCAATGTGTATACTGGTCTGTATTGTCCTCAGTATTGACATCACAGACAACACGGTGGCCATATTCCCATATCACCACTCGCACAGCGTGATACCCCCGTGTATGTAGGCACGGTCGTTGTTGTATATATCGTTGAGAGCATCATAGAGTCTGTGGTCTTTCTGTCTGATGTTATTCCTGGAGTACCATTCACTGGGGCACAACGCCGAGCCCTGGCAACTGTTCATACCGTCTGGAACATGGGAAACAACATATGATTTAAAAATGGTTATTTTAAATGGAAATATCTAGTGAGGGGCTTAATTATTTTCGAGGTAAATAAATAAATAAATAAATAATTGAAATTTACAAATAAATAAATAGATCAATCAATAAATAATTTATAAATAAATAAATAAATGAACAAACAAACAAACAAACAAATAAATAAATAAATGTGGTACCTTCAGAATCAGGAATGAGAGCATGACACATTTGTGTTTAAGTAAATATGTAATATAAAAAATAGAAAACAAACACATAATGAAAACAAAACTACATCAATGAATTCTGGAAACATTTGTGATTGCTTTCAAGGAACAAAAGGTATTAAGTTCACACAATCATAATGGTATTTGTGATAAATGTTTAAAAATTTAATTGAATGGAATAGCATAAAATCTCTTTTTGTTGGCACATCATATGTTAGGACCATATGTTGCATTGTGTAGAACTGAAAGAACAATCATGGCCAGTGACACAATGGCTGGACGGAATGGCATACAAATGTTTTGTATATCAACAGTGGTAAAGTTATTAATACTTTTTCATAATTAATATTTTCAAAGTAATAGTAACATTGTTGTAATATTATTTTATAATGAACTAGATCAGTGGAGCCTTGCATATATTGTTAAAAATGAAACCCACAACGTTGTGAGTGCGTAGTTTTTATATGACCATGAATCCTACTTCTCTATGAGAGTTACCTCCCTCTTGCTTAGCGTAGTGAGTGAGTGAGTGAGTGAGTTGGGTTTAACGCCGCTTTTAACAGTATTCCAGTTATATCACGGCGTGTCAGCTTAATGTGGGAGGAAAGTCCGAAGTGATGCAGGTCTCAGACGTTTGCCACTGAAACCCACGAGCACGGGTATGGTGCTGACAAACCTAGAAACATAATCGGGGCGAACCGGGATTCGAACCCACAATCATAGGTTTCTGGCGTGCCGAAGGGAGGCAACTCTGCACAGCGAATCGCGTCGCCTTAGACGACTGGGCCACCCGTGCCCCCCTTAGCAAAGTGTGTGTTTATTATTATTCACGAGGTACAAAAGTGCTCATAGCTCGCCACACGGAAAGTGGGTCAATGTTTCCCGCATGTCCCCGTGACAAACTTTGACTCCCTATAAACATTGTGTATCTAACACAAACATTTTTCGTGTAATAATTTACAGTTAGGAATATTTAAAAAAATATTTTCATAATTATTTATTTATTTCGTATGTACACATATGTCATTTATACATGTGCGAGATGAAGATAAGGTTTCTATTAATAGCTTGTTTACATCTTTCCCGCTCTGACTCATCCCCATGTAACTTTCTCAAACCCAAACCAAATAAAGCACGTGCAATAATACAAACATTCAGACCGCCTCCGTGGTCTAGTGGTAGAGCGTCCGCCCGGAGAGCGGAAGGTCTGGGGTTCGATACCCGGCCGCGTCATACCAAAAGACGTTAAAAGATGGTACTTGTTGCTACCCTGTCTGGCGCTCGGCATTAAGGGGCTAAAACAAGGACTGGTCGGCTGGGAGACAGTATACTGTGTCTGAGTGGGGTATTCATGTTAAAACTGCGGCATGGTATCTCAGTGAGCTATCACTATAAATCGGCATCAGTCCGGACTAGTACAAGCAGCCACACACACACGTGCATGCACGTCGCTATATAAGTGCAATGATCTTAGACGCGACGTTAAACCCAATTTCACCTCCCCCCACCTCACAAACATTCAAGTTGCCTTGTACGATGACATGGGCTGCCGTTCGGAATGGCACGAGCGGTTTTTAAACTAATGTATGTTACATCAAATATCAATCGCTGTATAAAATGACTGAAATTTTCACTTAGGCAATTTAACTAACGCCAAAATATTTTAGTCATTTTACAATTATTTTTCCGTCAGATTTACTAAAAGTTATAAAGGAGTCCGAAAGGGCTTAAAACACCACGATACACTAATTATGCTGGGAATAGAAGCTAAAATGTTTGTAAACAATATATTTCGTCTGCTTTTAATCCTATCTTTTTCAATCACCTGGAGATGATAGAGCAAAAACATGTTTGGGATTCGTTGTCATAATATAATAAATCGAAACATAATTGTAAAATGACTCAAGGTGTCACTGCAATGATACAGGATAGTTACATGTTGTGCCTGAGTTGAGTTTGGTGGACTGGAACCAAGAGAGAGTGGCCTGCCTGAAGTAGTCCGTCACTGGGATCTCCTTCCCCCAGACAGACTGGGCGTCCCTGTTGGCATCCTCCAGCTGAAACAGTGAGGTAGCGAGGTAAATAGTATGCCATGTTTGTTTGATTGTTTGTTGTTTAACGCCGCACTCAGCAATATCACAGTTGTATGACGGCGGTCTGTAAATAAGTGTTTAAGTGTTCGCTCGTCATGCCGATTGTGTTTGATGGTTGTTGAGCATGAATCAAACAAGAGATGGTTATTGGATGGTGATGTCAGTGAGTGAGTATGGTTTTACGCCGCATTTAGCAATATTCCAGCAATATCAAGGCGGTGGGCACCAGAAATGAGCTTCACACATTGTACCCATCTCGGGATTCGAACCCGGGTCTTCGGTGTGACGAGCGAACGCTTTAACCACTAGGCTACCCGACCGCCCCGGATGGGGATGTATTTCATAGGGGTATTATAGTTGTGTTTTGGACCTTAAATTGGTGATTCGGCGACATTTACATCCTTGCAAAGTTTGTAATTTGTTGATCAAATCCAATTTTCAAGGGTATGCTTTATTTTGCCCGACAGAGTATATAACAATGGGATGCCACTCTATACACATGTTATCCACTTTTCTGTTAATATTATACTTCATAGAACATTTCCGTCACATGTTTAATACCAAAATACACGTATTACAGTGTACATAACATTTACAATTACACACATGACAGGTAGGCCAGTCGTATTATGTTTTTGGCAACCATTTTTGTCGTACCCATACCGAAGTGGTACACGGGTAGGACCTGCATCACTTGGTGGATGCCACAGAACAGCTGTACGCAGCAGAGGGACAGCAGCTGATGCAGGAGAGAGATGTAAGCACCTCTACCACACATCTTCCTACAGCTTTCTAGTTTATGAAAGTCATGGCATTACATTCAAACTGCTCTATTTTGTGAACATCGTCATGTTCATCCGCGGGGGCGTCTAAGGCGCCGCGATTCGCTGTGCATAGTTGCGTCCCTTGGACACGCCAGAAACCTATGATAGTGGGTTCGAATCCGATTATGTTTCTAGGTTTGTCAGCACCATACCCGTGCACGTGGGTTTCACCGAAGTGGTAAACGTCAAAGAGCTGCATCACTTCGGGCTTTCCTCACACATCAAGCTGACGCGCCGTGATATAACTGGAATACTGCCTAAAGCAGCGCTAAACCCAACTCACTCACTCACTCAGATTAGTCTGTATCATAAATGGCAACATTATTTGTATTTACCTTGAGTTTCTGAGTCTCCGTGAGGCCATACTTGTACAGGGCTCTACTGAATTCTGCCACGAGGAGGTTCTCAAACTGATTGGGATTCGAACTCGAGCATGCGACATTTTGAGCTGGAACAACGACCAAGCGGCCACCGTAGGCGATCTCATATGCGACAGGGAGGCCGCGGTCGGAGCAGGTGAGGCTGCAGTTGCCGGTGCAGACGTCTGGAACAGAAGGTAGGCATTGTTGTTCATAGAAATACAGGAGGTCCCATGTGGACATATATGAGGTTGACATTTCTGGTGTCCCGCCGTGATATTGCTGGAATATTGCTTAAAGCCGCGTAAAACCATACTCACTCACTCACATATTGGTTGGTGGGGTGAAATTGGGTTCAACATCGCGTCCAAGATTATTACACTTACATAGCGACGTGCTTGTCCGGACTAAAACGGTTTTATTTTATTTTTCTTGCCCACTGACATGGATGCTCGACTCAGACACAATATATTACTATATTTCAAGTCAACCAGTCCTTGTTTTATCCCGTTAATGTCGACCACAAGGCAGGGTAACGACAAGTACCATCTTTGAGCGTCTTTTGATATAACCTGTCCGGGGATCGAACCACCAACCAACAGCTCATCGGGAAGACGCACCATCTACTACACCATGGAGGCGGTCCTTAAGCCTGAAGAATATGTCATGTCTGGATATCCTGAGAGAAGGTCCATCCTTCTGCATGAGGTGGGGTGAGGGGTAATGGGGTTTACGTCGCGTCCAAGATTATTGCACTTATATAGCGACGTGCATGCACGTGTGTGCTGCTTGTACTAGTCCGGAGTGATGCCGATTTATAGTGCTAGCCCACTGAGATACCATGCCACAGTTTAAAATGAATACCCAACTCAGACACAGTATACTGACTTAAAGCCGACCAGTCCTTGTTTTACCCCTTTAATGCCGAGCGCTAGACAGGGTAACAACAAGTACCATCTTTTAACGTCTTTTGGTATGACGCGGCCGGGGATCGAACCCCGGACCTTCCGGGCTCTCTGGGCGGACGCTCTACCACTAGACGACGGAGGCGGTCCCCTTCTGCACGTGTAATGAAGGTCCCAGCTTGTCGTTAGAGCCGACTTAACATATGAGGATTGGGTGGTCAAGATGTCTGACTTGACTATTTGTCATTTTGCTCCGTTATTTTCGATCGACTTGGCTGCTTGCGTCACTTCCTGCCCTACTCGAATGGATCGCTATTCATTCTTTCACATGTCTGCCAAACTTGATGATTTGCAGTTTGTCGTGACAATGCTTGAAACGTGCCAACTGCGGCATTAAACAACATTCACTTACTTCTACAGTTTGGAGCCGGCGTGTACTCGGGGAAGACGGAGGGGTCCTCGGTGCGACGGTAGTAGATTCCCACAGCAACGTTGGCAGCAACGCGCCGGAACAACGTGGGCGACATGAACGACACAATCAGATGAGTGAGACGAGCTGCCTGAAAACAAAAGGGACGAAACACTTTCCATGGGCATAAGAAATCTCTGCAAAATGCACATTGTATTTGGTTGGTTTGTTGTTTTACGCCGCACTCAGCAATATTACAGCTGTATGACGGCGGTCTGTAAATAATCGAGCCTGGACCCGACAATTCATTGATTGATATTATGAGCATCGATCCACGCAATTTCAACCAAGTCAGCGAGCCTGACCATCCGATCCCGTTAGTCGCCTCTTACCACAAGCATAGTCGCCTTGTATGGCAAGCATGGGTTGCTGAAGACCTATTTTAACCCGGATCTTCACAGGTCGCACATTGTACGATTCCGACTATATCATGAGTATGTGGAAATGAATCACTATAAAATAGAAATGATACCGGGTGTTCGCGAAAAGATAAGAGTATCCTGCCCCAGCGGTGGCACCCATCACAAACACATGCAAAGGCAAGTCAACTGTTCACTTGCAAAGCACACTTCGTCCAAGTAGAATTGAATCAGACAGCATTATGTCACTGGTTCGTCAATTTGGAAATATCTCCACATGTCTACCATAAAACGTTGTGAAAGTTTTACTAAGACCTTGAATGTTGTGGAACAAGATTTGAGCAACCATTCGCATGACGCTCTTTGAAATCTTCGCGGAAAAGGGCATGCTTGGTTGTAGATCAAAAGTTATGAACATACCACGTCACACCAAGCAGCATTTATAGCTACATCTGTATAATTAATGTACATAACATCTATATATACTTGAAGATCAGGGGTAAAATAGGTCTTCAGCAGCCCATGCTTGCCGTAAGGACGACTATGCTTGTCGCAAGAGGCGACTAACGGGATCGGGTGGTCAGGCTCGCTGACTTGGTTGATGCATGTCATCGTATTCCAGTTGTGTAGATCGATGCTTATGATGTCAATCACTGGATTGTCTGGTCCAGACCAAACAAACCAAAGAGCCCATGGCCTATTACATGATGACTAAACACTACTGTATCGCATTATCACACGCATCGTCATACATTGAATTTTCATTGGTCAAAGTATTTACAAGTGGTGAATTTAGCTTTACGCGTAAAACAACAGTTACGACATTTGCGCGCAAGATAATAAAAAAACATCTTTACGCGTAAAATAGCTACAAGTGCGTTAAGCGCAAGCCTCCATGTCTGGATTTCTTATTTTTTAAAAGTCTTTACGCGTAATGAATTTCCATTCTACTATGACTGAATATAACGCGAACTCTTTCACGGTATGACATCGATGAACGGCAGATTTGAATTACTTAAAGCTGGGACGAGTCCAAATTTACTACCCGCGTACTCGCCCCCTATTACCCGACCCTACCCTGGTACCAACTGTAAATCTCAAGAGATAGGTAAAACATGTCCGATTGGGAATAGTTTGACCGTACTCCAGTCAAAATAAATTTAGATACACGTATAAACCGATCTGGTCATGCACACACTGAAGTTGACATATAAATTCAGAAGGAATGTGTGCAAAGTCAGAAAGAAATGTGAACATTTATCACTTATAGTGTAACCATAGAGTTCTAGATATTTTTCGCCATTAAACAATATGATCACGTCACTAACCACGGGTCCGGGTCGTCCTGTGGGTACCCGGGCCTTACTCAGTACCCACCCGACCCGGGTACCCGAGTTACCCACCCCAGCCCTAAACCACTCCCTCTATTTTGAACGCATTACAAAGAACACAAGAGCAAGAGAACATTTCATAGTTTTAGCCGAAAAATAGCAGCGTATACGAAGTAAATTGTTTACACTAGATGTTCATATGCGTAATCCACCACCACGCCCATATCTATACACACACCACTGGTAATACCGATAATTCTCTGTATTGTTTGATGCGATAAATTCAACAATGCTTTTGTTTTGATAATATTACAATCAAATTACATTTTTGACAAGTATTCTTTATTTGGATAGTTCCTATGATTTTCACTGCACTCATTTAACCTTTCTTTTTTATCTTGATTAGCCTGAACATGCAAAGAAGGAATACTGGTTTTTTGATACTAGAGACGGGGCCAAGCTTACAAGTTGGCATAGAATATCTCTGGCTCGTGAGGGTAATTTGACTGGACGGCTATTTATAGCGTCGTGCTGACCGACTATGGCTGGTGGATAGGAACTGGGTATCATAATAGAAGGGTGATATAATACCCTGGATTATCGAGGATGAGAGAGGCTGACGTGGTCCTACCTTCTCCAACACCGCATCACTGACGTGTTCCGTCCCCCTTACTTCAATACTAGGGGAGCTGGTGTTCACGCTGTGGTAACCACATTGCGTCACCCAGAAATATTTGAACCCCGATACGGCGTCGGTGACAACTTGTTCCCCGAGAGACGGCGTCGTCAGTCTACATGTGTCCAGGCTGTTGACAGACTGCCCTGATACTGTCTTGGCTGCTAGCGAGAAGACTGAAGACAACAACAAAGATAACATACATATAAATGAGTGAGTGAGTTGAGTTTGACGCCGATTTTAACAGTATTCCTTGAATATCATGGCACCAGGGCCCACTTGCACAAAGGGTTCTTAGCGCTAAGATGATCGTAAGCACCATACTTTAACATAGTATAGGCTTACAATAGTCGTAGCACTAAGATCGCTTTGTGCAAGGGGGCCCTGGTGCCGTGATATTCCATGAGCGAACGCTTTAACCACTCGGCTACTCCACGCACTGTCCCTATCCATATAGAGAATCTCACCGCGTGTCTTTTGATATCAAATATATCAACGAGTGTTTTATTTATCATCCAACCTCATTCTTTCAACTTTTTTTCAGTTTGTAGACAGTAATAAGCAGCGTCTCTAGTGTAAAATGTTCTGCTTACAGCTTCAGCAGCAGAGCCATAAATATAGATATAGAATACTTTACAAGCTCCCGTGTAATACCAATTGCTTTCGCTCGTCAGATACCACAACTATTCACTCGTTTCATAAAATTGGTTTTACATGGGAGCGAGTTTAGTATTTTATTTATTACTTGCTATTTATAACGTTTTTAGAATTATACTGTTGAGTATGAATAGGCCGACATCTACACGATCCATGGCATAGTCCAATTGAGTTTAACAGAATAATACTTCACACACGTCAAAAGTTGAAACGTATGAATCTAATACCATACAACGATCCACCTTTAGAATTCACAAAATTATCGTAGGGCTAAGAATATCGCAACTCACATACTTTAACTTAGACTAACGACTGTCGTTGCGCTACAATACGATCGCCTTGTGGAACGGGTCTTGCATCTCAAAGTTTACAATAACGTCACAATACCCGATGACGTAATTGGTGGAATTTTGTTGCAAGATCCATCGGCGAAACAGTGCCATGTGACGTCAGCCTAGCAACAAGGTTGCTGGGGTCATCGAGTGTGCATAAGCTCCTCTCAGTGATCTATCAACTCCACACACAATGTCGTTGAATAAGCCAAGGGATGTTGAGAGCTTTCAATATTTGTTCGTGAAACGTGTTCCGAGAGTACAAAAGCACGCGTTTTGGTATTACACAATGTGTAATACAGCTGTATGTTTATTAAACGGGTGATCTATTCACGGGCAAGTAATAAGAGATGTTATTTGATTGTCACGTCATGGTAACAATGACGTCGCAATGGTCTGCAAAGCATTGTGATGCAATTTCATTGCAGCGATATCTATAATGTAGATATCAATTAATCTCACCCAAAGGAAAAAATCTACTATGGGATCGATTTTTTTATCATAAACATAAGTTTATATAAACACGACCAGTTAATACAAGAAATTGTTATTCAGTGGCCCCTAAAACAAAGCAGTCTTAGCTCAACACCTATTGTTAGTCTATCTTAAGTACAGGGCGCCAGTTGCACAAAGCAGTTTTAGCTCAACACCTATTGTAAGTCTATCTTAAGTACAGGGCGCCAGTTGCACAAAGCAGTTTTAGCTCAACACCTATTGTAAGTCTGTCTTAGATACAGGGTTACATAGGTATTTGTAGCAAGCCTATAATAAAATGTTAAAATTCAATGTATCACATTTATATGGTTCTGTTAGATAACATCACCAGAACCATCTTCCCCAGGCCAGAGTGTCCACTAGCCTATACCAAAGCCTAGTTACTTAAGACGCCTGCCTCGGGGATGCACATGCAAAAACTTATATATTGTTGAAATATTATAAATAATATTACATTTTCAGCAATTCCCAGGCGGCCAGGTAGCCTAGTGTTTAAAGTGTTTGCTCATCCCGCCGAAAATCCGGGTTCGATTCCCGATATAGGTGCAATGTGCGAAGCCCATTTCTGGTGTCCCCCGCCGTGATATTGCTGGAATATTGCTAAAAGCGGCGTAAAATCAAACCCACACACGCCAGCAACCCTAGCGTTAAGATCGCTTTGTGCAAGTGGGCCCTGATCCTAATGCGACTGTATGGCTAGACGAGTGAAAAGTCATTGTCTGCTTCTTGGTCAACATTGCGATGCTAAACAATCAATTGTAAATATTGCACTTTCTCTGTGAGTGTACTAACATCAGTTTCATTTCCTGTAACAATCAAATAACACCATGGGGCAAAATAGTATTCGACTAACATTATTGGTCTTGTTGTACATCAATAATATATAGATGGTTTGCATGTCCCGTATTCTTTTTTTATGAAGGACCATACATCCTTCTTTTGATATCATTAACTGCGGGGGCGGTCGGGTAGCCTAGTGGTTAAAGCGTTCGCTCGTCACGCCGAAGACCCTGGTTCGATTCCCGACATGGGTACAATGTGTGAAGTCCATTTCTGGTGTCCCGCTCCGTGATATTGCTGGAATATTGCAAAAAGCGGCGTTAAACCATACTCACTCACTCATTAACTGCGAGAAATGTCCACACCGGAACCCGCCCTCACCCACTCCCAACACACAGAGGAAAGAATATTTAAAGGTCGTTCCCCGCTGACACGCAGTGATATTGTTGAAATACTGTTCACAGTGGCCTAAAGCTACGGAAGCGTAGTAGGGCCACGGTGAATTTTTCTTTGTCTAAGTATCTCCTACCTAGGACTTATTATCTCCCACGTAGGACTTACTATCTCCTGCGTAGGACTTATTATATCGTGAGTAGGACTTACTATCTCCTGAGTAGGACTTACTTTCTCCTACGTAGGACTTACTATCTCCTATGTAGGACTTACTATCTCCTACGTAGGACTTACTTCTCCTACGAAGGACTTACTATCTTCTACGTAGGACTTACTATTTCCTACGTAGGACTTATTATCTCCTACATAGGACTTAGTATGGACTAGAATAACTATCTCCTACGTAGGACTTCATGAGGAGATAGAAAGTCCTACGTAGGAGATAGTAAGTCCTACGTAGAAGATACTAAGTCGTACGAAGGAGACAGTGATTCTAGGCCATACTAAGTCCTACGTAAGAGATAGTAAGTCCTACGTAGGAGATAGTAAGTCCTACGTAGGAGATAACAAGTCCTACGTAGGAGATACTTAGACAAAAAACATTTTCACCGTGGCCCTACTACGCTTCCGTATAAAGCCAACTCACTCACGAACTCACTAATTTCGCAAGGGGAAGTATGTTCTCATTCGCCCGATATCTCTGAATAGCCTGACCTTGTTATGAGGATGTATGTCCCCGTGACAAAAAACGTAGCGCATTGTACATGCAGATTCAATGTTATCTTCAGGCATACACTGACGATACGGCTCAAACTGTTTTTCCTGTTGTGACGAATTCAGATCAGATACTCATTCGTGCAGTTGAGTTGAGTTCCTGGTCATAATAGTAATGATATTGGCATGTTCCCGGTTTGATTTGAGGTTAAATGTCTCAGAAAAAAAGACTTGAATAATAGTTTCAACAATAATACAAGCCATACTCCTGGTAGGAGCCTGGAGGGTTCAGACTGATGGCTTGACTGGCGTGTGTAGAGAACCAGTGGAGACACTTGTGTTGTTTATTAAAGTAGATATATGTTTATTGTACGCATATACTTCTGTTTTGGACCCGTGAAGATTCCGGGGTAGAATAGGTCTTCAGCAACCCATGCTTGCCGTTAAAGGCGACTATGCTTGTCGTAAGAAGCGACTAACGGGATCGGGTGGTCAGGCTCGCTGACTTGGTTGATGCATGTCATCGATCCCAATTGCGTGGATCGATGTTCGTGATATTAATCACCGGATTCTCTGGTCCAGACTCGATTATTTACAGACTACCGTCATATAGCTGGAATATTGCTGAGTGCGGCTTATGTGTTGTGTTGTGTGTCACTTTCATATTGTTTATTTTTGTGGATTATTTAAATGTCACACTTGTATTATACACTGCCGGACAAAAGAAAGTATACACTGTTTGATGGTGGCTAAAAATGAAACAAACAAGAAATGGTTATTAAATGGGGGTGTATTTGAAACAGGCATCATTGTGTGTTTTGGACGTTGAGAGGGGCGGTCGGGTAGCCTAGTGGTTAAAGCGTTGGCTCGTCACGCCGAAGACCCGGGTTCGATTCCCGGCATGGGGACAATGTGTGAAGCCCATATCTGGTGTCCCCCGCCGTGATATTGCTGGAATATTGCTAAAAGCGGCGTAAAACCATACTCACTCACTCACTTGGACGTTGAGGTAGCAGTGCTTCGACGACTGACACCAGCCTAGTGTCGTTTTGATAACGTTTGTAATGTGGTGAAATCAATTTTTAAGTGGATGTTTTATTCTGCCTGGGAGGTCATACAATATGTCTATAATACTTGCCTGCAGATATCACGGCGATCATGGTGTAACATTGCAGCTGCATGCTGGGAGAATCTTCAAAGAAAGAAAGCATTTGTATATTTTCAGCATCAGTCGTATCGAATAGCATACCTATAAACAATTCAACTTTCTGCACCACGACAATAGTATTAGCAGGAGTGTTGGTTCTGTAATGTCAATACAGGGATCCTTGGGGGTAGGAGCTTACCACACATTTATATGGAAAAATCATATTCAAGATAACAGTAAATGTATTACAATAACTAATATGGTATAGAATGTTTTCATAAAAAATACGACTACCAAACAAAAATTACTTCGTGAATTATTTGCATTCATTATCATTTTCATGCTGGCCTGTCAACCAAAATATATCCCTTCTCCGAACAGTTGTATCCGAGAGTGGTGTTTTCCTCCAGTCCTTCATCCTTGGTTCTCGTGGCCAAGAAAACAGACACCTCTAGAGATGTGCACGCACCTGCTGTGAACGTACTACCTAGCTGGTCAGGGGGAGGTAACTCCTGGCAGGACTAGCACGATGTCGCCTCTTTTATATACTACTACTACAAGTTCTTCTACTACTGCTGCTACACTTCTGCTGCTGCTACTACTATTAGTACAACTACTACGACTACTACTACGACTGACCAGTGAAGATCAGGGGTAGAATAGGTCTTCAGCAACCCACGCTTGCCGTATAAGGCGACTATGCTTGTCGTAAGAGGCGATTAACGGGATCGGGTGGTCAGGCTCGCTGACATGGTTGATGCATCTCATCGTATCCCAATTGCGTGCATCGATGCTCATGATGTCAATCACTAGGTTGTCTGGTCCAGACTCGATTATTTACAGACCGTCGTCATATAGTTGGAATATTGCTGAGTGCGGCGTTAAATAACAAACCAACTAACTACTTCTATTATTATTATTACTACTACTACTACTACTACTACTACTACTACTACTTCTACTACTACTGATACTACTACTACTACTACTACTACTCCTTATACTACTACTACTACTACTTCCCACAAGTGTGGGTTCGAATCCCAGACGGGACTCAACCCAAAAAAGTACGAGAATCTGTACTTTACTAAGAAAGTGTTATCCCAAATATAACATTTGTTACATTTGACCACTTTCTAAATGGCCTTGTGTATTCATACTACTACTACTACTACTACCACTACTACTACCACTACTACTCCTACATATAGTATCTGCTTGACAACTAACCCACTAGTTCGGTGTACAGCCAAGTAAGGGTCGCGTTTGCATTTCGGATTCCCAGAGCTCGTTAGGCTGTAAACCATGACTATTGAAGCAATAACACACCCACAAAGCTATACCGTTGACAACACAGAATCGTCGTTGACAGTCCTCCCAGATTATTTACAGCCGAATGTCAATGTGTCTTCAGAATGCTGACATTAAACAAACTGCGAAATAAAATCCACACTATATCGTAATGTAATAAGTTTTGTCAAAATGATATATAAATGAAAACTTACGGAGTATGTCAATATTCGCGCAGGAAGTGAGTGTTTCACCTTGTCGACCAGCCTGTGTACCACCCACATTCCAGCACTGATAACAATTGTTGGAAAACCTGTTCTGGCGAGGATTGTGTGTCTATATCGTATCGTCCGTCCCTAGTAGGTGAGGTGGTGAAATGGGGTTTAACGTCGCGTCCAAGATTATTGCAATTATATATAGCGACGTGCATGCACGTGTGTGAGTTTGTGTGGCTGCTTGTACTAGGCCGGACTGATGCCGATTTATAGTGCTAGCTCACTGAGATACCATGCCGCAGTTTAACATGAATACCCCACTCAGACACAGTATACTGACTCCGAGCCGACCAGTCCTTGTTTTAGCCCCTTAATGCCGAGCGCTAGACAGGGTAACAACAAGTACCATCTTTTAACGTCTTTTGGTATGACGCGGCCGGGGATCGAACTCCAGACTTTCCGCTCTCCGGGCGGACGCTCTACCTCTATACCACGGAGGCGGTCCCGCCCTTTGTAAATCACACATGATTTAGATGTGTAATATATGAAAGTAAGCTTGTCTTTTGAGGGGCCATTTTTATAACGCCTTGCTATAATGAAACAGGTGAACGCTTTATGCAGATCCCATGACCTCAGTAGTTATATACATTAATGCAAGTGAGGGAGTTTAACGCCGCTTTTAACAGTATTCCAGTTATATCACGGCGTGTCAGCTTAATGTGGGAGGAAAGCCCGAAGTGATGCAGGCATCAGACGTTTACCACTTCGCTGAAACCCACGAGCACGGGTATGGGGCTGACAAACCTAGAAACATAATCGGGGCGAACCGGGATTCGAACCAACAATCATAGGTTTCTGGCGTGCCCAAGGGACGCAACTCTGGACAGCGAATCGCGGCGCCTAAGACGACTGCCCCTGCCTTCATAACGCATAAATATCAACTTTCGTGTAAATGTATACACTGAACCCTGTTAGTGCGGACCCTGTTGGTTCCGCACTATACAGTCTTACTGGGATAATCATGCGTACTGGGTCCCCTTCACAAATCGTTCTTAGTACAACGACTAGCGTTTCTCCTCTACATTAACACAGACTTATGGCAGTCATAGTACCTTCACTTTGTGTTTGTTTGTTTGTTTGTTTGTTTGTTTAACGCTGCACTCAGCAATATTTATCTATATCACCTCGGTTTGTAAATAATCAAGGCTGGTCCAGACAATCCCGTGATTGACATCATGAGCATCAATCTACGCAATTGGGAAACGATGACAAGCATCAACCAAGTCAGCGAGCCTGACCACCCGATCCCGTTAGTCGCCTCTGACGACAAGCATAGTCGTCTCTTACGACAAGCATTGGTTGCTGAAGACCTATTCTACTTTGTGAAAAGGGTCCCAGTACTTAATTTGTTATTCCGTTTGATGTCACTGAGAACAATCAATATCATGTCACTAGTTATATAGATACAGTGACAGGGTCGAGTTAAATATGAATGGAAGTACATGTATATCAGCATATGTTGTTTTCAATATGAGTGTTTCACTTCACCAGCAATGTTTTCATTACTAAGGTGTTCAAGTTCAGTTCAAGGTTAGTTGGTTGGTTAGTTGTTTAACGCCGCACTCAGCAATATTCCAACTATATGACGGCGGTCTGTAAATAATGGAGTCTGGACCAGACAATCAAGTGATTGACATCATGAGCACCAATCTACGCAATTGGGAAACGATGACATGCATCCACCAAGTCAGCGAGCCCGACCACCCGATCCCGTTAGTCGCCTTTTACGACAAGCATAGTCACCTTTTACGGCAAGCATGGGTTGCTGAAGACCTATTCTACCCCGGAGTCTTCACGGGTCAAACAGTTCAAGGTATGCATTTATGAATCAATATAGGTAAAAGCAATACTTACATCCGCTGCCTGTGTGTAGTGAGGTCGGTGTGATGCCTGGCTCACCGTGCCGCACCCCCGGGCGCCGCGCGGGTCTTGACTTCAGTGTTTCCCAGGTGAGAGAGTTCAACATTTACCTGCACCTTTAAACCACGTAAGTGCCTCACTCACCAAGCGGCGTTATGCGTTGCTATGGTGATGCACGCAGGACTGTCGATAACGACGTACTGTTCACACAGTTGGTCTGCGTCATAATAATTTCATAAAGTTGCGTTCGGGCGATTGTTTTTTGTTTGTGTTGTGAATCTGCAATCTTCCATTACGTTACCACTGACATGGGATTTTCGCAAACACGCCTGTCGATATTCCGTTTTACTGATGCCGATTTATAGTGCTAGTTCACTGAGATACCATGCCGCAGTTTAACATGAATACCCCACTCAGACACAGTATACTGACTCCGAACCGACCAGTCCTTGTTTAACCCCTTAATGCCGAGCGCCAGACAGGGTAACAACAAGTACCATCTTTTAACGTCTTTTGGTATGACGCGGCCGGGGATCGAACCCCGGACCTTCCGGGGCATCTAAATGGGTGGTCATGTTTGGTTACATGGCTGATTGCATGTCTTCTTACACCGACGACGTGAATTGTTGCTCATAATATCAATCACTGGACACGATTATTTACAGACCGCCGTCATAAAGTTAAACTGTTGCTGATTGCGGCGTTAAACATCAAACAAACAACAAACAAAATACATAAATACGGTTATAACGAACTCAAAGGGACCACTAATTTTAGTTCGTTATAACCGTTGTTCGTTATAAGCATATATACAGCATAACTACAGCAAATTTTAGGGAGCTAAAAGTTAGTTCGTTATATCCGTCAGTTCGTTATAAGCGTGTTCGTTATAACCGTAGTTTACTGTAGATTCTAGTTGTTATTGTTTGCTTGTACAACATGTTGTTTGTGTAGCTGATTCCAAACCTTGATCGTTTTCGTAAATATTCTGATTTTAATAAGATTGTTCACATGATGTCAATGGTGTAAAAAACAAACAGTTCCTGTGTCGTGTTGAACACATCGCCAAAACACACCCAAAGCGTCTCCATCCTCTAAGTCGTGTAACCGGTTCTCCGCTTGATATAATTTTGACATCGATTTGCGATACATCCACACAAACATAACACCAGCACTGAGAGTAAAAGTCAATACTATTGATAATTAGTGATTTATATTGCAACAAGACGTTCATTTTTGGCCCAGCAGCAAACAGAGCAATTGCTAAATTCGATTCAAACACAAACATGTTTGCACGCACACAGAATCAGACACATTCAATGATGCTGTTCAGTGCTTATATATGGGGACATTTACTGGAGTCAATGTATTGCTTTCTTCAGTTACATTTAATGTAATGAATAATTCATGGTAGCCCCTGGTGGCTGCACCTACCAAACCCTTCGTAATTGTTAACGTTTTAATAATCTGCATAAACCACTGAGGCAATCATTGGCAGGTTGTGAGAAAGACTTAAACACGATCTCAGAGATCTGATTTTAATGAGATTAACACGACTTCATCTTGTGTTATAAACTCTCCACCACTAGGGTGGCCATGGAGTGAGTGAGTGAGTATGGTTTTACGCCGCTTTTAGCAATATTCCAGCAATATCACGGCGGGGGACACCAGAAATGGGCTTCACACATTGTACCCATCTCGGGATTCGAACCCGGGTCTTCGGCGTGACGAGCGAACGCTTTAACCACTAGGCTACCCGACCGCCCGGGTGGCCATGGAAACGTTTTCGACAGGTTTTGAGTATAACACATTTTTCGAATTAAACTAACGGCCAAAGGAACGTGTACAACTTGAAAATTTGATCTGACTAAAACGTTACAATCGTTATGAAATTGTTACTAGGCTGAAAACAGTCGCCGAAAACACTACACACCAAGGGTTTAAAACACAACTACGTATCTTATACATCACCATCGAATAACCATTTTTTGGTTGTTTTATTTTAGCCACCCTCAAACATGGGTGTATACTTTCTTTTGCCTAGCAGTGTATTACACATCTTTTAAAAGAGGAAACGGAATAAGGAAACAGGAAATTGCAGGAAAGGCTCCTGAAACACAAACATGAGACACAGAAAAGCGTTAATCGAAACGCCAAAAATATAATGAGAATCACGAAAAATGAAATGAAAACTCAAAATATGTGGAAAATCTCTCGCCGCAGTGGCAATATATTAGGCGCGTGGAAATAGTTCGGTTTTCTGTATATTTTGATTTTTTTTGGGTTATTTTCTGTGATTCTCATTTGCCTTTTAAAAGTTTCAGTGAACACTTCTGTGTATCATGTTTGGTTTTCAAGAGATTGTGTATTCAGTGTGTTCTTGCTATATATTTGTTGTTTATTTCCCTGTACGGAATTTTGAGATATACAGTACTTTTGTAGTTTTGAAGTATATGTCCGAGTATTTGCTGAAGAAAAATCTAAACAGGTGTAGCATTCCAAAAGAACGTCTAATAAACATGTGGGAGGAAAGCCCGAAGTGATGCAGGTCTCAGACGTTTACCACTTCGGTGAAACCCACGAGCACGGGTATGGTGCTGACAAACCTAGAAACATAATTGGGGCGAATCGGGATTCGAAACCACAATCATAGGTTTCGGGCCCAATGGAAGCCACTCTGCACAGCGAATCGCGGCGCCTCAGACGACTGGGCCACCTGTGTCCCCAGATATTTTGGAGGCAATACAGGCACATCACGCATTGTTCCCCAGTTCAATGTAATACTAATATTTAAGTGCCATGTCACTTGAAGGAAGAGATCACCCACCCACCCGCCGAAACACTCCCTCCCTCCCTCCCTCACTCACTCACTCACTCACTCACTCATCTGGATGAAATATAGGCAGGGATGGAGAGTTTGAGCTGAGGAAGTAGCATCACCGTGGGGATTAGAAAAAAAACCCAAAGAACCCACATTCGTTGTAAAAGGTGCCTTAATGAATGGGCTGGTCAGGCTCGATGGTGAGGGCCGTCTCCCATTATACCAATCACTGGTTTGTCTGGTCCAGCCTGGATAAACTCACACACACAACACACAAAAGGGAGTGCAAGCCACGGGTCAGTTGTTTGTCGGCGGTGTCTTGTTACATCACTTTTATATTTTTTGAACTGAAAACATCCCGCAGCGTTTGTGTTCGTCTGGTTGCCTGACGTAATGATGCGGGACTACCACTGAAGGGAGACAACTCCTGAAACCCAACTTCAGTTTCCACGTTTTGAACCGAGCCATTCAACATTCTATATTGATGAAAGCGTCGGTAAAATATAATTAAACGTTGCAAAATACATAACCAAAAAGCAAAAACATTTGATGGATTCTGCAAACGAAGTATAAGAAACGCCGAACTAAGAGCGTTAGATTCTTAATCCAAATAGGTCAATCAGTGTTAAACCAGAATGAGTGAGTGAGTGAGTTTAATTAAAGTCACGTCGGCAACATTTCAGCCATAATGTGACTTGAACGAGTTAGGCAATATTAATAAAAAAACTGTCAACGAAGGACAGTATAATAACTAGCAATATATCACAGATTGACTTAAAACTAGTTGTAGAACATTAAAACTATCTGATTATTAGGATACGATACGATATAAAAATAGGGCTATAGATCGCCAGCAACAAGGTTAAGATCACCATACTGGGGACCAAGGGGACTTACGGTACCTCAGCTACCTGCATGGTTCCCCAGCAGGATTTACACCTTTACCCAAGTTACTGGTGATTGCTGCAAGTTTAGCCAGAGATTAAAATCAACAAATATTCTGCAGTTAAAATAGAGGTAGAAATAAATGTACTTTGAAAGAGGTGGTCTTACATAAACCAGAATGTAATATTCTCTTGTCATAATTCCATTATTGTTGCTAGTTCCTCATCACGTGCTCCGTGCGCTGGCTTCGCGCAGTGTCTCAAGGTTTGACCCCATTGTGTAGAGTCGTGTCCCTGTTAGTGTCTGCTGTTCATGGGTTCGAATCCCAGATAATGTTCCTTGTCCTGACACCATGATACCAGCGCTTCGGGTTTCACCAAAGGGGTAATTTAAATGTCAGTTTAGGTGAAAAAATAAGTATTTTATTTCTTGTACCCGCCCGCGTCATTATTTAAACCCCCATCGTTTGGCGTTTTCGTATTCCGTATTTTCTAACCAAGGGCAGGTAACTCTAACCTGCTTGCCAGCCTTTACTTTACGTTTGACTTCCTGAATCGAATGTTAACGTTTCTGCTTTCGTCAGCCCCATACACGCGCTCGCGATTTTCACCAAAGTGGTAAACGTCTGAGAACTGCATCATTTTTATTAGCGGTCATTGGCTAATATGTTTGCCGCGTTTATCTATGTTGTGATTCTCACTTGTTATGCCTATACCATTTCTGTAAGTACTATTTATCTTACAAAATAACAATATTGCATACATTGTTAACTGTATGAAACGACCTTTGATCTTGTGAATAATTACTAACATCCTGTTTTGGTAAAGAAGCACGAGCTGCCCTCGGCCCTATGCCACACAATAAAAGCTTGTCGGGGATTAATTCCCCCCAATAAACAACTGAACGCATTTTCAGTAGACAGAAAACCAACATAATATATATATATATATATATATATATATATATATAGAGAGAGAGAGAGAGAGAGAGAGAGAGAGAGAGAGAGAGAGAGAGAGAGAGAATAATGTTTATTATAGTGTCACATGTTATATACACTTCATACTAAAACACGTACATGAACAGTAAAATATAACATCCGACCAGGTATGGCCTACGAGACACTAGACATAAAAGCAAATTATAACGTCATGATCTGGGTAAGGTAAAATAAGACATATACTAACACAATGTTTAAAATTAAGGTTGGGTTATGAACACGCACGCACGCACGCACACTCACACTCACACTCACACGCCAAATTACTTATAAAGTCACGCACACGATCATACACAAACACGTAGGTACACACACACACCCCACACCATACCATGCACACACACACGCACACGCACTAACACATACATACCCTACGTACATTATAACCCCCCCCCCCCCACACACACACACACACACGCACTACGCACACACGTACACATATACCATACGTAGATTATACGCACCCCCCCCCCCCCCCCCCCCCCCCCCCCCCACACACACACACACA